GTCCTTCTCACAGCAACTCCACGGTTACAGCTCTTGCCAGAACCCAGTAACACCCCTCCACTGGGTCATGGGTCATAGCAATTTTCTGTTATTGTGTCCTTCACCTTCCCAGTATTTTTTTTTTTTAAGATTTATTTATTTATTTATACAAGCACTGGGTACAGTCAGAAGCGCGGGAGGGTGAGAGAATTCACCAGAGCCAGTGCGGGGAGCAGAACAGGCAGACCGACGAAATACACTGCTGAGGGGAGCAGCTGGCGTGGCAGGAGAGGTCTGCGGGCCATGTGGGACCCTCACCCGGCAGCCAGGGATAGAACCCGCACTGCAGAGGCTGTGGGCAGCTTCGCAGCCCAGCTCTCAACCGCTGCGCCACCAGGGGAGGCCCCCCCCTCCAGTATTTTTTTTTTAACCCTGTCCAAGTGGTCTCCTCACTAGCTGACGTGCACTTTGAGGAAGCCATTGTTTTCTGCTAAGAGTTAGCTGATAGCTCTATTACTACACCTTATGCAATATGGTGTACACCTGTCCACTCATAGTGGAAGACTTAAGGTTTTGTCGATTCACTTAAGCATAGTCACAGATAGGCTATGCAGCTCTTGGCATCTAAACAGCAGCAGAACCCATCCTATGGCTTGCTGACGGCTTGCACTGTAGCATCCCTCAGCAGAAATGCCATTAGAGGAACTCCAGGCCAATTCTCAGCCTCCTAGAGATAGGGTCCTGGTCATAACAAAATATCCTTTAAAAAGTGGTAACATATGGGGCCTCCCTGGTGGCGCAAGGGATTAAGACGCAACCTATGAAGCAATCCGCAGCTACTGCAGCACAAGTTCAGTCCCCCGGCCAGCCAGGGAGCAACCCACATGGCACAGCAGACCTCTCCTGACTTGCCCCCTGCTCCCCTCAGCAGTGTATTTCATCAGTCTGCCTGTTCTGTTCCCCGCTCTGGCTCTGGTGAATTCTCTCACCCTCCCGCGCTTCTGACTGTACCCAGTGCTTGTATAAATAAATAAATAAATCTTTAAAAAAAAATAAAGTTTAAAATCAGACAAAATCTATCTACAGTGGCAGAAGCGGTAGAGAGGTTACTCTGCAGTGGAGGGAGATAGTGTGGTGGTGTCCTGTGCTCACTGTGAAAATTCATCACACTGTACATTTTTCATTGTGTACTTTCTGCATGCATACTGTACACTCATCTCTTTTCATACACAAAAAAAACATTAAAGAATGACTTCTTGAATCCAAGTTTCATATGTTTCATGGCTGATTCTGGTTCAAACTTCATAGCAGATCTACATTTTCTTTATGGGAACTATTCAGATCTTGTCTTGACAATTATCCTGAGTTTTCTGTTTCAGACTTCATGTCAATCCTTTCAAACCAAGTCCTTTCTGTTTTCTTTCAATTCTAGATAGTCTCCTGTTTAAAAAATTTCATTTTCATTTTTCTCTGAGATGCTCATGTTGTATTATTTCTACTATTTTACATATCTTTGGCTTTTCTATTTTTTTTAAAGATTTATTTTATTTATTTATGCATACAAAAACTGGGGTACAGGCCAGAGGTACGGAAGGTGAGAGGATTCACCAGAGACAGTGTGGGGAACAGAAGAGGCAGATCTACTGAAATACACTGCTGAAGGGCGCAGTGGGAGAGACAGGAGAGGTCTGCCGCACCAATGTGGGTTAGCTCCCTTGCTGGGGATCGAAATCATGCTGTGGTAGCTTGATAGTGCGGAGACTTTAACCCCTGTGCCATCAGGGAGGCTCTCTCTGGCTTTTCTTGATGACTTAAAGATTCCTAATTAAAATCTTCCAACTCACTAATTCATTCTTTAGCCACATCCTTTCCACTTTTATTATCCCAGATATCTTTTTTTTAATGTATCTTTTTCCATAACTAATGTTTTTATCAGATTCTGTTTTTTCTTAGTGTTTTAGTTTGATCACTTCTAACTTTAATTCTTACAAATACCCATCTATATTAACTTCTTGGTCTATCTAACCAAATATCTATGCTTCAGGAGATATATACTGTCCAGTTGTTGCCCTCTTATGTCTTCAAATGTTTCAGGGGTTGGTGTCAATGATGGTCAATGGGGAACTTTCATTCCTGTGATTAGTAATGAGGCCTCCAATTTACATCCACACTGTGTCTCATCCCCACTGTGGTTAGCTTTAATATCCACCCCCACCTGGTGGTAAAAGGCATGCTCCCTTCCCACGGTGTGGTGTCAGAAAAGGCCTAGTGGAAAGTCAGAACACTTACCACTGGCCAGGAACAAGGAAGACACATAACTCCTGAAGTGTAAGCAGAGGCCATGTGAAGAACTGTAACAAGATAATCCTTCTCATTCCAGTGGAGCCTTAATGGGGAGCTGAAACTTAAAATCCCACCCAGCAGTAAAGAGGAGGTGCTTCTCAACCCTAGTAGCAATGAGAGCTGAGCAGGGAATCCTAGACTTTTTTACATCACCGGTAGTAACAAAGCTGCCAGATCAATGTCAGCCAAGGCCTATTAAAGGATAAAATTTAAATAACATTCAGAATTTCACAAATAACTAAAACATCTAGGTTTCAACCAAATTCACTCAAGAATTTATTAAGAATCAGCAAAATTTCAACTTGGATGAGAAAAGACAATGTCTATCAACATTGTGATGATACAAGTACTAGAATTTCTAGCACTTGTAGAGGATTTTATTTTTTATTTTTATAAAAATCATCTGATTTTCTTTTTTAAAAAATTTAATTAATTAATTAATACAAGCATTGGGTACAGTCAGAAGCGCGGGAGGGTGAGAGAATTCACCAGAGCCAGAGCGGGGAGCAGAGCAGGCAGAAGGACCGAGGTACACTGCTGAGGGGAGCAGCGGGCGGCAGGAGAGGTCTGCGCGCCATGTGGGACCCTCCTCCGGTGGCCAGGGAGCAGCCAGGGATCGAACCGGCGCTGCAGAGGCTGCGGGCAGCTTCGCAACCCAGTGCTCAACCATTGCGCCACCGGGGAGGCCCTACTTGTAGAGGATTTTAAAGCAGTCATCATAAAAAAGCTTCAGTGAGCAATTCCAAACACACCAGTGAAATGAAAACAAAAATCTCAGCAAGGAAACAGAAATGCAAAGAACAAAATAGAAATTTAAGAACTGAAAGATACTACAACTTAAGTGAAAAACTTAAGGCACGGGTTCACCAGAAGAGAACAAAGGAGGAATTACTTGAACTCGAAAACAGAACAATAAAAATTACACAAACGAACAGAGAAAACAATTAAATCCTTCAAATTTGGCAAAAAGGCATAAGCCTAGAGATTCAACTGAGTGAACCCTAAATAAGATAAACCCAAAGCTCATACCAAGAAAAATGATAGTCAAGTCTGAGAACTAAAGACAAAGCAAAAGCAAAACACATACACACACAGACAGAGAGAGAGGGAGAGAGAGGGAGAAAATAACACCTTACCTACAGGAGAAACAATTTGAATGACAGCAAATATCTCATCAGGAAGTATCATTTTTTTCAAGTGATGAAAGAAAAGAACAGTCAACCCAGAATATCACACACAGTGAAAATATCCATCAGTAATAAAGAGGAAACTAAGATATTTTCAGATGAGGGAATATTTAAATTAAAAGCATTTGTTGCCGGGCCTCCCCGGTGGCGCAGTGGTTGAGCGCTGGGTTGCGAAGCTGCCGGCGACCTCTGTGGCGCCGGTTCGATCCCCGGCTGCTCCCCGGCCACCGGAGGAGGGTCCCACATGGCGCGCAGACCTCTCCTGCCGCCCGCTGCTCCCCTCAGCAGTGTACTTCGGTCCTTCTGCCTGCTCTGCTCCCCGCTCTGGCTCTGGTGAATTCTCTCACCCTCCTGCGCTTCTGACTGTACCCAGTGCATGTATAAACAAAACAAACAAACAAACAAAACAAATAAATAAATAAATATACATGCCTCTATTAAAAAAAAAAAAAAAAAAGCATTTGTTGCCAGCTGATGTTCTTGAAAATAGCAGCAACAGGAGTTCTCAAAAAGGCAAGGAAATGATGAAAGTAGAAATCTTGGAATACCAGGAAGAAAGAACAGTGGAGAGAATAACACTTCACTCAAACTGGTAAAAGATGGTTATCAGTAGACTAATAAGTTTGTGTAATATGTTCGCATATACACATATGTAACCCATGTTTTTATTTACAAGTTCATATACAAAATGCAACATGCAAAAAGAGAGGAGGAGATGCACTAAAAAACACTTGAGATAAATTAAAATGGCATTCTAAAAAAAAAAAGTTGAAGTAACCCACTTGAAGGCAGGAAGAAAAAGAAACAAAAAAGCCAAAGAGAAGAAAAAAACTAAAGTGGCAGACACCTATAATTATATTAAATGGAGATGATTTAAAAACACAAATTAAAAATCAGAAACTAACATCAGGCCTGACATCTGAATGTTAGATAAAGTAGACTTCAGAACTAATAAAATTACCAGGTACAGAGAAAGAGACATTACATAACGACAAAGATCATCCACCAAAATGAGTTCGTGTGCATGACAGAACTGCAAAGTATGTGGAGCAAAATCTGAATAGAACTGAAAGGAGACACACAATTCTATAGTTACAGTTGGAAACTTCAGAACAATCTCTCAACAACTGATAGAACTTGACAGGAAACCAGCAAGGACAGAAGAACTAGATAATCCCTATCAACCAAATTTCATCAGCATTTACAGGACACTGCATCCAATAACAGAATATACATTCAAGTGCTCCCAGAACATATACCAAAAGAGCCCACAATGTTCTGGACTGCATACAAACTGCAAACAATGTGAAAGATCATAATGAGGTATCACTATGCACCTATTAGAGGAAGATTACAAGAAAAAATAAAAATGCTGGTAAAAATGCAGAAAATCTCTGTTACTGGAGGGAATGTAAAATGTTAGTTATGCTGTAAGTTTGGCAGTTTTCTAGAAGACTGAAAACTCACCATATGATCAGTCACTACACTTGACATTGATCCCAGAGAAATGAAAACTCATAATCACACAAAAATCAGCTTAATTGCTCACGACAGCTTTATTTGTGACAGCCTCAAAGTGGAAACAATCAAGATGTTTCTCAATAGGTGGTTACGGAAACTGCTAGATCCGTAACATGGAATACATTCAGCAGTATAAAGGAAGGAAATATTGATACACACAATTTGGACAGACATCAAGGGAATGCTGAGCAGGAAAATGCCAACCTTGAAAGGTCACATACTGTAGGGCTCTATTCATGGATCATTCTATACGAATGGCTGTCACAGGTTAAGAATGACGAGGAAGTGTATGGGTAGCAAGGAGAAATTTGTGATGATGGAATAATTGTGAATTTTTAATAAAATGACAGAACTATACTATATGCATATATTGTGCCAATGTTAATTTTCTGGGTTTTCTTTTTTTGGGGGATGGGGGAACACACCCTGTTTTTTGACTTTTTATTATGGAGTATTTCAAACACAGAAGTTAATAGAAGTGGATTTGCTTCAATAGTCTCCAACATACAGCTAATCTTTTTCTGCCTATATCCCACTTATTTATTCCTCTCCCAATGATTTTGACAAATCCAAGATTTTAAATCATTTTATCCATAAATATTTTAGCAGGTATTTTCCAAAATGTAGCCATGAAACCATTATCACACCTGAAGAAAAACAAACTCTTCCTTTTCTATCAGTGGTGGAACCTGCTGAGAAACTGGTTCCCCAAATTTTCTTGAAGGAGATAGCATTTGATCTGAGATCTAGAGCAGTATTTTTAAAATTATCTATAGTTAAGAACCAGTTTTTGTTTTTCAAAATTTCAATATGATGGGGATGAGCACTTCTGCACTCCCTTCCGTCTTTGTTGGGTGGGGTGGAGGTAGATGATGAGCAGAGGATTCTAAACACTCAGGACCAAGGGTGAGGGACCCCACCTACTGACTCAGGCCCAGCCCAGAGCTCCAACAGTCACCCCAGACCTGCTGGCACATAAACTGAAAGGGGTCACATGAAGGTCAAGCCACCATCACCTCACCTCCACTTCAGGTCTCCCCTCTTAGAAACCCAGCACAGTGTAGAGTAGAATAAACACTGATGTTAGGCTGCCTGGCTTCCAGTCCTGCTGTTGCCACTTTCACCATATGACTTCTATGTGACTCAGTCTCCTCACTTGTAAAAAGGGAATGACAGTAGCCACCTTACAGCACCTCGCCTCTGTGAGATGATCACAGGCATTACCACGGTATCTTAGCTATTATTTTCTGTGCCCCTCTTCACTTGGACAGTTACCAGTGTAAATATGAGAAATCAACTGAAAATAAGCTGAAGCCACCAAAGTTTTAATTTTTCAAAGTTGTTTTTGCTAACATAAGAACAAAACCATCCCAGTGGTTCAGCTCTAAAACCCATGCTGCCCAAGTCTGCTAATGGCGGGGACAAAAAAGATGGAAGGCGTTCCATCATCAGTGACCTCTTCCCAAAGCACAAGGACTTCTTTCAGAGGGTATCGACATACATCTGTCACCCCAGAATTTAATGAAAGCCTTCCTCCTACATTTTAGGCAGTAGTATTACCTTTGACATTATAGACTCCAGGTCTGCTATCGAGGAAAGTTTCCTTTTACATTTCAGTAAGCATGGCTGGAGAAGAGTGTAACGGGGGGATATAACTATAGACTTGAACCACTTCTGCCCTTAGCCTGTCTCTCCAAGGTAAAGAGTCAATGTTCTTACAACTCTCCTTCTCCAGTTTTGGCATTCTTCAAGGTGGACAACCCAAGCCTCAGGAAGTCATCCTGGGGAAGCATACTAGCATTTGGACAAATGCGGGAAGGTGCATTAGTGGCCCCACATACACCAGAAGCAGCCCCTCCAGTGCTGTCTCCCAAGTCATGAATGGGTAGTTCAGGGCCCTCTGCTTATATTAAAGGATTCCTAAAAGCTTCTCATAATCTCACAGTCTTACTGTCCTTGGCTCCTGTTGGTGTGCTATTTTTCTACCTATAAAGTTATCAAGCCCCTGACCTCCGGGGCTCTTTCAGATTTCATGTTTTCTCAAATTTTCCATTTGAATTCTGAAATGCCTCCTGAATTTCAGAAAGCAGTTACCTACCAGCTAATGCAAGCATGCACCCTCAATGTGTGTAATCGCTAATGAGACCAGCTCTGCAGAATGTCAGGAAGGGAGGGTAAGATGTTTAAGATGCTGTCTCCACTCCATCACATACAACCCTCAGTTGCCTATAGTACTCCGACCTGCTTCATCTGACAGCTGTGCACACCAGCACTTCCTTCTGACTGCCACTTAGATTGGCACAGATTTGAACCAGGTGGACTGGTTTTGACATATGCTGGACTACACTGCAGCTATGGCATGCCATGGGCCTTTCCTGAGTGGGTTGCCATATATACCGCCTTGGCCGAAAACGTTCTGCAGTATGGAGGGGGAAGGGAATCTGCTCTGGAGGATAGATTCTAAGCCAAATCTGAAACAACTTAGCACACTGTTGTAAGCAGGTAAGGAAAGGCTCGGAGCTCCATCTTTAGCTTCATTTTTCCAGAAACCCTCACCTCTAAGGCTCAGGCTGATGCCAAGAGCCACGTACAGTAGAGTTACTGCCAATAATCTTCACACTTCTAAACAAGAGCACAAAAAATGCACGGAACAGAAACATGGCCTTGTCTTCTTGATGCCCAAGCTCCCTGTGATGGCCAAAGGATAACTCAGCTGGTTATCCCTAGTTCACTTCTAGGCACTGGAGACAGAGATTTCAGGGGTTGGGGTTTCTTTTCTCTGACTTAGCAAACTCTTCTCATCTCCTGTTGAATAAAGAGTTCCTTAGATACTAGATGTAAAGCCTTAATCCAAATTGTTTTCATCCCAGGACTTATTGGCACATCCTTCAAGTCACTTCATCTGCTGTTCCATTCCTCTTCTTCAGCCTCTTTGGACCTGCAGGCTCTCTGGACACAGGTACTACAAAAAGCATGAGAAAAAAAAAAAAAAGCCAGCTTTTACCTCCTGGCGACTACTGCTTTCCACATCTGTATTGGCCAATGGACTGAAAGATGGCAACTCAGTTCTTTTTGCCCTATGGTGGGCCTGGAATTAGGAGTTTCCAGGTTTCAGCAGGCTACTCGGTATCTTGTGTGGTTCCTAAGTAGAGCTGCATGAAGAAAAGTCTCCCATGGTTGCTCAGTGACAGCAACAGTGATGTTCACAACAAGCCCTCTGGCAGTCAACAAGAAGTCACTTGGCCTGGATGATCCTAGTCCCCAGCAAAGGACTCTCAATCCTAACTCCTGCAGCCCCAGACCACACAGACGTCTCCTCCCAACTCAGCAAGTGGGCAGCACACACTTCCAAAACGAACTCCTGTATGAAATGCAGCGAGCATTCCAACACTGACACTTGGGTCCAGTCACAGCTAACACTGGGGAAGAGGTGCCTTGGATCCACGCACGGCCAGATCTGCTGGGAGGCCCGGGGACTCTGGGAACCCGACCTGTAGAGGCTGAAGGACAATGTTCCCCCTGCTGGCACCGTTATTACCAAGCCCAATGGTGTCATGAGACCAAGCCATCTAACTCTGAAGACAGCTGGTGGGTGGCAAAATGACTCTTAGAGAGGTCTTCAGACAAGCGAACAGCTCAGCAGGAGAGAACGACTCCCAGGGCACGCCGTGTTGCAGCATCACGACCTGATATGGGACATGTCCCACGGCATCTTCAGGGAGCCGGAGGCAGACGCTGTGGCAGGAGAGGAGAGGTAGTGAGCAAATGTCAGAACTTTGCCAGGTTAACACATCCAGACCCTCTGGCCCCATCATCCCTCTTCTGAGAATTTCTTCTAAGAGGCATTCCTCAAGACAGGGAAAGCTGGATGCATGTGTTGGAGCAGCCAACGGGTTAACAGAACATGTACTCTAGAGGCAGAGTCTCCACAACTTTTTAGGGAAAGTGACAAGCTCTCTGAGTCTCCATCTCATTTTTAAGATACAGATACTAGCACTACTTCCCAGGATTGTTGGGAGATTGAGACAATCCACATAAAGCATTTAAAGTATAATATGTAGTCAACTACAAAGGTTAGGAAGAAAATGGAGGGAAAAGGAAATAGGTGAATTGTTAAGCATGACAGAATCAAAGGGAAGTCTTAAATGACTTATTTGACAATAACATTTTTATACACCATGTCTAATTCTTTTGTTTTTGAGGAGAACGCCATGAGATGTTGAGCCCTGCACCTCAGAAAGAAGGAAGTAAGATAGAGCTTCGTCATAAGATTTCACTATTCTAGATTTCACCTTGGAAAACTCCTAAGAAGCTTTTGAGAATGCAATAAAGGGAGCAGATGGAATGCTCAACAGAAGAGTAATGAGGAAGGGTTTAACAATCAAAACCTCAATGGAGACTGACCTCAAGCTGTCAATGGAGCTGTATCCTATTTGCTCACCCTGCCCAAAGACAGGGCTATGCACAGATCACACCTCTGTCCTGATGAGTATGCACTCACTCTGCCAGGAGCTCTACAAAGGCTGGAAATAGGTCATGGTGGGTGGACAGCTAGAGAGGTGGTGATGGTATGGCCAACATGCCAGAAAAGAGTAAGCTCTGTTACCACAGGAAAGAGTCCCTGTACTTGGGACTCTGACGCAGGGGACAAGTCTCTTTCCCTCTCTTTCCTCTCAGTCTCTCAGCTCTGAAGTACACAATATTCCAGTTCTATAAAGTAAACACACAATAATATTCATCCAGAAACAAAACAGATAATTAAGTGCTGCACAGACCTTAGAGAAGTCTAGTTGATGTTAACGATCTTATTTCTTTTAAAATCCATACACATTGTACTGTGTGACCCAAAACTTTAAAAAAATTTATTTTTTCAAACTTAAAAACCATTATCACATGTAAAAAGGCTAACAACTCCTTAATATAATACTTATCTCATTAGTGTTCAAATTTTCAGTTGTGTCATAAATGGCATCAATGGTGGTTTGTTTCCCAACCTCTAAAAATTCATCTTCCTAAAGCCTAAAGAGATTCTGAGACAGCCTCTACTAATCCCACCACCACAACAACCACTGACTCAGGTCAATCTCCTCATTAGACTAGATAAGAAGACGAAAGCCCAGAGAGGTTAGATGATTTGTCTAGGACCACAGGCTGGGGGGAGACGGAGGGTCTGAGCCAAAGCACATTGTCTGGTAGTATGAACAACGACTGAGGTAACTGCTAGAAGCGTTCAAGTCAGCAAGTCTTCATCTAATAATACCTCTTTGTAAGAAAAGAATCACCATCAAAGCCCTCCTGGTAATTATACTCCTATTTTACTAAAATGAAAACTATGTTCTTGAATTAATTCCATGAGGGAGAAGTCAGATCTTGATCTTTATTCTGTGCTTCAATTTAGCAGTGAAAAAGGATTCGCAAAGGTCTCTGCTACTTTCTTGTCAATACTAGCTCCCTGAAGAAGATCACCTAATAGAAGGGGAAGGCACCACACAGTGGGGACGTGCACATCAAGAGGCATCAGCAAAGGCCTAGACTGCCTGAGAATAGGCTCAAATGGCTTCACAGGTCCTCTACAACAGACCATGAAGGAATTAATAATTTCTGTGCTATATAAATGTCTTAGAATATGAGAAAAAAAGGTAAAATATTTTCCATCACATTCTATCACAAAAGAATTATCCCAATTGTACAATTAGACAAGGCAAAGCACATACACACAAAAAGGGGCTGAAGGGACAGGACAATCTCACTAATAAATGCAGAGGCCAAAATCCTAAGTAAAATAAAAGCAAATAAAAAACACAGACATGCTTTTCCTCTGAAACGCTGACTTATTTTTGTTTTGTTGTGTACACATTAAAAATAAATTTAGGCCTGGGCCTCCCCGGTGGCGCAGCGGTTGAGCACTGGGTTGCGAAGCTGCCCGCGGCCTCTGCGGTGCTGGTTCGATCCCCGGCTGCTCCCCGGCCACCGGAGGAGGGTCCCACATGGCGCGCAGACCTCTCCTGCTGCCCGCTGCTGCCCTCAGCAGTGTACTTCGGTCCTTCTGCCTGCTCTGCTCCCCGCTCTGGCTCTGGTGAATTCTCTCACCCTCCCGTGCTTCTGACTGTACCCAGTGCATGTATAAACAAACAAATAAATGAATAAAATACATGCCTCTAAAAAAAAAAAAAAAAAAAAAAAAAAAAAAAATAAATTTAGGCCTGAAAAAATAAGAGAACAGGACATACTGAACAAGCCACTGAATGTGCAATTTAGATAGGTCAACATTAGAAAATCTATTAAAGTAATTCATCATTTTAACTGATTAGAAGGTGATACTCATTCATCTCATTTGATTAAAAAATAACAATGGACAAAATTCAAAACCCATTATTTATCAAGAGAAAGAGAAAAGAAAAAAGATGGCCATAGCAAACTAGAAACACAATCAATACTTTCTCAACTTCAAGACCTGCACTGTCGAACAATAATATAAAGCTAGTGTGGTAATAAACAGTTCAAGGTATAGATGAGGCCTACAAGTACACAGTAATATAGAACGTGAAAGCATAAGACTTCGAATGAATGAAGAAAGGATGGTCTCATCGATAAAGTTAGATGCTTACCTCACTTAATATACAAAAATAAATTCCAAGTGGATTAAAAAACTGAAGGTAAACAAACAAAAGCATTATAAGAGAACATAAAAAAGTTTTGGTATGAAATGATGAAAGAGTTCTGGAGAAGAAGGCGGTGATGCTTGCACAACAGTATGAATGTATTTAATGCCACTGAACTATAAACCTAAAAAGTTAAAGCAGTAAATTATATATATGTATATTTTACCGCAATTAAAAATATATATATAAAACCCCCAAAAAGATATTCTTGCAATGGGAATAGCTGTCTTAAGTCACAAAAGGCCTCAGAGCCATAAAGACAGTTGGAAATTTTAACTAATAAAAATTTTAAATGTCTGATAAAAAAATCCAGAAATAAATTTTTTTTAAAGATTTATTTATTTATGCATAAAAGAGCTCAGGTACAGGCCAGAGATGCTGGGGGTGAGAGGATCCACCAGAGATAGAGTGGGGAACAGAACAGGCAGACTGACTGAAGTACACTGCTGAGGGGAGCAGCAGGTGAGACAGGAGAGGTCTGCTGCACCATGTGGTTTTCTCCCTGGCCGGCCGGGGATCAAACTCATGCTGCAGAGGCTGTGGATTGCTTCATAGTGTGGTGCTTAACCCCCTGAGCCACCAGGGAAGCCCCCAGAAATAAATATTAAAAGATAAGCACTTATCTTAAGGTCTGATGGCTTTAGCAGTTAAGTCTCAGCACTATCAATGCTAAGAACTGAGTTCGAGCCCTGACTAGGGAGCTAACCCATATATGGCGCAGCAGACCTCTCCTGTGTTGCCCGCTGCTCCCCTTAGCAGTGTATTTCAATAGATCTGCCTGTTCTGCTCCCCACTAGGTCTCTAGTGAATCTTCTCAACCCCCGTACCTCTGCCTACACCAGTTCTTCTACACAAAATAAATCAAATCTTCAAGAAAAAAAAAAAAAAAAAAAGATAAGCACTTAATACTTCAAATGGAAACAAAAAAATTTTAGTGGAATAAAGTATATGAAACTTGTATTAACAGATAAAGGACTAACATACTTTTAAAGACATATAACCTGACAATTAGAAAAATGCACATTAAAACAATTTTACTTTTTACCCAATCAATAAAATTAAAAATACTAATTTCCATAGTCATAAAGATAGAAAAAAAGTTATCATCACTGTGGCTTGAATTGTTAATTGGCAAAATCTTTTGAAGGGCATTTAGTCACCAGGTGGATGGACATTATTAGATGCACTCACTCCACTTACTGGTCTCTAGCCTGTAGAAATGCCCCCAGAGGTGTAAGAATCATGAACAAGGGGTCTTCACCATAGTATTATTCACAATATTGAAAAACAAAACACACCCCGACTGTAACTACTGAGGTGACAAAAAATACTTTTGTACATCCATCTACCTAGCGAAATACAAGGCAGTATGCTATGTAATCTACAGGGAAATGTGTCCTAACATAGTTTGTAAACAAGGCTAGAGACAAAATAGCTCATATTCTGTGATTCCCATTTTTATCGAGAAAATAAAAAGTACTTGGTATAGAGAGAATCATCTAGAAGAAAGCATATTAAAAGCTACAAATAGTGGGGCCTCCCCGTGGCGCAGCAGTTGAGCGCTGGGTTGCGAAGCTGCCCACAGCCTCTGCAGCGCGGGTTCGATCCCCGGTTCGATCCCCGGCTGCTCCCCGGCTACCGGAGGAGGGTCCCACATGGCGTGCAGACCTCTCCTGCTGCCCGCTGCTCCCCTCAGCAGTGTGCTTCGGTCCTTCTGCCTGCTCTGCTCCCCGCTCTGGCTCTGGTGAATTCTCTCATCCTCCCGCACTTCTGACTGTACCCAGTGCTTGTATAAATAAAAATAAATAGATAAATAAATCTTAAAAAAAAAAAAAGCTACAAATAGTGAATATCATCTCTGGAAGTAGTGCCATGGGAAATATTCAGTCTCTAAATTATATTATTTCTATAATATTTAAAATAATATTTTAAATTATTTAAACTATTTAAAATAATAGGTTTGTAACTGAAAAAAATAAGGAATAAAGGAAATAATACCACCACCACCTCTCTGAAAAAAGGCAGAAAGAAGGTAGTAGCTATGATCCCAATGAATGCAAGGCAACAATCTTTGTGCAGTATTTTCCCCTAAAAAGAAGAGGCGGAAGGGTTCCAGCCTCCCTCAACCCAGTTCCCAGGCAGAGTTGGTAGGGTGGGAATAACAGGAAGGCCAGGGCCAGGCTTTCCACAGACCTTACCTAGGATGGCTTTGGCCAAAAGAGTGGATATGGAAGGAAAGCACACTCAATACTGGACTCAAATTTTTTTCTTTAATCTCAGATCTTTGGGTGGCTCACATCACCTTTTGGTACCAGAAACATATTACTTTAAAAGAAATGGAAATCAGATCAGTTAAAAGGAAATGATGGTGACTTCCTTGGTAAAAGCCATAAAAAACTAGTCGCACCTTAAAGGGACATCAATAAATGCCAAGATCTGGAAAGACACAATGCTGGAAAGCTGTCAGTCAAAGAAAGAGTATTTGCCATCTAATCTTTACCCACAGCTTCTGAATGATGAAACAGAGAGTGGGAAGAGGAAAGGAACGGAGCAGGAAAGTAAACAAAAACATGTAATACCAAGCACCTACATTCTAGAACACATTCACATATTTAATCCTCACAACAATCCAGGGAGCTACAGAACAGGAGACTCAAAGAGGTCTCAGACTCGGGCCTCCCTGGTGGCACAGGGATTAAAGTCTCAGCCACTATCAAGCTGTTGCCAGCCACTAGGGCATGAATTTGATCCCTGGCCAGGGAGCTAACCCACATGGCTCAGCTAACCCACAGGGCTCTCCTGTCTCCCCCGATGCTCCCCTGAGTACTGTATTTCAGTAGATCTGCCTGTTCTGCTCTCCACTGTCTCTGGTGAATCCTCTCACCTCCAGCACCTCTGGCCTATACCCCAGATCTTACATGCATGAATAAAAATAAATCTTAAAAAATAAATAAATAAATAAATCTCAGACATGATCAAAGCTACAGAGCTACAAACCCCCAAGTCTGAATCTGTGAGCCCAGCACATTGGCAGATCTTCCAATCTACTAACCAGTTACCCCCAAACCTCCCAATACTGGCACCTATGCCCTCAGTCTTCCCAGGAGGACTCACCTGTGAGCTGGAGGGCAGCACCTGGGAGGTGGACTCCTCTGATGGGGCTGCTCCTGAGCCCATGGGGCTCAGGGTAGTAATTCTGCTTGGTTGGCCACGCAGCGTCAGTGTAATGGTGGTGGGTACCTTCAAGCCTGAGAGAGAAGGGTTTGTCACAGCCTCCATTTTCCTTTCCAGGAATTTCTTCCCCACAAAATACACCCCCCTTGGCCTCCTCCCCATCTATCCCCTCTCAGCCAAACTGAAAGGCAACAGGAACCAGTCTGTCTTTCAACCTCTCTGGGGAATGGGCCCACACAACTCAATCCCTGAGGGTCAATGCCAGGACCCTGTGGGGTTTGTTCAACATCACATCTGCCCATGTGAGATGGGGAGTTGTTGGGGAAGATCCCTATCTGGAAGTTCCCACGATTATCCTGAGACTCACCTGATGCCTGGTTAGAGATCTGAGCCAGACCAGGGAGGCTGCTTGCCAACTTAGCGAGGCCCCCATTGGTAAGCAGCTGGTGGATGGCTGTGGGCTTCCCACCAGGAGTGGCACCCAAGGAGGAGAGAGTGGTGGCCACAGGAATGGTACGGACGATGGTGCTGGTACCCGTGGTGATGGCACCCAGGCTCTGCATGGGAGTGGGCAACTTCACACTGGCGGCCTGTGGGACACACAAGCCCAGGTGATCAGAACTTGTTGCCCAATAGCAACATTCAAGTATGGAGCGCCCATAACATATTATTCAAGGCTACCATGTGCTGAGTGCCTACTATACACAAGGTTGTCTTGTAAGCATTTTCCATATATCACATTTAAACCTCAAAACAACTGCAAGGGAGGTACTATTATTACCCTCATTTCACAGACTTAGAAACAAAGACACTGAGAGGTCAAGAAACTTGCCCACAATCACTCATTAAGTGATGAGGCCTTACACTGCCTACTGGCTGTGAAATCAGAAGGCTGTGATTAGCCTTGACCCAGGTTCCAGATCCCAGTCCCAGTTTCCCCGCCATAATCAACTAAGCTTAGGGAACCCACTCCCTATGCCTGCCCAGCTCAATGAAAGGCAGATATGCACCTGCGGAGCTGGCCCTGGAGAGGGATTTGCTGGGATGGCAGAGGTCTTGCTGCTGATATCCTGCAAACTGAAGCTGAGACCTTGGAGGAGGCTGCTGGCTGATGTGGCACCTAAGAGAGGACACAACAGGCATCAGCACAGGCTCAATCAGTTGTCCCAAGAGCAGCCATGCTCATCCACGCACAACAACCAATGACAACATAATGATCTTTCCCTGGGACATTCCCAGCTCTCTCAGAAAGACATTAGAAAGGGAGAGTCCCTCAGACATGCATAAAGGCCTGGAATTACTCTTCGCATCCTATCCTGCTCTAAATCACCTGTTCTACATTTTGAAAGTTTTAGGAAAACCAAAGAGAACTTGAATCCCACTTTTCAGACATCTAAATTCCCTCCTTTCTTTCTAGGGAAAAGGAAGACCTTTTAAGCAAAAGAATTTCAAAAACCTGACTTACACTTTATCCTACACACAATCCAGTGGCCTCAAAGCAAAGAATAAGATCCTCTTGAAGGAGAAGGGTATCTGTAGTGCCTTGGCCCTGCTGGGCTCAGGCAACTAGCTTTTCCTTGTATGATCAGGGCAGAGAAATTGGAAAAATGAGCACAGGCAGAAAGATGTCTTATGTTGCTAATGCCCAGTATAACACCATTTCAGTTCTAGTCAATCAGATAGGTTTAGAAACACAAAACGGAAAATAATACATTCATCTCCCACCAGCATTTTTTCCCCTTATTGTCAGGATATACTACCTGCAGACTATAGTATTTACTGACCTAAATTTTGAGGCTAAGAACTCCCCCACCTCAAAGCTAATTCCAGCTTCATGCCAAACCTAAGACAAGTCTCAGATCCAACAAATATCCTCCAGATTTAGTTCCAAGGATGCTTTCCTAGGACTATGGTTCAGCAACAGACCCAAAAGATAGGAAACGATGGACTACCAGATACCTGGGAGGGAACTGCCAGGAGAAGTGGCCACCAGGCGGCTCTGGAGTGTGTGTAAGGCACTGGGCACAGTGCTGCTGGAGACCACTGAGGAGGTGGGACTGGCTGAGACTCCTCCTTCAGAAGCACTTGACCTGGAAACAAAGCCAGTTCCATTACCCAAGAATCAGAGGGCAGGAGAATATGGAAATACAAGGAGGAGTAAGAGTGCGGCCCAGCAAGGAAATGGACACCAGGTTAGAACCTTCAGTTTCTTTATCGCCCCTTCTGAATTTAGCTTCTAGTTCTTCTAAAGATCTATAAAGTAAGGACTTCGGATCTTTAAGCAACAGCCACGGGACATAGTGCACACTTTAAATAAGAATGAGCTCTAAGTTGACCCAAAAGAAAAACAAAAATCCTACTTGGAAAGAAGTCCATTCCTCAAAGAGAGAGCATCCAGAAGCCACCATCTTCCCAGAGCATTAAAAAGATCCGAGAGGTAAAGAGAAAAAAACAGACACACCAAGAAATAGACTCACTTGGCTGTGGTGAGAAGCCCTGTGAGCTCCTTGGCCCCTGCAGAAGCCTGCCCCAGTGTCATGGCAATGGGCTTCCCTCCTGTGGCTGCAAAACAGAAAACCCCAACAAGACAACTAATCAGTCATTTGGCTTCTACCTTTCAGGGCTCCAGAAGATATTAAAAGACAAAGAATAACCAAAAATAAATAGATAAATGAAAGAATAAATATACTAGAGATTAGAGTAGGGAGTTAATTTTTTTTCTAAACCTAAATATTTTATTATCTTTAGTTGAAATCAAACAGAACAAAATATAGTAAGTCCTCATTTGACAAAGACATGAAATTATCAATGTTAAAATAAAAGGATGCTGAACTATAATGCTTTGAATGACCTCAGTTTCTGTTTCTCATTCAGATCAGGTCACTGCCTTCTTTTCCCCCCCCATATGCAGCCCATGCCTTCTCACACTGGAGTAGAGGCTGAGGCATTCCAAACAGTAAAGAGGGCAATGCTACAGGCCCTAGGAGAGCTTGGTTTTTATTTAAACAGGACAAGAAAAACTCACCTTCTGGCATTCCTCCTTGGGAAGTACAAGGCCCTCCAACTGCATCCCCTTGGGAGATAAGAGACACCTTGATCTTTGGTCGCTTGGAGGTCTTACTGCTAGGAAGAGGACTGGAGGGATGGTGCCGCTTCAGCTGGACCCTAAGATCTTCTTTCTCAGCTTCTTCCACTTGTTCTGATGAAATGGGAACTAAGAGATGGAGATGAGAGGAGGTCTTCCACATTCCAAAAGAACCCAACAGCTACCGACAGTAGCAGCAAAGGCACGGCCGTATGTGGAACCATCACGCTTACCAGGTCACACTTCAAAGGAAAACTGCCAGTGTTGAGTCCCACCTCACTCAAGCCCCCCTGTGGTGGACTCCACCTTGACTCTCTCTGACGATGGCTCCATCCCCATCCCTCACCTAGGCCTGGATTTAGAAGAAAGGGGAGCCTCCCTAGTGGCACAAGGGGTTAAGCACCGCACTATGAAGCAATCCCCAGCTGGCCAGGGAGCAACCCACATGGCGCAGCAGACCTCTCCTCACTCGCCCACTGCTCCCCTCAGCAGTGTATTTCAGTCAGTCTGCCTGTTCTGTTCCCTGCTCTGTCTCTGGTGAGTCCTCTCACTACCTGCATCTCTGGCCTATACCCCAGCTCTTGTATGCATAAATAAATAAATCTTAAAAAAAAAAATAAAAGAAAGGGGGCTCTTGGTGGGAACAAAAGAAGATACCCTGATCCTGCCTAGCAAAGGTCAACAAAATAACAGAGGACTCACCGCAGTGGGTCTTGAAAATGAGATAATTTTCCTGTTGCAAGCACCCCCCACCCCATCACACACCTGCAGGACAGTAAACATTCTATGAAGAACCCACAGAGGAGCAGACTATCCAGACCATTCTGAAAAGGAAATTTTCACACAGCTCTCAAGAGTCCTACCCTACCCTAAGGGACCAAGGTTGAGGGTTTGCTTGTCAAATGGAGGCAAGGAGAGGAATGATCACCAGGATTTAAGGTTGACTTTAAGCAGCTAGTAGGTGATGGAACATCTCAGTCAAGACAATTCTATAGCTCCTACCCAAAGATAACAGGGCAACATGGCCCATGTCACAACCTAGTCCGCAGGTCATTTCTACTAGTATGGAGAAAAGCCATCTGTTACCCACAGGCTTCTCTCTCCACCAACGACTCATCGTGTACATGGTCAAGTCTCTTGGATTCTTAAATTATCATTCAATTGTCCTTCTAGATTCCCTTCCTCTTTAAACCCAGGAGCTCACCCCAGTCCCTCTTCTTAGCGTCAAGCAAGAGGATGGTGGCAGTCATACAAGGCTGGGCTGGGAGTGGGGAGGTCCCATTTGGCCATAGGGTACTACTCAAGACAACAGTCAGGGTACAACCAGCTGGAAGGATTGTTGAGGCAACACATGTAGTGACTAAAATCTCAATAGGAAGGAAGATAAAAGGAAAAGGAGTTACAGGTTTTATATTGATAAATGGTTGGTGTGCTTGTAGCAGCCATGATGGAAGCAGGAAACCAGAAGCAGGGAGAAAGGGAACTTAGGCTCACAGGCAAGGGGCCACAGGTACACACAGGAGAAGCAGAGCCAAGAACCACAGTGACAGAACCACAATGCAAGACAAAGAGAGAAAAACACCATGAGAGGAAAATAATGAGAAATGGAGACAACACAAAGACTGTAGATTAAACAAAATGAGTCAGCAAAAATAGAATCATAAGACACAAAAAGGTAGAGAGAACAGGAGAAAGCCAGAGGTCAAGGAAAGAATGGAGAAGAATATGAGGGAGAAGGGGAGAGAAGCAGAGAGCACAGGTGAAAGGTGAGAGAAAGAGCAATACTCACCAAAGAGACAGGAGGAGGTGCCAGGAGGAAGAGCTTTCCTCACCAGCATGTTTTGTTTCAGAAAAGCAGCAAACTGTGCTAGAATGAATCAGAAAGAATTACAGAATCACAGCCAGCCAGAGAGAGAAGAAAAAGAGAGGCTGTCAGAAAAAGATACAAAAAGGTTCTAGAAAATGCAAAATGGGTTTTTTTTCTGGAATTATTGCATGATTTTGAAAGCTGATTCTCTTACTTTGCAGTTCTGTGGAATCATCTATAAATTGAAGATAGTAAATGTACCTATTTCCTGGGGCCACTGCTAAGATTTAGTTAGTACAGCAAGTGCCAATGAGGTGTGGCACCTAGTAAGGGCTCCATAAATATTAGCTGTTACCATCACTCCTCTCCTTGTCTAGTAGCTCTGCCAACACAAGGTGCCACACTGCTGCCCTCCTCTAACATTCTGAGTCTCATTCTGAAGCCAACTCACCAATCAGTCGTCCAGAACGTCTTAAGAATCTCAACTAATTGTCCCCTCCAGAAGCAGAGCAGACTGCTGGCTCTCTATTAAACCCCAAGAAGATGTTCCAATTACACATCAGACACCAATGACAAAAATCATCCCTTACTTTAGGGCTGCCCAATTAGATCAAAGTGGGGGGCAGAGTACAGCAACTGTTTCTTCTTCCCCCTATCTACCAAACTCCCCTTTAATGGAGCACTCACTGAGCTCTAAACTCTAATTTCAACCCTACAAGTATGTCTCAGACTGATCTAAAACCTATCTGCAAAGACTCCTTATAAACTTCACTGAGAGTCCCAGTGTGGGAATCCTAGCTCTTTAAGATCAAAACAAAGGGCATGAACCAGTTGAATTGGCCTAGAACCTGATGAATAAAACCAATCACCCTGTTCACAACAGAACTCCCTGATTGCAGGAGAGGCTAGGCAGGGCCTGGAATGATAGATCTAGTTTCCCCAATTGGGAGTTAGAGAAAACTTTGAGGCTAATATGCATGTAGTCAGCTCATAAGGTCTAACTTCATCAGAACACCAAGACAAAGCATTAACTAATGGAACTATACAGTCCCACTACAGTCCTTTTGTGATGTTTTACCCTTGATAATAGCACTACATATTCAATTCAAGCTAATTTTGCCTGAATAGAAATATGGAGGAGAGTGCCTTTCACATGCCCCTGGCAAAAAACAGTAATGCCAATACTTTCCAATTGCCACATGCCATCAGTTGTTGACTGAAAGAACCCCAAGAGGCCCCTGGGCCAGGCACCTATACCTTGGGCTTGTTTGTGAGTCAACACAGCTTCTGTCCGCTGCATGTGTCTTTTCAGCAACTGTGAGCTCCCAATTTGACTCGTCTTCTGGGCAGAGGCCACTGCGGTCACTTTGGTCTTGGGACTGGAGGTGGGGCTGCTGGACACACTGGAGAGATCCTGAGTAGCATGAGAAGGACAAGAGCTAAGTCAATGTTGCTTGGATTTGATCATCAGTGAGCATGTCCCCCTGGAATTCCCTGGCCTATAGCACCAAAAAGGAAACAGGCAACCCCAGAAAGCAAAGGAATTAACTCTACAGTTTGATTCCCCAGATGGTTCCCACCTCCTGCTTTACCTCTGAGCCTGAAGGTGAGGCAGGCAGCTTGGCAGCTGGGGAAGCAGGTCGACTGCCTCGCTCAGAGACCTCGAAGGCCAGGTCTCTGCGAGCCACATCCCGGGGCTTCTTCTTTTTCTCAGCATCCTGATCCCGAGGCTCAGAGCCCATATGCCCCTCAGCACGAGTGAGCACTCCAGTCAGAAAATCCACAATCTCATCCTAGTTTAAAGAGGTCTTTAAGTCCCCATCTGGAGAACAGAAACTTCCTCAATAGTTCCAACAACTAAAATGGATTCACCTTGGCTTTGACATCAGATGTACTGGTCCCTCTGGCACAAACCTTAGCCTCAGTCAAAGATCAGACACCGTTGTGAGGTGGCACTCTGGGGCAGTCACATGCCAACACTCCTCCAATAAAGCTTTTCTCCCCCATGCTTTGCTTGCATCTTTGTTCCTTTACTCTCCTTTTCCCCCCTCCTTTGTCCCCTCCTTTTCTTTGTTTGAGACCCTAGAAACCCCTTTGAGTCAGAGAGGCTGCTGCCAACAAGACAAACCTCAAAGTATTATAGAAAGGCAAACCTAACTGAGAAAAACACAGAAAGCACCATACCTGAATACATCTGTCCACCATGCTCTGAGTCAACCCTTCTGATTTCTTCTTTGCTTTGCTTATTCTAAGAAACAAAAAGTTTAATTTCTAAATATCCCATGGCCTCATATGGAAAAATAATAATGGATTTTTCTTCTGTGTTTATTTTCTAGGTACAGAAAAGATACTGTGAGCCCACAGGTAGGTTTATACAACTGTTTTGAACCTAGCTTCCCCATCTGTAAAATGAAAAATCAAGAATACTTCTCTCATGGAGTTGTGAGGATTACACAAAATAAAGGACCCAAAAAAATATGCAAAGTAACTGGGACTGTATACTTGAGAAGTCCTAAATGTTGGCTTAACAGACAAATTCTACCTGATTGTTAAGATTTCATCTAGAAATGCCCCAACACATACTCAAACCTTGAGGTGACCGGGAGCTGCTGACATGAGGTTAGCAGAAAGGGAGGAAAAATGGTCATGGGTAGGGCCTCCCTGGTGGCGCAAGGGGTTAAGCACAGCACTATGAAGCATTCGCAGCCACTGCAGCATGAGTTTGATCCCTGGCCAGCCAGGGAGCAACCCACATAGCACAGCAGACCTCTCCTGACTTGCCCACTGCTCCCCTCAGCAGTGTATTTCAGTCAGTCTGCCTGTTCTGTTCCCCACTCTGTCTCTGGTAAATCCTCTCACCCCCTGCACCTCTGGCCTGTACCCCAGCTTTTGTATGCATAAATAAATAAATCTTTGGGCCTCCCCAGTGGCGCAGCGGTTGAGCGCTGGGTTGCGAAGCTGCCCGCAGCCTCTGCAGCGCCGGTTCGATTCCTGGCTGCTTCCCGGCCACCAGAGGAGGGTCCCACATGGCGCGCAGACCTCTCCTGCCGCCGCTGCTCCCCTCAGCAGTGTACTTCAGTCCTTCTGCCTGCTCTGCTCCCTGCTCTGGCTCTGGTGAATTCTCTCACCCTCCCGCGCTTCTGACTGTACCCAGTGCTTGTATAAATCAATCAATCAATCTTGTAGAAACAAATAAATAAATAAAAATAAATCTTTAAAAAAAAAAAAATAAATAAATAAATAAATAAATCTTTAAAAAAAATGGCCACAGGTAGTTCTAAAGGGATAAGAGAAAATGACCACAGCTGGTTCTCCTCTTTGAGAGCTAGTTTTTCAAAACTATGATTTCTGGTAGGGGATGTGGGGGGAGGATATGTTCAGCAGAGGGAGTAACCAACAGAGTGAACAACATTCTGAGCCTTCAAATTCTGATCCCAATTTACTGATTGTTGGCATCTGAGCTTCTGCAACACCCTCACTTTATAGATGAGACACTTTATAGATGAGTTCCAAGTGCTAAGCAATTTACCCATGCTTCTTAGTAAAGGAGCCAAGAATAGAGGTCTCCTAATTCTGTCCAATGCTCCTGATATCATGCAAATGTCTCATAAGCAGCCTTACAATATAACTCTCAGCAAAGGTATTCCTCTCTCTTCTCACTCCCTCACAGCAACTCAATACAATCTATTCTTCTCTCTATAAGAACATCTGAATTACCATGTATTTACAAGGAAACACTGCCTTGAGTACCAAAGGATTAGATATTAAGTCCACAAAAAGCCAGAAAGACTTCTCCCCTGAGCCTCTGGATAGGAAACTGACAGGTAGGTACAATACTTGCTTTAAACTGTCTAGTTAAAACATCAAATGAAATTAATCTCTCAAGATTGAACATTCAAAATAAAAGAGGCCCAATGTCACAAACTCTTTTTTAGTACATTTTTTTTAGATTGATTTATTTATGCATACAAGAGCTGGGGTACAGGCCAGAGGTGTAGGAGTGAGAGGATTCACCAGAGACAGAATGGGGAGCAGAAAAGGCAGATTGATTGAAGTACACTGCTGAGGGGAGCAGCGGGTGAGTCAGAAGAGGTCTGCTGCGCCATGTGGGTTGCTCCCTGGATGGCCAGGGATTGAACTGGTGCTGCAGAGGCTGCGGATAGCTTCATAGGTTGCATCTTAACTGGTTGTGCCACCAGGGAGGTCCTTTTTTAGTACATTTAGTTATGTCATGAAGACATAACTGAAGGCTCTACATGTAGTCAATAGAAAGATGGCCATCTCAATGACCAACAGTGCCTTCCTAAACCCCCTCCTAAACTCTGTTTATACTCCAAATATATAAAAGAATGCTTAATACAAAGAAAAAAATCTATGTTCATATTCATCTTTAGTGGAACAAAATGTAAAGAAATGTCTATGCCAGTGAAAGCACCATGTTAAAGATTATATTTTCAGTCTCAAAGTATCTTCTCCTCGCAAGATAATTACTAAATACTGAGGGAAAAATATTTTTACAGTGGAGAGAAGAAACCTGGCAGATGCTAATATAAGCACGTGATCAAGGATATCATCATCTGTGATAAAATACCTCAAAATCACCCACCCTTTAGGAGATGCACTAAGTGCACATCACTGCTGTGGCATTCCTGCCCCAAATGCACACTCAACCTAATCACATTAAGAAAATGTCAAAAGCCAGAACTGAGGTACAATGTACAAAATAACCGTCCAGAACCCCTCAAATATGTCAAGGTCATATAGACAAAGAAAAACTCAGGAACAGGATCAAATTAAAGGAGACTTAAGAGAGATAGCCACCAACAGCAACATGTGATCCTAGACTGAATTCTGGACCAGAAAAGAAACATTAATGAGACAAGTGATAAAGCCCAAATCTGTAGATTATAGTATCACATCATGTTAATTTCTTGATTGATCATAATAGTTTGGCTATGTAAGATGATAACATTTGGGAAATTCAAGTAAAGGGTAAACAGGAACTTTTGTACCATTTTTGCAACTTTATAAATTTGAAGTTAGTTTAAAAAATGTAAAAAATAAAAGCTTTTAATGTCCCCCTTTCATTGAACCAGGATAACCTATAGTTATATTGGCACCTATAGGCATCTCTTTAACACTATCACAGTTCTGGGGGAACCTACCCACCTGAGATTATCGTCAGCTCCCCCAACAACTACCAAGCTGTTCTCAGCCCGAATCTTTTCCCGGAAGTCCTCCATGGCTTCAGGGTGACACTGCAGGGAATTCTGACCAATGACAAAGAGGACTGGAGTCTTCATATCCAAGAGAGGATCATCCACATCCTAAAACAGGTACAGGTTTTACAACGGGCAGTTAATATTTACGGAGCACTGACCTGGCAAATCCATTCAGAAGAGTCAACTGGACAACTGCAGCCAGACATGCACTCCCTTACTCTCACTGCCAACCACCCAACAATCAGTTGCACCCCATTCTTACCCCTCGGGGGCCATCCACAGTAAGGAGAGGAAACCCAAGGCAGACAACTGCAGTGACATACTCCATCACGGACACCTGGAAATAACAGAACAGTATGTCTCAAGGTCAACTAACTTCACTGCAGCTACATCCTGTGCAGAATCCAGAGGTGGTCTAGAACAACCCAACTGCCCCAGCCCTCATTTTACAGATGAGGACAGTGAGGATAACCATGGCAGCAGCCGTAGGAGCACAGAACAGAAGATGTGCTACAAGGAGGCAACTATAAAACTGGACCCTAAAAGGACCTCAGCAGACACCTGAACCATAGGATGATGGGTTTAATACATCCACCCTGTCAACTCCCTAGACCAGAGTCCTTCTGCTCACTTTTCCCTCCACTAGTAGCAAATGCAACCAGGAGAACACAAGTGTTGCTCTTCTCCTCTACACGAGGCAAATGTCCCCCTTTTGAGTTTAATGGATAGCTCTCAAATCCCCCAAATTTCTTAGAACAGTTGCTGATTGTGAACTCTACCACCCCTGGAATCAGAAAGCATGAAGAGATGGCATTCTTCCTCTTGTGGCCCTAGATGTCATATCTGACTAGATCACATGAAGCAGCAGAGACTTTATTTATTTGAACTGCTTGAGAATTAGAGCTTTGGATAGGTCAGGGACACTTACACACACGCATATACCTATAAACAATATACATATATATATATATAATAATATGTATATATAAAATAATAACAAGGATGTCTTAGAAAGGGACAGAACATGGATACAACATCAAATTCCAAAGCTATTAAATTTTTGCCAACTAAATTATTTATTTTTTTTTGTTTTGCTTTTCAGGTGGGAGTACAGTGTGGTATTTGTGTAAGGGACAAGGAAAGGGAGTCTTTTTTTTAGAGATTCATGCCAAAAAATATATAAATAAAATGACATTACATTTGGACTTTTTTCCTTCTATAGCTTAAAATGCAACTACATTGGTAAAGCAAATCCAGTATAGTACCTGGAGTATCAATGGTAGCTATCAGTAGTGGCAGTAATATTCTATCCTAGGACAATCTCCAAGTAAGATGGGAATTACTGGGCCTCCCTGGTGGCACAAGGGGTTAAGAAGCAACCTATGAGGCTATTCGCAGTCACTGCAGCATGAGTTCAATCCCCAGCCAGGGAGCTACCCATATGGTGCAGCAGACCTCTCCTGACTCGCCCGCTGTTCCCCTCAGCAGCGTATTTCACTCATTCCTCCTGTCTGTTCCCCACTCAGTCTCTGGTGAATCCTCTCACCCCCCCCCCACACCATTGGCCTGTACCCCAGTTCTTGTATGCATAAATAAATCTTTAATAAAACAAAAACAAAAAAAAGATGGGAATTACTTACGTGACAGGCCACCAAAGCTCCTGTATTCCAGCCAATCAAAATAATGGGTTTGTGAGGGAAATGGCTGTGAATCTTCGAGAGAAGAGAAAAAAAAAAAAAGACAGTAAGACAGGAGGCCACAGATGAGTGCAGAACTAATCCAGAATACTGGATGCACCATAATGATCTAAACTAGAGGCATTCTCACCTCTAGCACTTTGCTTCTCACTGCTCCAATCATATGCTCAAGACACTGCAGAACTCCCACCCCACTGCCATTGTTCAGCAGATGGGTGGCTACAGGGATGACCTGAAGGAAAGAAAATGTCAGCCAGCAGAGCTAAGTTTCAAATCTTCTCTCAATTCTGTTCAATCTACCCTAAATCCCTTCAACTTCGGACAAGCGGCGTTCAATTCTAAACAAAAGAAAAGGTTAGGGCATGCTCCACCTTTAAGGTGATTCATTTTGATCTCCTACATTTTGTCTATGCAATCCACCAACAATATACACTGAGGAGCTTGTTCCTCTTACCCCACACATACCTTGCCTAAGCAGGAAAGCTGAGACTGCCAAAAGCGGTGACGGCGTGAAGTAGGAAACACAGAGCTGGAGGGTCCGGAGGAGGCAATGAGGATGAGAGGTGAGCCAGGGAGTTTGCTCTAAGGAGAAAGAACCCCACCAGAGAACTAAGAATTGAGAGGTGCTTTTCAATGAAATTCCAAGTATCCCAATACCTTTCTTATCCCAACCAATTCTGATTTGTTTATGAGACTATGTAAGCACTACATGCAATTGGCTATTAATGAAAAATTATGTTAAACAAGCCATTGCAAAGGTTCAAAGGCTGGATTCTAAAACTTTTATGGAACATAGTTAAGTCCTGAGCATCCAACTTACTGGTTTGTTATGAGAAAGCACTCCCACAGCAGGGTCCCAGGGCCTCTTTAGCAAGAGGGATAAGGCCTCAGCTCCTGCAGCCCCAGTCTTCGTGTTGGATGACACAAGCATCCGGTCAATCAAGGAAGGGATCTAGAAGCAAGGAAGAGCAAAAATGCTTCCAGTGTGATGCAAGAGACCTGCTCAGGATGTGCAATCAGTGAGCAGAAGAACCCCCAATATGGGCCACAGACAGGTTTTAATTAAACCTTTCAAACCTTCCTCTAGAGCAAAAGTATAAATAAGTAGACAGCTTAAAAGTATCGCTCTGATCATAAAACAAATGGCTGCAGACTGTTGGAAAGCAATCAGGTGATATGCATGTAAGAGACTTAAATTGATTCCTCTATCTTTTCCAAAGAATTCTACTTTTGAGAATCTTAAGAATATGCAGGGGGGTGGGGGGCGGGAGGGGAGGGGATTGGGATCAGAATGGGGGGGTTGCAATTGTATGGGGAATATAAAAATAAAATTTATTATTTAAAAAAAAAATAAAAAATAAAACATACAGATGATTCGGGAAAAAAAAAAAAAAGAACACAAAAACACTTTGAAGGAATATATGTACTCTGTGTTCTTTGTGGCATTGTTTATAATAACCAAGTTACAGAATCAATCTTAGTGCCACTGACAGATGAGTGGACTAAAAAGATGTGGTTCATATTGCAAAATAGAATATTATCCAGCTATAAAAAAAAATAATAAATAAATAAAAGTTGATTGTCGATAAAAAAAAAAAAAAGAATATGCACCAGAAACACACACACACACACGGGTGGGGGGGGGATTATGCACACTGACTCACAATAATATTCAAAAAATGGAAACAGGCTAAATGTATGTGTATGGATATATATGACAGTGGCTAAGCAAATTACATATTTGATATTAAGAATCAATTTAAAATATTTAAAATAATCTGTAATATAAAGAAGTAATTTCAGTAACATGTTAAAGGTTAAAGAGAAAATACAAAAATGATCTTTACCCCCCCCCCAAAAAAAACCCTATAAGAATATGTTAATAGTGATCTTTATGGAATTACGGATGACTTTCCTTTTTAGATTTCTGTACTTTCTAACTTATGCCAATGAACATCAGTTAATTTCACAAATTAAAAAAAAATATTTTGCATTTTCTTTTAGAATATAGTCTTCAAGCGATGACCTGTTAAAAAAAATCTGTTAGTGTGCCCCCACCAAAAATACATCCTACCATATTGTGTATATTGGATTTATATTGAAACATGCCATTTTTTACTATTCACCAAAAATGTGACCTTATAGATGTATAAATAGGTTTCAGACATGCTGATGCTTACGTTAAGATTTGTGAATCCCATGCTATTCACAAAAGGTCAAAGTGACCCAAGGGAAAGAAAAGATTTTCCAACGTTAAGGACAGTTTTCAGAAAAACAATTTTTTGAGTCTGGAGAATAAAAATTATCTTGGTGACTTCACAGACCACAAAAGAGAAGCTGCTCCAGGCAATGACAAACAAGAACAATATTCCTAATTTTAAAAAAAGGGAGACTTGAATGGTTTCTGCATGAGAAATTAGGGGGCTATAAATATGAGATTTTCTCAGTTTAATTCAGTACTGTAAAGATTTAATCGAAGGTGTTTGAAGACAAACACACAAATAACAAGAGAGACAGGTAAGTGCCATGAAGAAACAAAAGCCCTGCACTGCTGATTCAAACCAGAGCTGATTCCAAGAGAAAAGGGGGAAGTGAACAGGCAATTTTCATTTTGAAGATACATCATGTGAAGGGAGCTGGATTCAGAATTCCAACAGCAGAAGATGTGGGAAAAGGCTTCCAAACAAAGACACATAGAAGTAAGAAAGTGCAGCAGTTATTCCAGGCACAGAAGTCAAGGATTCAAGTAGGGAAGTAGAAGGACACAAGGCTAGTAACAGACAAGGGCCAAACTGCAAAGGATCTTCACGCAAAGTGGTCATTTCTTTGTAATTTATAACTGTGAGATACTCAACACCTTGAGACAGAAGATCAGACCTGAATTTGATGTTAAAAGCTTTTAAAAGCTTTGTAACTCACTTTCTGTCAATAGAGAATACTCACAAATAATCAATAACCACCTTCTCTTCTTGAAGCTGGGCAGGCCAAGTTTCCCCCATCTTTACAGCATTGCATCATTCTCAACAATTAAAAGACTAAGGTCTATGCCTTTTCTGCCTTTTTAGTAATAGATCTAGTGGTCAAAATAATTGGACCAAAAGCATGATCGCATCCATGTGCATTTTCACCTAGCAGGTAAATTAAAAGTTTTGGGAAATAGGGGCCTCCCTAGTGGTGCAAGGGGTTAAGACGCAGCACTATGAAAGTAACCGCAGCCACTGCAGCATGAGTCCAATCCCCAGCCAGGTAGGTGACCCACATGGCGCAGCAGACCTCTCCTGTCTCGCATGCTGCTCCCCTCAGCAGTGTATTTCAGTGATTCTGCCTGTTCTGTTCCCTGCTCTGTCGCTGGTGAATCCTTTCACCCCCTGCATCTCTGGCCTACACCCCAGCTCTGTATGCATAAATAAATCTTTAAAAAAAAAAAAAAAAAAGCTGGCCTCCCTGGTGGTGCAGCGGGTTGAGTGTTGCACTATGAGGCCGTCCGCAGATTCTGCAGCACGTGTTCAATTCCTGGCCGGCCAGGGAGAAACCCACATGGAATGGCAGACCTCTCCTGCCTCGCCCGCTGCTCCCCTCAGTGGTGTCTTTGGTCCATATGCCTGTTCTGCTCCCCGCTCTGTCTCTGGTGAGTTCTCTCACCCTCCCATGCCTCTGAACTGTACCCCAGTTCTTTTATGAATGGGTAGTTCTTTGGGGGAAAAAAAAGCTTTGAGAAACAACCAAAGTATTTGTTAATCTGACAGACATAGAAAGATAATGAGCCTGATGGTAGAAAAACTACTCTGGACAGACAGCTTAGAGTGGACAGCACCTCAAAGTCTGAGGCCCTTGCTGATGGTGCATTACACTCCATTCTAACTGACCCACACTATAACCTCACAGCAGGGCAGGGCAGCGTGTGCTGTGCATACCTATGGAGTCACCCCAGTGGTCCATCACACTTATAAACCTGAACATCATCTCACTCATTTGGGTATGTCTAGACAGTGACTTAAATGTGGGAGCAGTTTAAACTTCCTTACAAAGGAAATTACACACAAATCACACTGGCCATGCAAAGACAGGAAGTCACTAGAGAAGTGCGATTCTGGGTACCACCAACATTCATCCCCTACAAATAGTCACCAATGTTGTTCTTTTATCATTGATGTAATGCAGTAGAGGGCATTTTAAAATGCTTAAAATACTCACAGGCAACCACTTTCTACCAGGGCTCTGTCTTAGCCCCATACCTACTTGCGCCCATGCCAGCCCACCATTCACCTCCTGGGTTTCCACTACCGAGAAGCAGTACAGGGGAAGTCTGGGACTACATATTATAAGTCTCTTCTCTTCTACAAAATAAGCTCCATCTGAGCAGGGAGCATAGCTGTTTTGCTCACCCCAAAGTGTAGTACATTGCAGGATTTTAAAAAAATGTATTGAATGAATATACTAATGCCCTATCTTGCATATCATGAACATATCTAGCCCTGGGTTTTACTTTTATGCTAAACTAGTCTTTCTTTGCTTTGAACTGAGGATGCTTCAACCTTAAAACAGTCAGGAAAAAATAAGTCTACAAATGTTGGGGCTATATCAGGGGGAAGCTGTTGGCCAGGCACCTTTTGACAACAAAGATGGGCCAGCTTCCTGCAAAGGAGAAGAGAGAAAAACTTTATTGAGAAAAAGCAAAAATGTCAACAAATGAAATAGTCCAAGTTGTTTGACATCATTTTGTCTTAGAGGAAAACACTAAAAATTTCAAGATTCTATGGAGGTAACACTTAATAATCGTAAGTAATTACCATGGGCTTATAATATCGCAAATTTTATGCCAAGCATTCTATCCTATAATTTAATCTTCACAAAAATCCTATTAGAGGTGAGGAAACTGAGACACTAAATCAAGTTAACTAGTGATCAAGTTAATAAGATAAGCAATCTGCCTGCAGAACTGATGCTCCATGATACTGGATGCGACACCAGACTGAACACAATCTAGTGCAATAACTGAAATCACAATAAACTGAAATTACTAAATATAACTTTGTGCAGTGTTGTCTAAGAAAGAAAGCAGGAAAATATAGTGATACATTTTATGAAGAATCATTAAAGTCAGAGTGTCACTACTGGAGGCTGATCGCATGAAGAGATAGGGAGGAGGCCACCATGCCTCACAGCTTGGAAGCATCTCCCCACCCTGACCTGCATATTCTAAGCACCGAGGGTCTGCTCCTTGCCCCCCTCTCGATACTATTCCCTGGTAAATCCTTCACCTTCTCCATAATTCTCATCTCACCTCAGAGGTGACTTAAACCACAGGCTACAGTGCAGCAGAAACTAAAGGTATACTCTGGTTTTCAGGCCCCACACTGGAGACAGCAGGGTTGAAGATGTTTACACCAGACAGAAATGTGTAATGACACCATGTCTCCTATTTTTAATAGCAAGCCGTTAGCTTAATCATGCCCTCCAGGTTAACCAGGCAATGACTTTGCCAATCCCACTTTCAGAACCCACAGCAGAGGCTGGCTACCCCAGGACAGGGGAAAAGCCAAGTATAGCCTTACCTTCCCTTTTAGTGTCTGCAAAGCATCCAGGTAGGCTGCCAGCATGGGCAGACTCAAGGTCTCCACCAGAGTGGTGTGCAGCCACTGGATCAATTTAGTGTCCCAGCTTACACTTGCCAGAGCTTGTCGAACTCTCCTTGCACACTTGTCCACAGCAACACGGCGTAGCACTGGCTCATTGCAAGCCTGAAAGATGTTAGGTGGAGTCATAAAACATGAAGGCTACCCTGTCAACAACTGGGGGTAAAGGGCTAACAAATCAGTCAAGTCAGTGAAAACTAGGGAGAGCCCCCCATGGACAGATGGACAGATTTCTGGAGCCTTACCCCTTCGTTGGCCAAGCGGGCAAGTCGATCAGACTGCAGAGCTTTGAGGATCTTATTGAATAGCTTATTCTGGGCCATGGTCCAGCCAGTCCTATAAGGGAAACTCTGAGGAGTTAAAGTCAGACCCTGAGACACTCCCCATGCACATACTTTGCATAAAAAAGGTCATATGTTCTTTTTTTCTTGTCACCATGAAACAGTGTAATTTGAAGTAGCTTAGCCTAAGAACACTGACCTAAAACACAAGACCTAGATTCTGGTCCCGATGTTGCCAATGAATCACCTCATTTGTGATTCACTGTGTTAGTTTACACACTGTAAGCGAAAACCAGTCACAAAGTCCTTTCAGTGCAACCAAAGCTAATTATTTTCCTGGTGGTAAAAATAATCTCATTAGCAAATAAAAGCATGACACCATTGCAGAGATAGATATATTTGAATTTCACAAATTTAATTTTTCACACAAAATGCCAGACAGGATAAGCAAGCATTTTAATGTACTAAAATCTCAGACTACGATAAGAGGGCTATTTGAGAACAAAAATATAACAGAATTATAACCAGTGAAGAGGTTATTTTTCCACTTTCCAACATTATGCCCCACACTAACATCTCTTCCTTTTCATGTAGAGTTTTTATATTTTTTGTATATAGCAGGTTTAACAAATTTATTTTTGAATTGTCTGTTCCATACCAATTAACATTTTATTATCCAGCGTATGACACTGGCATATGCAGGTTTCCCTTGTCTCCTGAAGGCTTTGTGTATCCTCCTCCAACTAAGTTACAAACTCCCTGCATCTATGAACCTGTCCTGTTCTTTTTTTTTTTTTTTAATATTTTTATTTATTTATACAAGCACTGGGTACAGTCAGAAAGGCGGGAGGGTGAGAGAATTCACCAGAGCCAGAGCGGGGAGCAGAGCAGGCAGAAGGACCGAAGCACACTGCTGAGGGGAGCAGTGGGCGGTCTGCACGCCATGTGGGACCCTCCTCCGGTGGCCGGGGAGCAGCCGGGGATCGAACCCCCGCTGTAGAGGCTGCGGGCAGTTTCGCAACCCAGCGCTCAACCACTGAGCCACCGGGGAGGCCCACAACCTGTCCTGTTCTTGTTCCCACCTCATCACACCTAACACAGTGGTATGGACCTTACTAAAGACCCTCTCTATCCCACTGGCAACCTTAACTGCACTGACACTCCAACTCTGGTCAGAAGATGCCAGTTAATATTTGCTGACCAGCTCTTCCTACCATAAAAATAAAATGGTGGTTAAATTTAAGTAAATGCCAGACCTAAATGAGATCAAGATAGAATTTGAAATCAATAGGGATAAAGTAAGCAGAGCTTTGACAACCAAAAGGAAAAGAAAGTCTGGATCACTCTACACCAAAAAAAAATTTTAAAGTTAAATATCGAAAAAATAAAATTATCAAAATATTAGGAAAAATCAGTGATTTAAAAGTATCTATCTAGGGTCTCCCTTGTGACACAAGGGGTTAAGCACCACACTATGAAGTAATCTGCAGCCACTGCAGCATGAGTTCGATTCCCGGCCAAGGAGCAACCCACATGGTGAAGCAGATCTCTCCTGTCTCGCCCGCTGCTCCCCTCAGCAGTGTATTTCAGTCAATCTCCTGTTCTGCTTCCCACTCTCTCTCTGGTGAATCCTCTCACCCCACCCCCCACACCTCTGGCCTATACCCCAGTTCTTTTTTTTTTTTTTTTTTAAAGATTTATTTATTTATTTATACAAGCACTGGATACAGTCAGAAGCAAGGGAGGGTGAGAGAATTCACCAGAGCCAGAGCAGGGAACAGAATAGGCAGGCTGACGAAGAAATACACTGCTGAGGGGAGCAGCGGGCTGCAGGAGGGGTCTGCACACCATGTGGGACCCTCGCCCGGTGGCCGGGGATCAAACCAGAGCTGCAGAGGCTGTGGGCAGCTTCGCAATCCAGCGCTCAACCGCTGCGCCACCGGGGAGGCCCCTATATACCCCAGTTCTTGTATGCATAAATAAATATATTTAAAAAAAAAATAAGTGAGATCATGTCACTGTGCTCAAAGTCCTTCAGTGACCCCAGTCAGTCAGTTAAAAGCCCTGCAGTGGGCAGTCTGGACGCACTGCCTCTCCAACCTCATTATCCATGACTGCTTCTTACTTACTGAGCTTCAACCGCATTGACCCTTAACTCCCCTCCCCCTGCTCACCCCCACAGATCTCGCACACTCCTGTATCAGATAGTGGGTCCTTGTCCTCGATTCCCTCCACCTGAAACAGTAGGGGACACTTCAGGTCATTGCTCAAATGTCACCTTCTACTGAGGATTCCCCTAACTCACCTATGAAACTCCCACCCTGGGATTCCCTACCCCTTTGTCCAGCTGTATCACCACCTCACATTCTGTCCATTTTATTTATTTGTTTAGTCTGTCTCCCCCTGCTGGAACGTAAAGGCTAAGATGGTGGGGGGCGGGAGGGAGATATTGAATTTACTTAAGTACTATATTTCAGCATGTAAAACAGTACCTAACACACAGTAGGGATTTTAACATCTGCTGAATAAATACGTTCTCATTATAGTCTGAGTCCCGTGAACAGGTGAGCACAGACCCAAACTCTAACACTTCCTCTCATACTAAGCAGATGAGTACTGAGGACACTGAAACATGATTTAGACTCAACTGTACGCTAAGCCTTTTACCATATGAGGGTGGTCAAACTGCAGGGAAGCGATCTGAAACAACAATCTTAATTTCTCTAACTTTTTAACAGACTACCTTCCTTCCCATCATAGGTCATCAGTAAATATAAAGTCAGAGGACAAATTAACTTTTGTTATAACCACTGTCCTTGGAAATTAGAATAAAATCTCTAGAAAGAAGGAAAATAATGGCTCAACGTCTTTCTCTTCTATAAAATAGTCTCCACCTACCACATCTCCGGCTTTCTAATTTATCACAGTTATAATCTAGGAGAACACCTGGTAGAAGCCAGAACTCTGTCCAGCTCTACAATAAAGAACTGGATCTGTGACCTCAGTCGCCTTGACTATAAAATAGACATAGCCTAAATGATTCTCTAAGGTTCCTTCTAGCAATAAAAACTTCAAGTTAGCTGTGATTATTGATGGGGCAAAAAATATGAGAGCAGTTGAAGTCCATGATCACAGAATACTTCAGAAGCGTCCTCTAACTTCAGTAATTTCCTTTGCTACAGCTCAATCCCTTCTTAACCTCTAAAGCTTCCCACCCTTTTGAAACTCCCTTCTGGGGTACAAGAAGCAGTTTTAGATTTCCTGGAATTATCCTTTTCCTGCTAGTTCTCAAGACTTAATTCCTGTTTAATGTTGAGTCAATGCTGGGATTCAGGATCTTGGGACCAGGAAGGCTTGTAGGGACCCCAGCAGCTCTAGACCATTAGTCTACAGACTCATTTTCCTTCTCATTATTTTTTTTTTTTTAAGATTTATTTATTTATTTTACACAAGAACCAGGGTACAGGCCAGATGTGCAGGAGGGTGAGAGGATTCACCAGAGACAGAGCGGGGAACAGAACAGGCAGACTGATGAAATACACTGCTGAAGGGAGCAGCAGGCGAGACAGGAGAGGTCTGCTGTGCCATGTGGGACCCTCGCCGGCCAGCCGGGATCAAACCGGTGCTGCAGAGGCTGTGGACAGCTTCACAGCGTGGTGCTCAACCACCTGTGCCACCAGGGGAGGCCCCACCTTCTCATTACTTAAATGCACACCATACCACATGAGTTGTATCTCTCTTATGTAGAGATTCTCAGGTGGGCTTAGAGATTTGGTGATGGTGGTAATATATTCAACAAGGATATTCACACGTAGTTTGAAAAAGTTCCATGGAGATACACAATTTATTTTCATGTTAATACACCTTTTTGTTTTTAATGTCTGGTTCTACCCTATTGGTGGGCATTTAGGTTGTGTCCTTTATAACTATTATCACCAGTTACAGTGACCACTCCTCCCTTCCCCACCATATACATATACATCTACCTATGTACACACATAGTCATACAACTATCTATGGCACAAAGGCATCTGTACTATGGCACTCAAGTTTCCAGTTCCCTGAAAAGAATATGTAAAAAGAATCCATGACAACTTGAAAGTGGTACCACACTAAAAAAAAAAAAAAAGAAAATGGTACCACACTGTATCCTTACCCTCAGCAACAATGCTCACTGATAATCAAACAGGTGAAGCAACAAATACAACTTCCTTAGGTACAACAGTCTCCTGAGTTTTCTCACAGTCTATTGATCATGTTGTAAACTTTTAATTCCAAGAACACAGAATGAAGTATAATTTATTTATGAGGCACCAACAACATTTCCAAAATTATCCTGTTCTTTATTATATAACAGGATGTTTTCTCTATTTGTTTTTCTTACTCTGTATTTATTCTGAAGCCCAAAATGATGGGACCAAGGAAAATGATATGAACAAAATGAGAGAGGAACTAGAAAACTATTTGAAAATTACTATAATACACCAAAGACAGTTGAAATTAAATCTAAAAGCCACAATGTTGAGAGTCTAAAATCCCCTCAAAAGTTCTTAAGATTGTTGGTGGATATATTAACAAAGTGATTCATGAATTAAAACATGTTCTCTATATTTTGTCAGCTTCAGGGGGGCTGGAAAAGTAAGTGGGCAGAATAAAAAATGATCTAACCCAAGATTAAGGTAAAGAGCATGCAAGAGATATAATTAAAGCAAAATTTAAAAACAGGAGACAGAATTTTAAATACAAGTCTAAACAGTCAAATAGCTGATGGGAACTGTGGTGAGTCAACATAATCCCCCCACCTAAACCTATTCAATTCTTGTGAGTGCAAAAATACCTTTTCTTTATTTCTTAGATGAGATCAGAAATCTTATTTTCTCCATGCTCTGACTGAACCTGAATTATATCCTGACCTCTGGTTCATCCTATCCAAAGCAGCTAAAAAGTCACACTGGGCTGTTCCAGGGAAGTCTGATATTTTCAAAGGTATTCTTTCTCTGAGACTGTTTCAAGGGAGATCAATTTAATACCAGAATGTCTAAAGTATTTTTTTAAGCAGAATTCAAACAGAGTGAGAACACAGAGACTGAATAGGTCACACTTTTCTTATTGAGATTATAAAAATTCTTTGTTTAAACACTAGGAGAAAGGAAGGAAGGAATGAAGGGGAAAAGGAAAACAGGAAGAGAGTGAAGGAAGAAAGGGAAAATAAACAAGTCACAAATCTTAGACTCAAAATTTCAAACGTTCAACCTAAGAATAAGACAAACATACATACAATATTGAGAAGCAATTAGAGTAAATTTAGAAAAAGAGGATAGCTTTCTTTTTTTGGCTAAATTCAGAAGTTCTGGTATCTAAGTTAAGACGACCTGTTGCACAACATTAATTCTTTTATTGAAAAGTTGGAAATGTCCTAAAATCCATTTGAGCAATCATGTATTAGGAATATTTTATTAATGACTCTGAACAAGTATGCATTTGACAAACATCTGTGGAAGAAAAGCTGGCCCAACTTCTTCAGGATAACACTACTATACCAACAAATGTAAATAATTTTCAAAGGTTTCCGAGTCACAGGACTTTGGCATGGAGGGAGCCCTAAGAACATGATCTAGACCAGAGGTCGGCAAACATTTTCGATAAGGACTGGAGATATCAACTTCAGTTTGTGGGTCACATGGTGTCTGAAACAAACCGTTTGATTCTGCAGCTGTTGTGCAAAAGCAGTCAGAGACAACAAGCAGATGAAGAGGCATGACTGTGTTCTAATAAAACGTTTATTTATGGGCACTGAAATATGAAAGCTACACATCTGTTGATCTTTTTTCAACCACATAAAAGTGTAAAGACCATTCTTAAATCGTGGACCATACATAAATAAGCAATGGGCCAGATATGGTACATGAGCCAGCTTGCCAACCCTAGAAAATTAAATGAGGTTAAGGGGGATACTTAAACTATTTCATAAAATATCAGGCATTACTAGAGAAGCCAGTCAGGTGGGGCCTCATGTTGTCTACATAGAAAACTATCTAAAGCTATCAAAAGGAGCAAAAAAAGGACATTAAAAAGGGAAATTAAGTTTCTGACTCCATTGAGAGGGACATCCGTAAGCTCTCTGAGGGAAAATAACACTTTTAGGGAGCTATCCTATAGACCATGAATTCTTCATGTAGGAAACTGTAATTTTACATGATTTTATACAGGAAGAAAGGAAGCAGCAATTTAACAATCAAGTCAAAGGAAAGAATGGCAACAAGATGACTATAATCAGAGAAGAGAGAACTGCAAAGTCCAAAGAGGCTAAAGATCCAGAAGTTGGGGATGAGGTAAAAAACAGTGACTAAAAAACTAGTCAGTAAGTATCACCAAATAATGAAATTAGCTGTGTGCAATGCAAAGTGACCTACCTGAAGAGATAGTTTATAAGTCTGATGCTAATGAGAGAAGGATGCTTCTATAATCTCAGCCACTAAAACACAAATCATGTGAGAGAAACTGAACACTAATTAATCATATCAATCCCTCTGTTATAACAGAAGGATGGAGGTTCAAATGGAAAAAGATGGAAAAAAGACTTCCCTGGTGGCCTACAGATTAAGTCTAAGGGCTACCACAGAGATGGCCCACCCCAACTGTCTGAGTTAGATCCCTGGCCAGTTACCTAACCCACATGGTGCAGCAGACCTCTCCTGTCTCTTGCCTGCTGCTCCCCTCAGCAGTGTATTTCAGTAAATCTGCCTGTTCTGCTCCCCACTTTGTTCCTGGTGAATCCTCTCACCCTCCTGCCTCTGGCCTATACCCCAGTACTTCTATGCAAAGATAAATAAAAATTAAAAGAAAAAAGAAAAAGAATCTGTATTACTCTGCAGGACTTTCCTGTGAGGAAAGGTAGCTCATCCAGCTACCTGTGGAAGGAGAGGTCTCTCCACTCGCCATCCACTTCTGGAATAGAATGGCTTCCCTGACTATCCCACTGTGAATGAAGGCTCTAGCCAGGTCACCTCAGTATCTCATTTGCCTTTCAGTTATATCTCTCCTTACAAATTAAGAAACTTGGTATTCATGTGTATATTAAGTCTCTGATGGCTTTGATGAGCATAAAGGAGCCCCAAAAACCTCTTGATGATGACACTGGGTGAAATGATAAAAAAACACCATTGAGTTCTCCAACGCAGTTTGGGAAACTGCAAACTGAGGACAAGACAACAATAACACCACAAAGGGACACGTAACTGTGAGGCTACCTTGTGCGGCCATCACTAATTATTCTCTTTTTACTACCTTTATTTTTCTTATTTTTTATTTTTTAAAGATTTATCTATTTTTATTCAAGAACCGGGGTACAGGCCAGAGATGCAGAGTGAGAGGATTCACCAGAGACAGAGCAGGGAACAGAACAGACAGATGGACCGAAGTACACTGCTGAGGGGAACAGCGGGCGAGACAGGAGAGGCCTGTCCCACCATGTGGGTTTCTCCCTGGCCGGCTGGGAATCGAACTTGTGCTGCAGTGGCTGCAGATTGCTCCATAGGTTGCATCTTAACCCCTGCGCCACCAGGGAGGCCTCTTTTTTTACTCCCTTTAAAGAGGGGTGCAGTAGTCAAGAACGCTGGGCTCTGGAGTCAAATTGCTTCCTTTGAACAAATACACAATCACTTCTTAAGGTTTCTTAAACTCTGAATTGTTTAAGCAATTTTAGAAAGATATACCTTAGAGAGTTACTATGAGGATTAAAATAGATATAATATGTATGAAGCTCTTGGCACAATGCCTGGCACCTAGAAAGCACTCAGTAAGTGGCAGCTTTTTTTTATTACTACCATTGCCATTATATTTTACTGTTATTAACTGTAACAATGAAGATAAACTGTTTCGCTGAGTTCATCAACTCCTGTGGTGTTCCAGTAGTTGATGGTCATTTGTAGTTTTCCTCTTTATCTGAAGATCTACAGAACAATGGTCCTACTTGGGGCACATTAATTACAATTCAAGACCCCAAACAACTCTTCACAAGCCCTTCAACTTAGGTACAAATATGCTGCTCCTTCAATAGCTCTTACCTTGATCACACAAGCATACCTGCTCAATCTCATTCCCTGCTTCTGGCCAGACTCTAAATCATAAAATTACCTCAAACTTTCCTACTCTTCTTCCTACCAAATTAACCTTTTTTTCAATTATTATAAAATAAGAGCTCTCCAACATTATGGCAAGCTTGACACCTACTAATTCCTGATGTGAGGACTTTAACATTTCCTTATACATAGCAGATAAACACAGAGATAGTGAGCCATCAGGGAAAGGCAAATTAAAACCACATGCGGTCATTTCATTCACTAGAATGGTGACAGCAATAACTTTTTAAAAAGATAGACAGTAGCAAGTGTAGGCAAGAATGTAGAATAACTGCCAACTCTCATACATTGCTGGTGGGAATGTAAAATGGTACAGGCCCTTGGGAAGTCTGGAAGTTCCACAAAAGTTAAACATTGAGTTACTATGACCAGCAATTCCACTCCTATACATATGTGAACTGAAAAAACATCTCCACATCAAAACAAGTACACGAATGCCCACAGCAGCATTATTCATAATAGCCAAAAAGCGTTAGCAATCAAAATATCCATCAGTGGATAAATGGATAAACCAAATGCAGTATATTCTGTAACAAAGAGGAATGAATACTGACACCCACGACCATGCGAATGAACCTTGAAAACATTATGCTAAGGTCACATATCGCATGATTGTTTTTAAATGAAAACATCCAGAAAAAGCAATTTTAGAAAGCTAGAAAGTAGACTGTTGGTTGCCAGGGGCTGTTAAGGGTTGGGGAGAAATGGGAAGTAACTGTTAATGTTATTAACAGTTTCATTTTAGGGTAATGAAAATGTTCATTAAATTGACTGTGGTGGCAAATATACTAAAAGCCATTGATTGTACACCATTCAATAGGTGAACTGTATGGTATATGAATTTAATCTTCATAATTCATAAATTAGTTAAGTATCTGCCAAACGAACAACAATGACCTAAAGTACTCTAGTGAGTCCTCAGCACTAGGAATAAAACTAGCCAGCTAAGTCATGAAAATGGGCTGAAATAATCCCTCAGAACCAAAGATTGCATAGCCATTGTTAAAAGCCATTTAAATCAAACATGTTAGCTTTTCACAAGACTCCAGAACATTTTCAGTGTCCTAGTTATAGCACATAAACATAGTATCTTACAAATGTACATGTTTAATGTTTTTGTTGCTTTTTTTAATAGTGTAGGTAACTTCCATATCATTATGTATTGTATAAGCTACAGAGTTAGTCACAACTAACTTTAATTCACTTATTTATTCAATAAACATTTATTCTATTCCTACTTCATACCAGGCAATGTCCTAATTGTTAGGGATACAAGGATGGCTGAGATGGAAGCCCTGCTCTTGAGAAGCTCACTAAATAGTGAGCTGAAAGTTAGGAGAACATTCTAACTGTATGGATGCAAATGAAATAAGCTCCTAAAAAATGTATTTCAATGAAAGTGATGATTAAAAATTTACAGTGCAGTGACCATTAACCGTGTAGTGACAGTCCCCTGAGGAGCAGCCTACCTGTTCACATGCTCCTCCCAGTCCTCTGGAGGTGGAGGGGCATCAGCATCGGTCCTGGCGAAGATAACGTGGCGCTCACACTCATTCATCACGGTGCGTGCCTTCTGATTGTCGTAGAGTGGCACAGGAGTTGATGTGACTGTCTCTACATCTATTGGGACATCTGATTCACTGTAAACAGGTGAGGAAATAAATAGGACATGTAGTTTACCCAATATAGCTTAATTAACAATAACCTGATTGCCCAAAAATGTCTCTTGAATATAGCCAGCTTTAAAGTATATATGAACTCCATTATATATTCACAAGAAAATTTTGATCCAAAGTTATCTTTCCTATACTGTCTAGATTTCTGACCTCTGACATACTGGTGTTTGATCTGCTAGGAGAACACAAAATCACTTTAAGGTAAGTCTATGGCAAAAACTGACAAAAAGCAAATTTCCTTCAAAAAAGGCAAATATATTCCATAAGCAACTAGCTGATTGCTTAGATTGCTTTCTAACATAGTAGTGACAACCACATGCAACTATTTAAATATAAATTAAAGAGAATAAAATACTCAGTTCCTGAGTCATATTAGTCACAGTTCAAGTGCTCAATAGACATGTCTGGCTAGCGTCTCCCACACTGGGCAGCACATGGAACATGTCTATTAGTGCAGAAAATTCTGTTGGACAGTGCTGGTCTCAAGTTTTAAATCATTCACGCAAACTTTCCCCTTCATCAGCAATCAACCAGCAGTTAACTGCATGTTTTAAAAGCCTATGATTGCCTAATACAGATCATCTGGAATGCAGACACCTTCGCTATTAACTCACATGTGGTAAGGATCCCAGTACAAAAATAGAAATGGACATCTGAAGGGTCTTTCATATTTTAATGAAATCCTAGTGCCACGAGGATTTACTGTACCACTTTTGTCACCCAAAATACTACACCAGTCTACTAGTTGTGTACCAAACCTCACTTTAACTTTTTGAATCTTGATAATCTTACCCATTTCCAATGACTGGAATAATTACTTTATTATGAAATGAAGTGAAATATTCGCAGCTAAATGTGGTGATGGGTGAAAGAGATGATTTATCTTCTCTGGATGAGATGCTGGGCTTAGGGACTTGGGCTTATCAGCCTATAAGCACTCCTGATTTCACCATCCCAAATCTACCTTTCCACCAATATTTCCCAACTCATGTCACCACAGCTACTCAAGACAAAAATCTAAAAGTCATCTTAATTTCACCTTTGTCCTTTACCTGACTCCTCTTTCCAATCAATCACAGAAGATCCTACTGGCTCTACCTATGATATATACATCAAGGCCATCCATTTTTCTCCAAGTTATTTTAATCTCTGGGTCCCACTAATGAAATGGCCTCTTTGAAGGTTTTCCTCTATTCCAGTCCTCTACAGGATCTATCCAACAAAAATTCAAAGTGATCTTTTCAAAATACAGACCTAATCTCTAACTTAAAATCTTTCAATGGTTTCTTGGCACTCTTAGAAATAAATTTCTACATGAGCTGGTAGCCTCTGACAACTTCTCCCCAGCTCTAACTTAATCCCTATTGCAACCATCTTCCAACTACAGTGGCCTATTAAAGCATTCCTAAAACATATCCCAACAACTACTTTCAGGGTCTATATGTGAAGACAGTTTATAAGAGCAAATAATTTTCTAAGTACTGAAATGACCAAGTCCATAGAATCTTATTTTAAGAGAAATATAATGAAATATGAACAAGGAGTTTCACTGTCAGCAACAAACTATTACCTAAGTAAGAGAAGATTTCAAATTCTAGTTAAGGGCTGCTCTGGTGGCATAGGGTTGTTAAAGTCGCAGTGCTATCAAGCTATCACCAGCCACTGTGGCATGAATTCAATTCCCAGTCAGGGAGCTGACACATATGGTGCAGCAGACCTCTCCTGTCTTGCCCTCTGCTCCCCTTAGCAGTATATTTCAGTAGATCTGCCTATTCTGGTCCCAGCTCTGTCTCTGGTAAATCCTCTCACCTCCCACACCTCTGGCCTGTGCCCCAGTTCTTTTATGCATAAATATTTTTTAAAAAATCAAATAAAAGTCACTATTCTCTAACAAGTTAAGAAAGAAAGGTCTTGGGACAATGCTCCTAAATTGCAGGCAAAGTCAGGAGATGCAAAACTACCGACAGAAAAAACTTAATTGTTGCTAATGTTGGAACAGTACACTTTTGGAACAGGACACTGAATTAAAAGAATAAGTGATTCTGTATGGCAATTTTTTAAATCAACTCTTCAGTCTTTTCCTTCACCAGTTACATAATCATCTTCACATTCCTGTTTCCATTCAAATCCTATTATTTAAGTAGGAAAGGTTAGTTGTCTTCCTTTGAACACTTTGCTTTCCTAAATCATAAAATACCTTGAATACATGTGTCTACATATAGGTCTGATATCCTCCTGCTGCTTATCAGAGATGTCAGAATAAACATCCAAGCCCCCATGTGATCTTCCCCAATAAAATTCTCTCTAATGCCCACCATATGATCACTGCCCAGTCAGGGCCCATGGTAGCCTTTAAAAGAGAAGCCCAAACTCACATGGTACTTTCATGCTGCCTTCGGGGAGTAACAAAGAGCATGCGGGTGGGGCGGGCACTACTGGCATCTGGGTGGGCACTCCATGGCTTGGCATAGCTATGATCCAGAAAAACCAAGTCCAGTTCCCTTTCGTGCACTGAAAGCTGGAAGAGCAGGGAGGTGCCCATGCGTCGTGCTGAAGTTTGGAAGTCCCTCTCCCCACCCCGGTGGGCCATGTCAGTAGAGGGGCAGCAAGTCAAAGAGGTGTCTGCATGCTGGTCATCACCTGTAATGAAAAGTTTCAATTTAAGTCAATTCAAACATTCTAAATTGTCTTCTAATCTCACGTATCTAATATGCTTCTTTTGTGACCTTATCATTCATAATTGAACAGCCCTTATATATTGTAGTAGACCCTCACCCACAAAGGGAGGATTCCTGAGATTCCACATCACCACAAAAATCAAAACAAAACAAAACAAACAAACAAACAAAAAAACCAAAAACTATGATGGGCCTCCCCGGTGGCGCAGCGGTTGAGCGCTGGGTTGCGAAGCTGCCCGCAGCCTCTGCGGCGCCGGTTCGATCCCCAGCTGCTCCCCGGCCACTGGAGGAGGGTCCCACAAGGCGCGCAGACCTCTCCTGCCGCCCGCTGCTCCCCTCAGCAGTGTACTTCAGTCCTGCCTGCTCTGCTCCCCACTCTGGCTCTGTTGAATTCTCTCACCCTCCTGCGCTTCTGACTGAACCCAGTGCTTGTATAAACAAAAACTAACAAACAAACAATAAATAAATAAATAAAACATGCCTCTATTTAAAAAAAAAAAAACCAAATAAATAAATAAAACATGCCTCTATTTAAAAAAAAAAAAAAACAAAGCTATGATGCCCTGAATTCCTCATACTCAATACTCATACTCATACTCAATACTCCTCATACTCTGCAAAATTCCTTAACAGGAAAGCTAAGCGACTTCACAGTGGACAAAGGCCTCATGTGGACAAATATGAAGACTTGCTTATCCAGTACCACAATTTCCTAAGTGGGCTGGAAGGGTTTTGACAAACACGAATCAGGAAAGTTAATTCTTCCAAAGCTAAGGGTGTCCCCTGCTGCATTTTCTAAAGCTTCACAGAGCCGGCTGGGCAGCCAGAGTTTGAGCATCCCAGTAACAGCCAGCAACGTGGGCCTCAAGGAAGCTAATCCCAGCAAGCGCTCATTTCCTCGAGGTTTCTTGTTTAATGGTAAGTAACAGTTTTGCAACTACTTCATAATACTCCAGAGTATTTAACACATACACGGGAGAGGCCCTCCCCACAGCCTACTGCCCGGGCGCAGTCCCCAGGAGCGCTCTCCCTCACCCCAGGTGAAGCAGCCCCGGCAAACCGCCCGGCGCTCCAGGTACCCCGATGGGGTCTCGCCAGTGAACCTCAAAACGGCCCATCTAGTAGGCAGAGCTTAAAATTCGCGCGTAATCGCTGAAGGCGCCGGCTCGGCGAGAAGAACCGAGTTAGCCAAGGTCACCGCGAGTTCGCGACGAGGAGGAGCAGCCCAGCGCCCGCCCGCCCGCCCGGGCCGGCGGGGCTCCCGCGTCACGGCGGCCCAAGTGCCTCCCCAGACCCACACGCCCGTCCGGGTCCGGATCTCCCAGTCCCGGGCTCCAGTCCCCGGCCTCGGCATGCCCGGGGCCCCGAGGACCTCGCCAGGCCCCCTCCCGCTCCCACCCCCGCCCCGACCCCCAGGGCCCGCCACCCCGCCGGGGCCGACCTTCCCTCACCCGCAATCGTCGGGCCGCGCGCCTGGCCCGGGCCGGATCGCAGTGCGCGTGCGCGTTACCGCCTCCACGCCCCGGCGCTCCCGGAACCAAACAAAACGCGGAAACGGATCTTCCCCTGGGACGGGAGGGGCGGTGAGCGGGGAAACCCGGAAAGGATGCAACGGCGGCCACAACATCAGGAAGAGACCCCAGACCGCAGGCGGCTCGCGGAGAGGGAAAGTCAGCAGGAGTCGGGAGTTTCTGCCTCCTGCATTTGCGACTAGGAAGCTAGGGCGAAGGCGGAGGCTGGCTCCTGGGCCGTATTCTCGCTCTCGCCATTTCATTGTGCCTTTGCCTGTTACCTGGTCGGCGCTGGGAGGGGGCGTAACCGACTGTCCACCTGGGTGGGAGCTGGCTGCCCTCCGCCCCACCAGGTACTCGCTGAAAATTTGCCCTTCAGAAACACCCACAATAAAAACAAAAAAGCTGCTCCTCTCTCGGCCTTAGCACCATCTTCTTGGAAGCCTCTGCGCTATGAGAGCCGAGCGGAGAAAGAAGAGAATGCGCAGACTGAAGCTGATAAAAAAGAAAGATGAGGCAGGGGTCCAAGTAAGGTAGCAGCTGTGATAGCCGTGGAAGCCGCAGGAGCAGAAATAAAGAAAGCCAGAAGCCAGAGATGCTGGTACACATTGTTGGACCGAATGCTATACTATCTGGAACTTGTCTCGGTGGACCTAAACACCCAATACCATCTCATCACAGCGACCACCTTTGAGAGACTGTTATAGGACAGGGAGAGGGTCAGCCCAAACCCCGCAAACCTGCCTATTGTCTATTCTAAATGGGTTTTGCCATTCGCCGCATCAACACAAAACATATGAGACTTTAATGGGAAGGAACTTTAATAAAAACTAGGAAACAATACAGGTAAGGCAAAGAGCCTAGTTTCTAAATGAAGCACCCAAAGTTACCCGTCCCCTCGTGGGTAAAACTTCATCCATATGGGATCGGCCCAGAGCAAGGCCCCAAAGCCTGCTACAAGTCTAAAGCATCTTCCAGTGGGGACCCACAGAAAAGGGTCACAAACAACCGGACTAGCCCGGAAGGAAAAGAGCAAAATCAACATCAAGATAAAAGCTGCCATTGTCACCTCCCCACGGGTCTCACCCACATCTGTGTCACCCCGTCCACGACCAAAAGACAAGCGCAGCTTCTTCACGTGTCTCTAGGCTCCATGTGCCTCCTCCAGGTCTCCTGGCTTCATCCTGCTTCCTTTTTTCCTCAGTCTCTTCTCCAGCTTCTCCTCTTCCTGCTCAGCTCCACCCTCCCTTGGGTGGGGCAGGGAACCTGGAACCTCCCCCTTTCCTGGGGACCACCCTGTTACAAGACCACCTTTGAGAGACCCATCTTGCTCGCACCAAAGGAATGCCTTTTTGTCTTTTGCCCTGGACCTCTGTGTGTGACCTTCTGGACCTTCTAAGTCATGGCTTAATGTAACACGGGTACAATAAATCATCCCTTCTGCTATCTTAGCTAAAGCAAAAACAAACAAACAAACAAACAAATAAATACAGGATATTTTGAGTCTAAACTTCTTTTTAAAAAATTAAGTCTATTTGGGCCTCCCTGTGTGCAAGGGATTAAGCACTGCACTATGAAGCAATCCGCAGCCTCTGCAGCAAGAGTTCGATCCCTGGCCAGCCAGGGAGCAACCCACATGGAGCAGCAGACCTCTCCTGTCTTGCCCGCTGCTCCCCTCAGCAGTGTACTTCGGTCAGTCTGCCTGTTCTGCTCCCCACTCTGTCTCTGGTGAATCCTCTCACCCCCTGCATCTCTGGCCTGTACCCCAGCTCTTGTATGCGTAAATAAATCTTAAAAAAAAAAATTAAGTCTATTAAAAATAATTAAAGGAAAAAAAAGATCTGCCCAAAACTTGCCTGAGTGCTGAAATACAGAGGCCAATCAGACCACAGATCTGCCCATGAGAGACCACTGTGTCCTTTCAATGCTACATGTGCAGATACTTCACTAGGAGTCTTTCCTTCCATGACACCATCCAACCCACTCCTAGGGAAATTTTTCTTCTTCTAAAACAGGCTGGTGTCCTTCATGTTAATTACCACCTTGAAATCTAGTAGTGTTCTTGCCAGATACAGTGCATTACCCTTTCCATTTTCTCAGCAGCCTAGTGAAGTATCTGCACATGTAGCATTGAAAGGACACAGTGGTCTTGCTGGGGTCAGAAAGCCAAGGAGTTAAGCTCTAGAATTGGTACTCCCACCCCCAAGTAGTCTGGGCTCTACTTTGAAGGGGAAGGCCTCCCCTTTATTCCCTTAACTCTCATGGACAAAAAGACACTACTGAATGGGCAAAAATATATCTGCACACCATACATCCAAAAGAAACTCATATCCAAGATCCACAAAGAACTCATACAACTCAACAAGAACAAAAAATTCACCACAATCAAAAAAATGGGCTGAAGAACTAAACAGGCATTTCTTCAAAGAAGACATTCAGATGGCCAACAGGCACATGAGAAAATGCTCATCATCACTTATCATCCAGGAAATGCACATCAAAACCACAAATAGATACCACCTGTGAGTATAGGCCACATCAAAAACACCAAAAGCAAGAAGTGCTGGTGAGGATGTGGAGAAAAAGGGCTTACACTGTTGGTGGGAATGTAGATAGGTCCAACCCCTGTGGAAAATTTTATGGAGGTTTTTCAAAAGGTTAAAAATGGATCTACCATATGATCCAGCAATTCCATTCCTAGGTATCTTCTGGAAGAATACTACAACACTAATTTGAGAGGAGCTATGCACTCCTATTGTAACAGAGTAGTCCCCAGGAAAAGGGAAAGTTCCAGGTTCCCTGCCCCACCCAGAGGAGGGTGGAGCTAAGGAGAAAAGAAAAAGCTGGAGAAGAGACTGGAAAAAGGAGGAAACACTATGTTCATTGCAGCACTATTTGGAAACTACCCAGGCACCCAAAAACAGGTAAATGGATCAGGAAGATGTGGTGTATATACACAATGGAATACCACCACAGGAGTTTATATAAGATAAACTCTTGCCATTTGTGACAACATGGATGGAGGTGTAGGAGATTATGCTAAGCAACATAAGAAGATATGGAAAAACAAGACAAAAGGTGACCTAATGCCAAACTATCAATAATAGCAAACCCTACAAATCTGACAGTGGATCTGAGGCCAGGAGGGAAGAGAACGGAGAGGACAGTGGTGGGGGGCTGTGGGTGCTTGGGTGGTGGATGAGGTGTGGTAACAACACCTGAAGGCAGAGAGCCTATACCTCTGAAGCACAACATCATCAACCAATGTCACCAAAATAAAACAAAACAAGCTTGATAACAGTAAAAACAAACAAAACCCTTTCATTTTGTGCAACGTCTTGCAGAGCCTTTCTACTTGCTAAATGGGATGCTTCCAGCTTCCTGAATTACTTTAAAAAGTTAATGAAGGGCCTCCCTGGTGGCACAGCAGTTGAGCTCTGGGTTGCGAAGCTGCCGCAGCCTCTGCAGCACTGGTTCGATCCCCGGCCACCGGGCTAGGGTCCCACATGGCGCTCAGACCTCTCCTGCCATCCGCTGCTCCCCTCAGCAGTGTATTTCGTCGGTCTGCCTGTTCTGTTCCTCGCTGTGGGTCTGGTGAATACTCTCACCCTCCTGCGCTTCTGACTGTACCCAGTGCTTGTATAAATAAATAAATAATAAATAAATATTTTAAAAAGTTAATGAAATCTTGTGGGCCTCCCCGGTGGCACAGTAGGTTGAGCGCAGCGCTGTGAAGCTGTCCACAGCCTCTGCAGGGCCTGTTCGATTCCCGGCCGGCCAGGGAGAATCCCACATTGTGAGGCAGACCTCTCCTGTCTCGCCCACTGCTCCCCTCAGCAGTGTATTTCGTCAGTCTGCCTGTTCTGCTCCCTGCTCTGTCTCTGGTGAATCCTCTCACCCTCCCACTACTCTGGCCTGTACCCCAGCTCTTGTATAAAATAAATAAATAAATAAATATATTTTTTTTAAAGTTAATGAAATCTTTAAAAGTAAAAAAGAAAGATAAGCTGTCAGGAAGGTCTTCTTTAAAGTCTGCTGCAGCAGAAAACAATAGCAGCACCATGATCATGCATCCAAGTTCTTGGTCTTTGAATGCCACACATCTTTTAGAATTTGTAGTCAGCTTGCTGTGGAAGTGTTTGCTTAACTAACATACATTTTAAAAATACCTAATAATTGTCACACTAACCATTGGATAAGATGTAGTTTCTTCCCACAACGTTCAACCCTAAAGCAGTAGAAGCCTTAATGCACACAAAGGACCCCCTAAATTCCTCTTCAGAACCAAGAACAACTGCCTTTGTGACAGTGACTCTCTTGCTAGGCAACACACACAGGACTCTGCTGGGCCCTGTGAATAAGGAGAAACCCTGGGCCCAGGTGCTCCAGGAAGGAAGTGGCGCTTCAGAGGGACAGAGGAAGGAGGTCGAGATGCTGCGGCTGGTTGTAGAGTCAGCCAACATTGAACCTCCCAAAAGCCCCCCACCCCAACTCTGCATGTCCATCTACTTCAGAGGTGAGAGGCAGGGTCCTGGGTGGCAGAGAGGAGCTCCAAGGAGCAGTAGACTTTTGGGGGAGAATAGATTTATAGTTGTCTTACTACGTAAAAGATGCCCCATGTGACAAAAAGGCGAGGTAGACACCATCCACTTCTTTCAAAACTTTTCACCTCTGTTGATACTCTTTTATTATGGTGCCTCTGCCTCCTATTTCTCCCATGGGATGGCTATGAGAAAAAGAGAAGATTAATATTTCTTGAGCTTCTTCTATGAACTAAGACTGTGCCCCAAACTGAGGTTTAAAGAAAAAGATTACCTACTTCATAGGATTGTGTAAGGATTTAATATTTATTTATTTTTATTAAAGATTTATTTTTATTTATTTATACAAGCACTGGGTACAGTCAGAAGCACGGGAGGGTGAGAGAATTCACCAGAGCCAGAGCAGGGAGCAGAACAGATAGAAGGACTCAAGTACGCTGCTAAGGGGAGCAGCGGGCAGCAGGAGAGGTCTGTGCGCCATGTGGGACCCTCCTCTGGTGGCCGGGGAGCAGCCGGGGATCGAACCGGTGCTGCAGAGGCTGCAGGCAGCTTCACAACCCAGCGCTCAACCGCTGCACCACTGGGGGGGCCCAATATTTATTTATTTTTAAAGATTTATTTATGCATACAAGAACTGGGGTACCGGGCAGAGGTGTGGGGGGGATGAGAGGATTCACCAGAGACAGAGTGGGGAACAGAACAGGAAGATTGACTGAAATATACTGCTGAGGGGAACAGTGGGCGAGTCAGGAGAGGTCTGCTGCGCCATGTGGGTGGCTCCTTGGCCAGGGATTGAACTCGTGCTGCGGTGGCTGCGTGGTAACTTCATAGGTTATGTCTTAACCCTTTGTGCCACCCTTTGTATCCTTTGTGCACAAGTTCTAATAATAACTGCTCAGTAATCTGACTTGCTTTTACAACCAACAAAAACCTTTTCATAGACATGGAGTTTCGCTCTTCACAATTTTGTGAGATAAGTTTTCAAATCTCCATTTCCATAGATAAGGCAAGATGTCCCCAAAAAGTCTAAGAAAGGAGATTTGAGAGAATGGAAGAGATGAAGCACATCTACATAACAAATTGCTGAGGGCAAAAGGGGAGTAAGGGAAAGGCAAACGAACTGTTGGTGGAGGAGTATGTGGGCAAATGGAGAAGTGCCGGGAGAAAGAAAATTGGGACCAAGAGTAAAGAAGGACACGGGATTTCTATAAGAAACAGGAGTAAAGAGTGACATTCCTGGGGCCTCCCCAGTGGCGCAGCGGGTTGAGCGCAGCGCTGTGAAGCTGTCCGCGGCCTCTGCAGCACAGGTTTGATCCCTGGCCGGCCAGTGAGCAACCCACATGGAGGGACAGACCTCTCCTGTCTCGCCCACTGCTCCCCTTGTTAGGGGGGAAAGGATGTCCTAAGCTAATTCCATGCAGGCTTTGTGGACTCCACCCCCACCCCAGGCCAAAGCCATCAGGACTTTGGGAAAGACAAATCCCATCACCACCAAAGGGAAGGTGGCTGGGACCTGAGGGTGGAGTTAAGCAGCCAGGTTGGGTATAAAAACCAGACATGTGGGCCTTGGGGGGCTCGCTCTCTCTCGCTCACCTCCTGGCTTCACGGCTCCTGGCTCGCGGCCAGCTCTCAGAGTGTCATTTTGGGATGCCTGATCGGCGGATCGGGTAGGACTCATTTAAAACTGTCTCCCACTTTTCTCCCTGAGCTGTACATTTCCTCATTTGCCCTTCCCTTGTAAATAAACCTTTTATTAACCTTCCGCGTGTGCCTGCAGTAGAGCATTGATAAGTCCTTTTAAGCGCGTTTGTGAGGACCCAGAGTCAGGCACCCCGTTTTGTGTCGGGGCTGCCCTGTAACACCCTCAGCAGTGTGTTTTGGTCCGTCTGCCTGTTCTGCTCCCCACTCTGTCTCTGGTGAATTCTCTCACCCTCCTGTGCCTCTGGCCTATATCCCAGCTCTTGCATTAAAAAACAAACAAAAAAAACTTAAAAAAAAGAAAAAAGAATGACATTCCTTGCTTTTTGTCCTGGTCTGAAAAACTACTTGCTGAACACGGCAACACTCGGGTTAGACACTTGATACTTGAGCTCACAGTGAAGGGTATTTGTTGCTGGAGGTGTAGTGGATGCTCAAGGGAGTCTTCGTCTCACTGACTAGCTGCATGAGAGCAGGGAGCAGCTGCTCCTCTTCTTTATCTTGAGGTTCTGTCTCTGCACTTTGCGGGCGCTGTTTCCCTCCCTCTAGTCGCCTGTTACAAAGATGCCTAAAACCACAAATCCCCTTTTTGCCAGTAGATTTTCCTATAAATTCTTATAACTGAGTATTTGTTTGTTATTTTTAATTTCTCATCCACCTGTCTTCCCAGCCCCTCTCCCTCTGTAGACCATTACTCTGCACCCCTTCCTGATACTCAACCCAAATACTCTTTCTTTCTTTGGGAAGAATCTCAATGTATTCTAGGGGTTCTTTGCAGGGCTATAGACTGTCCTTTGTTAAAGATATTTCTGAAGAACAGGAATTTTACTGCATGAAGAGGCTTCTACAATTAAAGATGTTTCGGGATGTCTTAGAGTGTGTGGGGCTTAGCTCTGGTAATAAATAAACCCTTAAATCTTAGTAACTCAGTACAAATTTACCTCTTCTCACGTCAAGACCTGTCAGATAGCCCTCCCTGAGCAGCTCCTCCTAATAGTTTAGGGACTGGCTCCTTGCTGCCTGTGGCTGCAGAATCACCCTGGCACCACCCGGCCTGCAGATATTGAGAGTAGATGTGGGGAGTGGAGAGAAGGGAATAGAGAATCTCATGGGAGATTTTAGGAGCTAGGCCTGGCAGTGGCTAATAACCCCTCCATGCCCCACTGGGCAGAACAAGTCACATGGCTCCACCTGCCTGCAAGATGGCTAGAACTGTATCAGGGAAGAAAATGAGGCTCTGCAGACTTCTCCTGTCTCTCCCGCTGCTCCCCGAAGCAGTATATTTTAGTCAATCCGCCTGTTCTGCTCCCCAGTCTGTGTCTGGTGAATCCACTCACCTCCGCCTCCCCCGCAACCCTGCACCTCTGGCCTATACCCCAGTTCTTGTATGCATAAATAAATAAAAATAAATATTTTTTAAAATAAAATAAAATAAAATGAACATGTAACATTTCCTGTCATGTGAGGTGATGTTCCTATAAAAAGTGAGACATTTTGTAATCCCCAGAGTCAGAACGAATCAGTGTCATATCGTACCTGTTAATGCACACTTGAAGTTTTCTTGGAGTTTGAAACTAGACTTTGAAATACTTCCCTGTGACAATGCCAGTTCCCTGCTGTCTTTGCAGATTTCAAGAAGAGAACCCAAGAGATGGAAGGGAACAACCCTATATGGAATGAGGTAAAACACATGAGGGCAAGTCCAGATGAGACAATGACAACTGCAATAACAAGGTTGGGTCCAGGCCATGCTCAGAAATCCAGGGAGAGGAAGACAGGTGGCTCACTAGCTTTTCCCAAGTCTGGGGCATCTTGGGCTGAGCCTATAAGGCCTTGCAGGTCACATCTTCCCATTGCTGTGTTGGTCCATCTGGGGATGGACAATGGTACTGCCATTGTTCAACCTGGCCATCCTGATGTTTCCAGAAGCCTGAAGCAAAGACAAGTTTCCCTATGCAGGATCCTTCTCATTTTCATCCATCCATGTCCCCCAACTCAAACCCTCAGTTATGAACATACTCAAAATACTGCAATTCAATCCGCAGAAGCCCAGGTAGGATGTCTGGCACTTTGGTGAAAAGTAGCAAATGTCATCCTCTCAGGAAATCAGACTGAAGGGGAGTTCCTCAATTTCAGGGAGATAGCATCATCCTGTTCCCTACACCTTTTCCCACTTCCTAGAAAGATGGGAAGGGGAGAGTGGAAGAAGGATACAGACTTCTTTGTGCCTCCCACAGACCCTGATCTGGCACCTCTGGAACTGGCCCCTGGAGAATGACGATTACCTGCAAGTCATCCTTCGGGACATGAACGCAACAAAGAAAGAAAGGTGGGTGTGGGTGAGACAGAGGGTGTCTGGCTCTGACCAAAGCTACAGCAGATGTAGCACTTTCTAACTTGAATTCATAACTCACTCAGCTGCAAGGACCAGAACCCACTCCACACTGCAAACACACACACAAATGGGAGATTTGCAGAAGAGCAGCAACGGTAGGAGAGCAGACCCAATAGAACTAATAGAACTAGGAACCTGTGAACCTAGGAGCAGTTCTGTCTCTTCTGAAACTATAGGATCTCAAATCTCTACTTCTTTCCACCCAGCCCTGGCTTCCTATCATGAGCTCATTTTAGTGCCAACTGAGATGACATCCCACTGAGACCTACAGGCATGATGGCCTCCCTGGACAGAGCAATGGACTGGCCCAGTTTCAGTCAGGTGTCTACTCCCCAGCCAATCACTTCCCAATCAGGAGAAGAATTGAAGCAGAGTTGCTGGAAAGCATACAGGAAGGCCAGAGTCTAGGGCACCCACACTGCTCAGGGAGCCCCAACACCAATTCCCAGAGATTTGAGAGTCCTGCGCCCTCTGGTGGAGACTCTGCCTCATTGCGTCCTCCTTGTCCCCCACAAGGACAACACAGCCTTTTCCAGGGAAAAACATCTCTAGATAAAGCCATACTTGGGACAGAGAAGGACACACTTCCCCTGGCTCAGGATCTCACATCTGCTCCTCATCTCCCCAGGTTCATTGGGTTGGCCACAATACCGCTCAAACCCTTGGTAAGTAAACCAAGTAGAGTCCTTTTTGTGAAGAACCTGAAGTTGCTTGACCGCTCCAGGATGCCTACCGCTGTGAGTCAGGCCCCAGGAAGGATTGCTCCGCCATCATCTCCCTAACTTTTCCACTCGACCATCCACTCATCCATCCACCCTTTACCCTTCCATTTACCTTTTTAGATTGATTATTCACCCATGGGGTGTCAGCCCACCCGTGGGCTGGGCCTGGGCTACAAAAGTAAATGAAGCCTCCCATCTATTAAAGTAGGCACCACTCCCAGTGAGAACACTCCGGCTCATACACAGGGGTCGGTAAATGAAAATCCCACTTGGGAGGTAATGGGAGCCTTTACAGGGGAGGTGATTAAGACATGAGGAAACAAACAAGGAACCAGCCAAATGAAAATAGGCAAAAGCTATTTATTTATTCAGAGCTTTCTATTTAGAGAAGGAGTCAGCCACCATCACTTGTATTTTGCCAGAAACTCAAAGACAGGAAGGGGACAGAGTTATAGTAGGAAAAAGAAAGGTTGCAGGCACGTCCTGATTACAGGACACTGGCGTGGGAAAGCTGTAGGTGGGCCAAATAGAAGCCGGGCATCCTCTGCAGTTGATCACGGGTCCACACTTTCTCTGCTTGGTTCTAAACTGGAAGTGGGGACAAAAATTAGAAAAGCTGTTAGTTATGAAATCCTAGCCATTTTGGACTGATTATTATTGTTTAGCTTCCTGGATTATTGCTAGACATAGTGGTCTGACTTCCTACAAGTTTGGTTTGTAGCAGGCTGGTTTCTGGGACTGGTTACTCCAGCTGTTGGGTTAATTTCCTGAGTTGATTGCTGTAGATTGTGACTCAGGGTTCAATTTTCATATGCAGTCTGATCATTGTCCATTTGTATATTTGGTTCTCAGAAAAATCTTGAGGGGTATGAGTTTGCCCACTGGACAGGAAAGGAAGACAATCCCAGGCAGGGATGTAAGGTGCTTGTGGGAAGGCTGGGGAAAAAAAGACAGCACAGCAGGCTGAGGTGGGGGTGGGCTGCCCATGAAGGTGATGTAGGGTGGGGGGAGGGAAGGGTTTCTAAAAGGGGAAACGGTTGAGACTGGGTGGCAGGCCAAAGCCCTTTTGAAGGGCCTGTGGTCTGTACTGGTTAGCTGTGACTTTATGCTGATGGTTTAGGCACCTGAGGAGTGTCTAGGGGGCAATTCTTGTGCTGTTCTAGAGGATGGATGGACACTGAAGCAGGAGGTCAGTTAAGAGATATTTGCAGTTCCCACAGGAGTCCTGAGACAGCGGGCTAGAAGAGCTGTTAGCACCAGTGGTTCTAAACTGGTCCCAAGTCACCTCCTTTCTTCCCTACCCTGTTGCATCCCTTCTGTTGCCACCACTGCCATATGCTTCCTCTATTCTGCACATCCCCTCTTCTATAATCCATTGCTCTCTCCCCACCAGTTTATGACTTCCCTCCATCCCAGACCCTCATGGAGTGGCCCTGTATCATGACCAGCATTGCTCTGCCCAGGAAGACTGGGCATGAACTGATGTTGTGACCCGGCCAAGGACCACAAGGTCTGGCCTACAGCTTTCCTACCTTTGCCTTGCAGTGCACTGTCAACCTACAGGTGACCCAAATGACCAAGCATGATATTAAGAAGATAGGTATGTCCTTCCAAGGGGCTTAGCCCTGCCCTTCCCCAAGTATAGATGGATGGGTTCTTAGAGACAACTGAGACCCATCTCTTGAGGCCTACACAGGACTGTGACCAGGTTTAGGGTCTAGAGAACAGAATTTCAAACACTTGGCTGAGTCCATCTGTCATATAATATGTCCAGTTGTCATCTTCTGACAATGGATTTCAAAGGAGGCATCATGGTCACTTTCAAGAACCCCAATATGTGGAGAGTGGGGCTCAGGGATTCATAGTTACTGAGAGAGACCCATGGGAGAGACCCATGAAATATTCTGGGGAGAATGTGTAATCCCATTTGAACTTTTAGCTATGTTTTTAGTCAGGAGCTGGTCACTAGGGATATAACAATGAAATGGGAGAAATGCTTCAAAATCTCCTGAGCCCCTGCCTCTATGAACCCACCTGGACTGTGTATCCCCAGGGAAAGAAGATCAGCTGGGCATAAGTGAATTAGTGGCGGCCAGACAGAAATTGATGGCCCCCACGTCCACTGTGCCCAAGGCTCTGTCCTCAAGACCTCAGCATTTTCAGGTAAGGACCTTCCAGGTTGAAAGCCACATGAACCCTCACTGTGTTCCCAGGCCATTCCTTCCTTTCCACAAAGTCAATATACAGGGTTGAAGCTTCAGACTACTTACAAGTCCTCAGTTCCTTGCCACATGCCCTAGTCCTCCAGAGCCATTCTGGGGAACTTGGGAATGTAGCTAAAGCTTGATACAGTTCCACTGAGGAAGCACTGTTGGCTATGCACCAGCAGGCTCTGGAAGATGCTAGGAAGTAGAGAAGGCCTGGCCCCTGCCCTATAGGAGATCTTGGCATTGTTGGCAACACCAGGCTACATGCAAGGTGAAACTAGCCACACAGGAGAGGCTGAAGAGAGTTTGGGGGATCTGTGGGATGGTCCATGGGTTCAACTGTGAGTTCTGGAAACCCCACCCCATGGCTAACCAACTTCCCTGTGCTATCTAGCCTGACCTAATATTTCTGCTAAGGTTTTGCTGCCACTTGTTCAGGAGACTGGGGGCCATCATTGATTACCTCCCCTCTTCACCTCACCCTTGCATCCAGTCATTGGTCAAGTCCTAGGTTATAATACCACCTGACTATACCCACATCTTCATTGCCACTTCTGTTCCCTGGCCTGAGCTACCTCTCCATTGCCTCCTTGGGCCACCTCAGTAGCTAGACCCCTCCCAAACACCTGTCCATTCTTTTGTCAAAGTGGTCTTTCAAAAACATCATTTTCATCATGCCATGCATCTGCTGTAAAATATCCTTAAACATGAGGATACCCCAGTGTCCTCAAGACTAAATCCAAGTCCTTATATGATGGTTTTTCCCAGGCCCCTTATAACTCAAGCCTTCCCCAGCCAAGCTCCCCCATACCAGCAGCCAAGATAACTAGCAGTCCCCATTCTCAAGCCTGCTGTCTGATCACCAGGCCTTTGCACATCAGTAGCCTTTGGAATACCTTCCCTCTCCCTGTTGGCCCATCCCTTCCACCAGGCTAGTTTACCACAGGATAGGTCAATGTGCCCAATCACTGCCTCTCCTATATTCTAGAGGTTAAGGCAAATTTCAGACATGAGGACATGACCCTGGCTTGGCCCACTCTTAATGGTCAAGTAGCTGCATGTGTATCTATCCCTGAAGGGACCTGGACATGATGGAGACACAGAAGACCTCTGGAAGATGGCCCAACCCTGGTCTGACTTGGGCAAGCTGGAGGCTGTTAACTACCTTATGGTCACATGACAGGTCCCCACCACTGTCCTGCCAGACACTGCCATTTCCTCTTCCTTCTCCCACCCGGCCTTAATCTAGATCTTACATGGGCTGCTCATTTTTTTTTCCGTTTTGCCTTTTGATTCTAGGTTTAGATGTTACAGTCCCTTTACTGAGCCTCTGTGGATTACATAAAGCAGTGGAAGAAATCACAAATCACTGATCAAATCACAGATCGTAGATTCAACTGCTTAGAACTGATAATTTTCAATTCCTAAGAAAAGGTCATAGATGAAAAAAATCCCGCATAACTCACTGAGAAACATTAGACTTTATCTTTTTATTCTGTAACAAGCCCATACCAATTGAGGAGGGACACTAGGTCTACACAAGATGAAAAAGTGAGGTGATTCTCACCAGGGCCCTTTGTTCTTGTAGAGAAGAGTCCTGTTGGGAAGGAAGCTTGGGCCCACAAAGTCAGGTTGCCCTGTTTTATCTTCTAGGTCCGAGTGAGGGTGTTTGAAGCCCGACAGCTCATCGGCAATAACCTCAAGGTGCTGGTGAAGGTGGTCATCGGAGGCCACCAGTACCACACGCGGGTCCAGATGGGAAGTAACCCTCTCTTCAATGAGGTGGGCACACCTGCCCTTCAGGGCTAAGCAAGGCACTGTGGCCAACTGGCTCAGCCAGGGCGGGGGGCTTCCTGCAGGCAGCCAGCAGACTTGTTCCTTCACTACAATGCTTTCTGCTGTTCATTCTGTTACAGGGAAAACTCCGATATAAAATGGGGTTGCCTACCTGTGGGTCCTTACCCGCGCTTAAAGGGGACTTTTTTTTTTTTAAGATTTATTTATTTATTTATACAAGCACTGGGTACAGTCAGAAGCGCGGGAGGGTGAGAGAATTCACCAGAGCTGGAGCGGGGAACAGAACAGGCAGACTGACGAAGTACACTGCTGAGGAGAGCAGCAGGCGTCAGGAGAGGTCTGCGCGCCATGTGGAACTCTCGCCTGCGGCCAGGGATCGAACTGGAGCTGCAGAGGCTGCAGGCTGCTTCGCAGTCCAGAGCTCAACCACTGCTCCACCAGGGGAGGCCCTAAAGGGGACTTATTAATGCTGAACTGCAGGCACACACAAAAGGTTGATGAAAGGTTTATTTACAAGGGAAGAGGAAATGGGAAATGAATAACTCAGGGAGAAAAAGAGGGAGATAAGTTGGTAAATGCATCCTACCCATTCTACCCATTCCCATTGAGCCACCGAGCTGGCGGAAAAATCTAGCACCCCGAGTGGCCAAGAGGGCGGCCCCTCCCCCCCCACATGGCCAGTTAAATACTCAAAAAGAGAGCCTAGTTTCTTAACTCCGCCCTCAGGTCCTTGCAACCTTCCCTTTGGTGATCATGGGATTTGTATTTCCCAGTGTCATGGGGGTGGAGTCCACAAATCCTGTGTGACATTTGCTCAGGACATCCTTTCCCCCTAACAATTCCACAAACATTTCCTGAGCACCTGGGAGGGCTGGGCTCTGTGCCGGGTTGGGGATGCAGATGAAGTTATTGGAGCCCCGCCTTTTGTTGAGGAGCCAGAGCCAGTGTGGGGGCTCTGGCATGTGAACACATAGATTGTTAGGGGGAAAGGATGTCCTTTTAAACGCGCGGGTGAGGACCCACAGTCAGGCACCCCGTTTTGTATTGGGGTTGCTCTACAACAAGATGACAACCTTGGAGTAAGGCTGGAGTACAGAGGTCTAGGAGGGTCATGAACGCAGCTGAGAAACGCAAGCTCAGGCCATGTAATCTTATCTCTTCTGCAACCTCAGCATTTGGCATTGCCACCTCCCCAAATTGTAGTATTATTCATATACAGTAGGAACTCTAGGAACACTTTTTGAGTTGGCTGGTGAATAGAAATAAAACATAAAAACAGAGAGGGCAGAGAGCAGAGGACTTGGGGAAGGTAATTCATGCAAAAAGTGTTTGCAGAGGCCTGGAAGAAAGAGCAGAACTGTAGGTATGGGTGTTGCTGCAGGGGACCCTGCAAGATGAGCTTGAGTCCCTCATGGAGGGCACCTGGGAGCCACAAAGGATATAATCTGGAGAGTGACATGACCAGTTTTGCATTTGAGAAAGCAACAGGCAGCAACAGGGTGTGGTGGTTGAGTGGGCTGACAGGGTAATCAATAAGGAGGCAAGGTTCAAATCTCTAGCCCCAGGGCAGCTAACTGGGCCTTGGGTTAGGTTCTCCAGGGATCCCTCCCCTGTCCTTCCCCAGGACAGAAACCCCTCCAGAATCCTGTCTGCTTCCAGAGGAGGAATGTGAGGGTGGTGGCAAGCTGAAAGAGATGAAATGGGCAAATCAGGGGGAAGAAGCATGTTCATCTGAGCCTTTAGGTGTACTGAGTCCGGGTGAAGTGTGGAAGAAATGTCAGACATCCTATCCCCCTTCTTTCTGCGTCAGATCTTCTTCCAGAATTTTTATGAGGTGCCTGCAAAGTTCTTCGATGAGATCATCTTAATCCAGGTAACTAGTCAGACAAGATGGTTCCTCTTTCTGATCCTGCATCCATTCTAGCAAGCACTTCAGGCCCCAGCCCAGACTGGTTTTAGATTGCTTTTCTGAACCCAAAGCAGCATCTCTACCACCTTCTTCAGTCTCTGGCAGCCCAGACCATTCATTCATTCACTCACTCACTCACTCATTCAATAAATGTTATAGAAGTTACAGATAGACAAATGCTAGGCCCTGAAGTAGGCACTGAAGTGAATAAAGCAGCTCCTTCCTGTGCCAGGATTCTCATGCCACCAAAAGACTCTTCAAGGGCCCCCTCAACACGAGCCATTCCTTGACCAGTAGAAGCCAGGTGACAGTGGTGAGCATGTGTTTGCCAAGGGCCTCCTCTGTGTCCAGCTCAGGGTTAAGGCAGAGAGGCCTTTCCCTGAAGGGTCAACAAGATCTTAGGAACTGAGACCTGTTGGAAGGAACCAGGCCAGCATGCAGTGGGAAAGCTGAGTGGTTTGTGTTGATCTGGGGCAAGTGAATTGTCTTCTCTGATCAATGTCCTCAGCACTGAATTAGAACCAAAAACCTGAACCTCACAGGGTTCCTCTGAGCATTAAATGAGAAAACCTTGGTAGAAGCGTTGAGTAAACCCTGAGAATCCTGAATATGCCTTTAAAATTTCCTTGAGAATGGGAAAAACGGGTTGTGAATAAACTGGGGTTGTGAATAACTGACATCACTCTGGGCATTCCCCACAGGTGATGAATTCCGAGGTGCTGAGATTCCACTCAGAGATTGGGAGATTCCAAGTAAGCACTGGATAACGGAGGTTTGGTGAAACAGAGGCCCACCCTGGGCTCCATACCCTAGTCTAAAGGAAAGGAGCTGGATTTTGATGCAGAAAATTCAGATTTGGACCCAACTTGGGTGACTTGGGCAAGTTATTTTGAACCTCTATCTCCTGATCTGTAAAATGAGGATAATATATTCAAGCCACAGGGTCACTGTGAAGATTAATGAAAGTAACATTATGAAAGCACTGGGGGCACACTGAATTGCCCACATTTGCAATACCATGGGCACAGTCAAGTCTCAGCCTCCAGGAAATCGGAGTAGAGGAATCAAAAAAGTCAACCGCATTTTTTTTAAAGATTTATTTTTATTTATTTATGCATAGAAGAACTGGGGTGTAGGCCAGAGTTTGGGGGGGGTGAGAGGATTCACCAGAGACAGTGGGGAACAGAACAGGGGGATCTACTGAAATACACTGCTGAGGAGAGCAGTGTGCGAGTCAGGAGAGGTCTGCTGCGCCATGTGGGAATCTCCCTGGCTGGCCGGGAATCGAACCCGCATTGCAGAGGCTGTGGACAGCTTTACAGCTCTGCACTCAACCCGCTGTGCCACCAGGGAGGCCCTCATCATTTATTTTAAAATATTTTTAAATTCAGTATGTATTCAGTATGTATTTCTGGAACATTCAGATTTTATTAAGCATAATCATAATACATGTATAACATCTAAAAATCTTTACAATTCCTGGATAGCACTGACTAGTCATTGCTAAAATTCCCCTAATCGTCTTGTGAATTCCTTTTATAGTTTGTTCATGTCAGGATCCAAAGCAAACACAGACATTGCTGTTGGCTAATATGTACTTCTAGGTCTCTTTGTTGATCCCACCCCTTTTCCTCCCCTTGCTAAAGAAACTCGATAGTTTGTCCTGTAAACTGGATAGTTTGTCCTATAGAACTATAGAGTTTTCCCCAAGTCACGGATTTACTAGGGATCATTTTACATATTCCTTTGCTCAGGTATTTGCTATCTAGAGGCTTGATGAGGCTTACTTAGGTCAATTATTTGGAAGATGACTTCAGCAGGAGGCACAGAGTATCCATTGTTCTGTTATTTATTGATGATCACTGCCTAATCCATTATTCCATTAGGGGTGACTGAGTTTTGTTTTCTCACAGATTACTGCAATGACATATAATGAATTGCTCATATTTAAAATATATACTTTGATACATTTTAAAATATGTATACTTCCTTGAAGCCATCATCACAATCAAGATAATAAATATCTTATATCTACCACTCTTATTCCTGATACAACTATTTTATCAGACACAAGACTTGAAATATTTTCTCCCACTATATGACTTGTCCTTTCTTTTTTTTAAATTTTTTTTTTTACTTTATTTATACAAGAACTGGAGTACAGGTCAGAGGCACGGGAGGGTGACAGAATCCATCAGAGACAGAACAGGCAGACGGACCGAGACACTGCTGAGGGGAGCAGCTGGCAAGACAGGAGAGGTCTGCGATGCCATGTGGGAATCTCCCTGGCCGGCTGGGAATGGAACCTCGGAGGCTGCAGACAGCTTCACAGCGTGGTGCTCAACCCGCTGTGCCACTGGGAGGCCCCTGTCCTTTCTTTTTCTTTATAGTGTCTTTCAAAGAACAAAAGATTTACATGTCCATGAAGTCCAATTCTTCAAACCTTTCTTTTATGGATTGCAGGGATTTTTTTTTATTATATCTAAGAAATCTTTGCCTACCTAACCCAAAGGGGTAACCAATTTTTAAATAGGCCCTCATGCAGAATTTGGCCAAGGCTCTATGGAATATGGATTATAAAGGTGGGTGTCTTGCTTTGCACAAGCTTCGATTTTGTGCCACAGTCCTCAGACCTTAATCAGAAACTGTCCCAGGGCAAAAGGAAGACATGGGGGGTCTTCTTTGGCAGCTCCTCCCTCCACTATCCTCTTCCCTGGGTCTGGAGGCCTCCTCCCCTCACCCAGGGATAGGGAAAAGCAAGGCTGTGTTTGATAGGCAGTACTGTGGGATGGTTAATTCCTTACTTGTTGTAAGACACAGGGCACGTCTCTCAAACTCCCCTTCAGAAGTACTGGAGAACAGAGGTGAGAAACGACTGGTAGTTTATTGAAAGATTAAAGGAGTGAAGGTGTTACAGGGCAGCCCTCATATAAAACGGGTTGCCTGCAGATCATGTGCTCAAGCACCAGTGGCTGGTATTGTCTTCAGTTTACTTGGTGTTACAAAATCTTTTCTGGAGATCCTAACTAATCCTTACTTCACTTTTTTTTTTTTTTTTTTTTTTTTTTTCAGACAGATATTGGGTTTATCTACCATTCCCCAGGTAGGTAACTGTTGTTGCAAATACTTGCGTCTTCTGAGAAAAACCAGGCCAGGTGTGCAAACATCTCAAAATCCCTATATGCTCAACACAGCGGGGAGAACATTAGGGAGTGTAAATTATTTCCTGTCCTTGATAATATCTTACCACACTTTATGGAATTTCTCTTGTTTTATAACATCTTTCTCTGCAAAACTCAAAGCATGCCTTTGGGTCAAATACTAACCTTTTATTTCAGCCATGGGTTGAATTTCTATTTTTGAGGCCAGTGTTGAGAGATTGAAGTCTGAGAGGGATCCCCTGTGATCTGGTCATAACTTACATACCACGTTGTAGTTTGGACTTAGGCTTGGGGAAAATGCTTGCCTCTCTCACATCTGGGTAGCAATCACTCTAACTCCCCAGGGTGGAAGAAGGGTATCCCTGTTACCTAAAGGCAACAGCTGGCAACCTTGTCAGTGCGCTATCATTGCTGACTGGTGGGAGTGATTTCTGTTTTCTTCTGCTACTGAATGGGAGCCAGAACCTGTGAGACACATTTCCACAACCCCCTCCCACAGAAACAAACCCTGGTTTCAGGGCAGAAAGATGGAGACTGGAGGCTGGTCTCCCATGGCCCCTCTGTTTCTCCAGGTCACTCATTCATCAGGAAATGGCTAGGCCTCTGTCAGCCAGAAAATCCCAACACTGGCCTGAGAGGCTACCTGAAAGTCACCATCTGTGCCTTCGGTGCAGGAGACCACGTCCCGGTGAGGCTGCTCACCTCCTTCCCATTAACATTTCCTTCCTTGTGGGGTTCCCCTGGGCCCTCAAAGTGGCCATTAATCTTTACACACTTTCATTTGTCTACTGGGTTGTCTGCCTCCTCCTCTCATACCAAGTGAAAGGTCAAGGAAGCCATTGGTGGTGTTGGCCATGACCTCCCCCTGACCCTGATGCTATCAGCTCTCTGGTCTCTGCAGGTAGATCAAAAGCTGCCCTTTGAGACTGATGACACCGATACTCAGATCTTCAAGTCAGCAGTGGTCCCTATCACAGTGATCTACTTACAATTCTTCATCTACTGTGGAGAAGACCTTCATCTCAGTTAGAGTTGGGGCAGGGGTGGGATGGTAGAGCATCCCTGATGTTCTAGACACCTGGCACCCTGGGTTCTCATGGGGCTTCCCTATTCCATTTTGACACTAACCAAAGATTTGGGGTTGGGGGGATGGGGGAGGAAATCCACCAAGAATTGTTTTATGAAGGCCCTGTGGACACCCTTCCAAATGGGACAAATGCCCTTGTCCTGTCTTTGATACCCAGATATAGACTCAGGGTGCGCTATGCCAGCCCACATTCTGCTGCCATTACATGCCATGACACATAATAACACACAGAGAGCGTGGAAATCGGAGACGTCTCTCCAAGTGCATCACATGAAATTATTGGGGGGGGGGGGTTTAAGTTGTTCTGTCACCTCCACATTTCCTCCCAAAACACCAATGATGCTGCTCTCTCAGAAACCTTTTAACTTCTTGTTCGTAGAGAAACACCACTTAGTGAGTCCTATGTTGGAGGTGGAACTAGTTGGAGAAAAGGTAAGTAGAGGAGGGATCTGGCACCTAGAAAAAAACAGCATGGAGGAAAAGACTGGTTTGGTGGGCAGGACCTCGAGAATCATATCCCAGTTCTCCCATTTATGGGCAGAGTGATGTCATTGACCCAGGAGCCCTGGGAAGGTGGGGCCCTGGCCTCGTCACCCTGTATCCCAGAGAAGATGTCCACTTAAAACCAAGTGCAGAAATGAGTGACTGGGACAACGTGCTTACAAATAAACAGTGTTGAAACTGTCACTGTCCACTCAGTTTCATCATCTATAAATTGGAGATTCTGGATAAGAGAATTCCTGACAGTCCATGAACATCTGTGAATATAAAGTAGCTTTTTCCAAAGAGTACTGATGGATGGTTTAGGCAAAAAATAACAATAAAAATGATCCTGTGTTCACATTTGGGATATGCTGGGATAAAGTTAGGCTTCCCATCCTACTTAACCTTAATCTCCTTATTAGAAAAGGCATTAAATCCAGTCTATACTTAAAGGGAGGGAGGTTAGTGTCCACCTTTGAAGGGAGGCATACCAAAGGAACAGCAGCCATGTTTTTTATTTTATTTTATTTTATTTTATTTTATTTATTTTTTAATAATAAATTTTATTTTTATATTCCCCATACAATTGCAACCCCCTTATTTTGACCCCAATCCCTCCCCTCCTGCCCCCTACCCCCCATAGAGTGTCTCTGGTTCATAGTTTTTTGTTGATTTTGATTTTCACTTATAGTTATTCATTTTCCTGGTCCCTTATTTAAGTTTTCTAGATTCCTGCTATGAGTGAGACCACCCGGTATTTTTCTTTTTCTCTCTGGCTTATTTCGCTGAGCATGATCCCTTCCAGCGCCATCCATGTTGCTGCAAATTGCATGCGTTTATCTTTTTTGAATGCTGAGTAATATTCCATGGTGTATATGTACCACATCTTCTTGATCCAGTCATCTATTTTTGGGCATTTGGGTTGTTTCCAAAGCTTAGCTGTTGTAAACAGTGCTGCTATAAACATAGGGGTGCAGGTGCTCTTTGGAATTGATGTTTCTGTGTCCTTTGGGTAAATACCTAGGAGTGGAATTGCTGGATCATATGGAAGCTCTATGTTTAGTAGGTCCAGAAATCTCCACACAGCTCTCCATAGTGGTTGGACCAGTTTGCACTCCCACCAGCAGTGCAGAAGAGTTCCTTTTTCTCCACACCCTCTCCAACATTTGTTGTTGCTAGTTTTTTTTAATATGTGCCATTCTCACTGGTGTAAGATGGTATCTCATTGTAGTTTTGATTTGCATTTCCCTGATTACAAGTGATGTTGAACATTTTTTCATATGCCTGTTGGCCATTTGCATTTCCTCTTCAGAGAAGTTTCTTTTTAGCTCTTCTGCCCATTTTTTGACTGGATTATTTTCTTTGTTGTTGTTGAGTCTCATCAGCTCTTTGCAGATTTTTGTCATCAGTCCTTTATCATTAGTGTTGTGTGCAAAAATGTTCTCCCAGTTGGTGGGGTTTCTCTTTGTTTTTGTTATTGTCTCTTTTGCTGTGCAGAAGCTCTTTAATTTGATGTAGCCCCAGCTGTTTATCTTTGAGCAGGCATGTTTTTAACCCACCCCACATAGTATTTCCCAGCAAGTGGTTGGGGAACCTCAGAGCTAGGTGAGATGCTCTTGATGGTAGGCACACATTTTCCAAAAATTATAATATTTCTGTAGCTTTCTTAGCGTGTATTAAAAAGTTTAACTACTCCAACTAATCCATGATTTCCACCCACATGACTGTTAGGCATAAGGTTCAGTTTAAAAGTGAAGTCAAGTGATGCTTGTAAAGGGGCATGCCGTTGTGCTCTGCTGCCACCCGCCCTTGTTTCTGCTCACTTTTCTTTTGGGATCTTAAAGTTATTTAACAAGATCCATGTGTACACTCATATCCATGTGTACACTCATATCGATAATCCTATCTCTACTAAAAAGTGAAGTCAATTGAAAGTTGATTTATGAAAAATATGAAGGAAACTGAATCCAGGTAGGTACACAAAGGACTAACGTTGCAGCTGATGGGAAGTTGTCAAGTGTCTTTAGCCCAGGGATTCCAAAGATTGGCCCTGGTACTGCACACAGCCACCATCTGTGTGCTGGGCCAAAGGGGCTGAGAGGGAGGCTAGGGAACAGAGGAGGGGACAGGCTGGCTCTGACACTGCTTTGGATGTTTCCAGCTCACAACCTTCGTGCAGACCAAAACTGATAACCCCATATGGAACCAGATCTTGACCTTGCCGGTTCAGGTATTACTGTTCTGTCATGTCTTCCTGAACCCTCCTGCCCACAAAGGGAAGGAAGGTTTGGGTGTCTGTGTTCGAGTGTGGATGGAAGGAAGGGGCCACGAAACACAGCAAGGTTGGATCAGGAAAGCCCAGGACACATTATAAATTGTTCTCTATTTTTTAGTATTGAGAAATGAGTGGAGATCAAAGGGGGGAATGAGGGGATCCAATGGTGCTTTAGCAGTGGTTCACATCTGAAGTGTGAACATATACCCCAAATTGGTTGTAAACCAATGTTACCTCAAATTTTTTTTTAAGATTTATTTATTTATTTATGCATATAAGAGCTAGGGTACAAGCCAAAGGTGCAGGGTGTGAGAGGATTCACCAGAGACAGAGTGGGGAACAAAACAGGCAGATTGACGGAAACACACTGCTGAGGGGAGCAGCAGGTGAGACAGGAGAGGTCTACTGTGCCATGTTGGTTGCCCCCTGGGCAGCAGGGATTGAACTCGTGTAGCAGTGGCTGGTGATAGCTTCATAGCTCTGTGTTTAACCCCTGCACCACCAAGGAGGCCCCTGTTATATCAAACTTTTAAAAAGATACAATTTTTAAAAAAGAAATGAGTGGGTCTACAATTGACCTTTTCAGAAAACTTAAGTGTTCCCTTTCACTTATATTAAAAATAAAAAAAAACATATCCTTTAAAGACTCATTCTATGTTGTATCTTATATTTTCTTATCTTCTAGGCAAAGTGCCCTGAATGTAATTGTAGTTCTTTCTTGGTGGCTCAGAGGCAATGTGGGAACATGAGTATTACAATGAACTACATGTACTGAGGGGCTATTTATTCCTACACTAAATGGCCTTTATATGTTCTTTTTCGTGAGGTTCTGTCATTTGAGTTTTATTTTTTATTTATTTATTTTTTAAAGATTTATCTATCCATGCATACAAGAACTGGGGTATTGGCCAGAGGTGTGGGGGATGAGAGGATTCACCAGAGACAGAGTGGGGAACAGAACAGGCAGACTGACTGAAATACACTGTAGAGGGGAGCAGTGGGCGAGTCAGAGAGGTCTGCTGTGCCATGTGGGTTGCTCCCTGGCTGGCCTGGGATCAAACGCCTGCTGCAGAGGTTGTGTATTGCTTCATAGTGCTGTGCTTAACCCCTTCCACCACCAGGGAGGCCAGGGAGCCGTTGTAAGAACAAGAGTACAAAATGAGGGGGCCTTCCCGGTGTCACAGGGGATAAAGTCTCAGCGCTGTCAAGCTGTCGCCAGCCACTGCAGCATGAGTTCAATCCCGGCGAGGGAGCTGACCCACACAGTGCAGCAAACCTGTCCTGTCTCACCTGCTGTTCCTCTCAGCAGTGTATTTCAGTAGATCCACCTGTTCTGCTCCCCACTGTCTCTGGTGAATTCTCTCCCCCTCCCTTCCAGCCCCTGCACCTCTAGCCTACACCACAGCTCTTGTATGCATAAATAAAGAAAATAAATCTTTTAAAAAATATGAAATGATTATAGATCACAATCCTGGGCTTTTTCAGGGTCTTGCAATGGGTCCCTGCAAATGGGAAGCCCTAAAGCCAAAGGTCCATAAACTTCTGTAGCCAGTCTGTTTTGGCTGTGGCTAAATAGCTCATTGGTCACTGAGCCAGGACTTGGATCCACACCTAGGACTTCCCAGCTGCTCTTTGTCTTCAAGTGGACCAGACCCTCCTACCATGCACTCAGTGTTCCTTTTACCTTCCCCTTGCAGATGCCCTGCCTCTCCACCTATATCAAGTTCAGAGTCTTGGATTGGTGAGCCACTGGGGAGAAGTTAAAAAATATGGCGGGGGAGAGAAAAACAGCTGGGCCAGGGGCTCAAGCTGCAGAATGTGCTTCTCTCCAGCCCCAGTAACAGTCTCCAGGATGAGATTGGGACTGTGACCCTGTGCCTCAACCATATCTCCTCTACTGGAGCAGAAGTAGAAGGCAAGCAAACTCCCCTGGCCTCTGCCCCTGTGCCTTTCCCACCTCCCCTGCCCCTGCTTATTCTTTTCTTTCAGGAATGTACTCTGGCTTCCTACCCTGCTTTGGCCCCAGCTTCCTGACTCTCCGTGGGGGTAAAAAGGCCCCTTTCAGGATCCAGAACAAAGAGACTGTAAGTTTCTCATGCCAGCTTTAGGGAACAGTGGCAGTAAAGCCGACCATGTATAAGAGCTGGGGCCTGGGAAATGCCTGGGGAGGACCTGGCCCTAGTTCCTGTCCACCATGCTCAAGCAGGAGACCTAAAAATCTGTGTGCGGATGACCATTTATATATGAGACATGAACTTTGACACACAAAAAAGGAAGTGCCTAAGTGGAGTGCTCTGGGCATTCACGGAGGGAGGGGTATGGACATGAGACAGCAGGTAAAATTTCAGCGGGTGGAAAGGTTGTGCAAGAGAAAAGAAAAGGCACAGGTGAAAGGGGGAGGCTCTGGGTTTTAAGATTCCGAGAATGGCCAGACACCACTTCCCGCTGGCACAAGAAGGGAACTGCCCTGAGAAGCTCAGGGCTTGAGTGCAGAAAAGCAGCAGCCACCAGGACCTCGATGCCCTCAGGAGGTGCTCTGACTCGCACTCCCTTGCTCACTTCTGGGCCCTTAAGCCCTTGCCTTGTCTTCAGGCATCCTCTCTGCTGGGAAGGAGGCCATCAAAGCCCCTAATAGGAAAGCCAAGAGAACATTCCAACTGGCCTCCTTAGGCCATATGTACTCCCCTTGGACCAATCTCTGTTGCCAAGGAGGTAGAGCATGCTCTGACTGACCCTGTTAGGAGCACAAACTCAGTGGTCATCATGGTCCCCTGTGAGCAAGAAGCTTCTATGGGGAGCAGGGTTCTTCAAGTTGGTGAATAGGTAAAATGCATACAGAAGAGTAGTGGGCTGTAGGAGAGGGGCCAGAGGTTTCCTGGCATAGCCATGTCAGGGGCATCTGGATTCCTTCCTGGGTAGTGGTCAGCCCTAAGCAGGAATTTATTGTACCCTGTCTTTGCTGCCAAGGTGTTGCGAGATTTGCCTGCTCCTTTTTTCTCATCAATTTTCTCCCCGTCTTCTTTGTTTCTCTAGACTTTACCCAGCTCCATTAAGGATGGTTTAGCTTATCGAGGGCGAATCTTCATGGAGCTAGTCACCCATACCACACCCCATCAAGAGGTTAGGATGAAGAATCTCTCTTATGAAGTGACCAGAGTAGAGGTAATCACATGACACAGGTAACCACAAGGACTTTTACCTGCGCCATATCTACTGTGGGTCCCATTTCTGATATTACAAGAGGTCCTGCTTACAAGCTGAGAGCATGAGGGTAACAGGTCAATCCTCCTGAGTCTTTTCTAAGTCCCAAGGGGGCTCCATGCTGTGCCCAGTCCCAGGTGGTCAGACACCCAGTAAATAACAAGAGAAGGACAGCTGGAGAAATATGTAATCTAGTTAAAGGGAAATGGTCTAAGGAGTTTGGATTTCTTCCTGAAGGCAGGGGAGGGACATTGAGACAGGAAAGGGCAGGGGGAGCAGTATTGAGAATAGACTGGAGGGGAGTAAGTTGGGCCCACCTGGTCGAGAGAAATAGAGATAGAGTTTCGGGGAGGAAAGCTGAGAGGAGAAAGCCAGTTCTAGAGGCCCTTTGGAAATAGAGTGAGGAGAGCCAGTGACCAAAAGGACATGAGTCCTGTTATACACATGAAAGCTAAGGGGATGCTCATTTTCCGCCTTGGGTGACAAGGTGGTCAGGGGTGGCCTGTGCTAACACACAGGGTCCCTGAGGAGCAGCAGGTCTGGGGGAGATGATGACTCCCACCTTGACCTGTGCTTGTGAGTCATCTATTACGCCAAACAGTGCCTGAGGCGGCCAGGTAGAGATGCGTGTGTCAGGGTAGGATCTGCATGCTCTGAGGTTCCGCAGTTCCTGGGTGGGGTGAGGGAAAAGTGGGGGAAGGCAGACTGAAAGGAGAAGGGAGCTGAGGCTGGAGCCTCTTGGGTGGCCACAGCCTGAGAGACAGCAGGCAGAGGAATCTAGAAGGGAGCCTGGGGCAGCTCCCAGGGGGAGAGTTGCAGAAAGGATGATGGCACTCTGAATGGAGGGGGAGACAAGATGAGGTAGTACCTAAATAAAGCTCAGAGGGGGACAGGAGGGTGATTTTTAAGGACAGGGGTACCCAAAGCTAGTGAAGCTAGTGAGTGGCTGGAAGCATGTGGGAGTAGGGCAGTAGAAATGAAAGAGTGGTCAGCATGATCGACAGACAACCCCACGCAGATGAGAGGCATAGTGGGAGGAGAGGACTTGAAAGAAGTAGATGCACACTGCTGAGCAGCCCCCCCCACCACACACCCCTGCCCATACTTGACTTCATTCAAGGAAGGTGTTTATGCAAAAAGGAGAGGGGTGGAGGGACCCAACTCAGTGCAGAACCTGGCCAGGGAGAAGATCCTCCTGACAGGTGTTAGGAAGGAAAGAAAATAGAGGAGGCTGCGTAGAGGGAACCATGATGGAGGTTTGAGGAACTGCCCTTGCATAGCCAGGTGAGAGGGAGTCAAAACAGGGTTTGGAGTAGGGTAGGTATTCAATGATGGTTTACCTAACTTACTCAAAAGAGATGCAAAGATGACTTTTGAAAGACATAGAGCACCTCGTTCTTGCATCCCTATCTGTCTCTATAGACTTGCTCATCCTTGGCTTATTGTTTTAGAAGCACAAGAACCGCCAAAAGTATGGGTTATGTGTCATCTTCCTTTCCTGCACCATGATGCCCAACTTTAAGGACCTGATCCAATTTGAGGTCAGCATCGGTCACTATGGAAACAAGATGGACCAGAACTACAAGCCTCTAGTCTCAACCACCCAGTACAGCCCGGTGATATACGATGGTAATAGTCCAGCCCAGCCAGAGTAGAGTGCATATGAAGTTCCATGAGCTAACGCCTAAAAGGGTCACAAGATCATAGTGTTTTCTTGGTGTACAACTCCCCTATCCCCATTTTCTCCACTGCTACACTGAACCCCCAACCATGAAACATCTCATTTGTCTATCCCTTCTATCTATTAATCTATTTATCCACCAACTCATTCATTTGATAAACACCCATCCACCATCCCAAACACCCAACCAACCACCCATGCACCCATTCATCCAATACTTAGTGGACACACCTATGTTGAACACTAGAGTAGCAATTCTCAAATACAGTTCCTGGGCCAGCAGCAACAGCTTCACCATTAGAAATGCAGATTCTTGGCCCCACCTGAGACCTACAGAAGCAGAAAGTCAGAATCAGCAATCTGTTTTAACAAGCCCTGCCAGTGATTCAGATGCTGGTATATTACTTTGAGAACCACAATTCTAGAGGGATACGGTCTCACATTCATCTTTGTCATCATCATCATCTTATCATCCATCTGAGAGCTTTTCTGTGCATCCTAGTTCTTTACCTGTAAAAAAAAAAGGCATCTTTATTGAAATATAATTCATATACTATACAGTTCATCCATGTCAAGTATATTATTCAGTGGTTTTTAGTATATTAATAGAATCATGCAACCATCACCATGGTCAATTTTAGAATATTTTCATCACCCCGAAAAGAAACACTGTTCTGCCCTACACTTTCTATATCTCCCCTATTTCCCCAACCTTAGCAACCACTAATTTAGTTTCTGTCTCTATAGTTTCCTATTCAGATCATTTATTATAGGTGGGATCATACAATGCATAGTTCTGGGTGACTTCTTTGACTTAGCATAACGTTCTACTTATTTTTAAATTTTGAAATATATATATATATATACAAAAAGTATGTAGAATGTATATGTACACTTTAAAGAAGAATAAAATCATTACCCATGAACTCCCCATCCAGCTTAAAAGATAGAAAATTGGCATCATTTTAGAAGGCATATTTAACTAAAGAAATCACAATGATCCCAACCTTTGTGATAATCATACCCTTGCTTTTCTTTTTAATTCTTCCTACCTATGAAGGCAACCCTAGACAGCATTCTATTTTCATATTTTATATAAATGGACACTTTCAGTCTGAGTTCTTCTGTTTTGCATTTTTTGCTAAGCATTACATATTTTATATTAGTATGTAGAGCTGAAATTCATTTTCATTTTGTATATATTCCACTGTATGGTTACATCACAAGTTATGTGGTATATGCCAATGTTTAGGTTTTATCTTTTTTTTTTAACTATAATAATTTTGTCATAAACATTCTTGTATGTGATTCCTGGTCACAAGTGAGAACCCTCCTCTAAATTATATACCCAGGAGTGGAAGAGAAATTCAAAGCAAAAGTAATTATATCAAATTATGCTCTCATCAGATGGTATGAGAATGTCTACTACTCTGAGTTCTCATCAGTACTTGATGTTGTCCAGTCTTAATTTTTGCCAGTCTGCTGCCTGTGAAATGGTATTTATAAGGTCTAGATTTACATTTCCCTGATTGTAAATGAAGATCAAGCATCTTTTCATATATTTTCAAACATTTATTTTCCCTCATCTGTAAAAAAACTTCACTATTCTGTTTGGCTGTATTTTTCTTATTGATTTATACCTTTTTTATATTTGTATATCTTTTCTGGGAAACCAACTTTTGTCAGACATGTGTAGTAAATATCTTCTCAGGTTTGGGACTTGATTTTTTTTTCTTTTTCTTTTTTTTAATTTTATTTTTATATTCCCCATACAATTGCAACACCCTTATTTTGACCCCAATCCCTTCTTTCCCCGCCCCCCACCGGTGACTCCATAGTGTGTCTCTGGTTCATAGTTGTTTGCTGATTTTGATTTTTTCTTTCTTGGGACTTGTTTTTTTTTTAATTCTCTTAATAGTGACTTTTTATTGAGGTATTCATTATAAACAATAAAATGCACAGATTTTAAGTGTACAATGCGATGAATTTAGACAAACATGTAACCACCATATGTAGAAAATTCCATCATCCAAGAAAGCTGTCACGTGTGCCTGTTCATCCCAACTCCAACCCCTAGGGGCATTCACTGTGGTTGCAATCACTGTAGATTTTGCTTGTCTTGCAACTTTACGTATATGCAATCACATCTATGGTACCCCATTTTTCTATGGCCTCTTTGGCTAAGCATAGCATTTTAGATATGTTGCATGTATCAGTATTTTGATTCAGGAGTAGAAGAGAAATTCAAAGCAAAAGTAATTATACTAAATTGTACTCTCATTAGATAATATGAGAATGAGATCCCAGTTTTTGACTGCCTACTCCCCGTGACTCCAGCCTTGGCCAGGAAGCCCCTCCTCTGCAGTCTCATGGCTGGTGGGGCATCTAGTCTTGGTGGCTCCAGCCCCCTGGGCAGCAGCATCAATGATGGGGCTGTGCACCTGTCTCGGTCTCACCACTTTCTCCCTCTGTCCCCCAGTCCCAGAAGGAGTACTTTTTTCCTCCTGTTACGAGTCTCTGAATAACTCCTTTCCTGTTTATGATCACTTGACCCTTCAACAAATTTTCTCTATCAAATTCCCTTTGTTTCAAATATCTAGCTTGGGTCTTTCTCTCTTCCTGTCGGACCCTGACTCCAGAATCCTCCAAAAGGCTGCACCATTCTACACTCCCACCAGCAACACGTGAGAGCTTTAGCAACAAAATCTGGTTTAAACTTTTTTGTACGTCTGGTAGATAAAAATAGTATTTTAGTGTATTTATAGCATATTCTTTTGATAACCAGTGAGGTTAGACATCCATGTTTTCCAATGTTTAAAAGTAATTTATATTTCTTTTTCTGATAACTGCTTGTTCATACAGGTTTTTTCCCTTATTCTATTTGGATGTTTGTCATTGTTGATTTGTAGGGCCGCTTCATATATTAAGAAGATGAGGTCTCTATGATAGGAGCTGTAAATGTATTCCCCATAATTGTTTCAAATCTTTGTTGAAGGTGTTTTTTCCCATGCAGACATTTCTTAATGTACTCAATTATTTCATTTGTGGCTTCTGGTTTTTGACCATAATTAGAAAGGCCCTTTCCACTCCAGTTTTATTAAGGAATTCTCTCATGTTTTCTTCTAGATGTTTGCAGTTTCTTAAAGTTTCCTAACTCATGTCTTTTTTTGTGATATTTTTTCTTTTCCTGGATATGTCATACAATATGTAGGCTTTTGCATCTGGCTTCTTTCACTTGCATGTTTTTGAGGTTCATTCATGCTGTAGTACATATTAGAACTTCATTCCTCTCTCTTGCCAACTAGTTAGTCTCCCCTTGTACCGATGCACCACTTACCGTGAGCAGACCCAATCATCAGTTGATGGATGTCGTACCCACTTCTACCTCTTGTCTATTATGAATAAAGTTGCTGTGAATATTTGTGTGCATGTCTTTGTGTTGACACATCAGTCTATTTCTCTTGAGTAGATACTTAGATGAAGAATGGTCTTTATGAAACCGATAAACTTCTCTAAAATATCTGCACCAATTATATTCCTTCAGCAAAGAGTGATGGTTCTGGTTTCTCTTGATTGTTGTCAATGTTTGCTTTTGCCTCTTATGCATCTTCGTGGGCGTGTATCTCATTGTGGTTTCAGTGTGCATTTCCCTGATATATAATGATGCCGGGCATCTTTTTCTATGCTTACTAATCTTTCATATATCATCTTTGTTCATGTCTGTCCAAACCTTTTGGACATTTTTTAATTAGGTTGTTTTCTTATTGGGTTATAAGAGTTCTTTATGTATTCTGGATACAAATCTTTTATCGGAGGAGCACAGGGGACTGTGGTGATGGTGCATGAGTGAATTGTTGAAGGAAATTCTATGGGGAATACACCTGAGGGTGGGGGGAAGCAAACATTGTTTAAAAATGAACAATGCTGCAAAATATATATAAATAAAAAATTAATACAAATCTTTTATCAGGTATATGATTAAAAATAGTCTGTGTCTTGTCTTTTCATTTTCCCCTAATGGTATCTTTTGAAGTGCAAACATTTTTTTAAAGATTTATTTTTTATTATACAACAGCTGGGATTTAGGCCAGAGGCGCTGGAGGGTGAGAGGATTCACCAGAGACAGAGTGGGGAGCAGAACAGGCAGAGGGACCGAAAACATTGCTGAGAGGAGCAGTGGGTGAGACAGGAGAGGTCTGCCGCTCTATGTGGGAATCTCCCTGGCCATCTGGGAATTGAACCTGCACTGCAGAGGCTGCGGACAGATTCACAGCGTACTGTGCCACCGCTGTCGGGGAGGCCCTGAAGTGCAAACATTTTTAATTTGGATAGAGTTTTTTTTTTTTTTTTAATGGTGTTGTATCTAAGAACTCTTTGTCTAACCCAAGGTCATGAAGATTTTTCTCCTATTTTTTTTCTAAACATTTTATAGTTTTATTTCTTACTTTAGATTTGTAATCCATTTGAATTAATTCATATACCAATGTCTTACTTTTCAAGTACCAATTGTTAAAAAGATTATCCTTTTTCCTTATACGTGAGTTTTTTCAAATTATGTTTTAAAATAATTTGTTCTTTTGTTTAGGTTTTTTATTTGAGGAGCTCCAGTTACAGGTTTAACAATTCTCCTTGGCTTTTGCCTATATTGGTCATTTCTCCCTGATCCTTTTGGTGGTTTCCATTTTATTCCATTGCTTTTATTATTTCTATCCTTATTTTTTTTAAAGATTTTTTAAAAAGATTTATTTATGCAAGCACTGGGTACAGTCAGAAGCGCGGGAGGGTGAGAGAATTCACCAGAGCCAGAGCGGGGAGCAGAGCAGGCAGAAGGACCGAAGTACACTGCTGAGGGGAGCAGCGGGCGGCAGGAGAGGTCTGTGCGCCATGTGGGACCCTCCGCCGGTGGCCGGGGAGCAGCCGGGGAGCAGCTGGGGAGCAGCCGGGGAGCAGCCGGGGAGCAGGGCTCGAACTGTAACAGGGTGGTCCCCAGGAAAGGGGGAGGTTCAGGTTCCTTGCCCCACCCAAGGAAGGGTGGAGCTGAGCAGGAAGAGGAGAAGCTGCAGAAGAGACTGAGGAAGGAAGCAGGATGGAGCCAGGAGACCTGGAGGAGGCACATGGAGCCTAGAGACACGTGAAGAAACTGCGCTTGTCTTTTGGTCGTGGACGGGGTGACACAGATGTGGGTGAGACCCGTGGGGAGGTGACAATGGCAGCTTTTATCTTGATGTTGATTTTGCTCTTTTCCTTCCGGGCTTGTCCGGTTGTTTGTGACCCTTTTCTGTGGGTCCCCACTGGAAGATGCTTTAGACTTGTAGCAGGCTTTGGGGCCTTGCTCTGGGCCAATCCCATTTGGATGGAGTTTTACCCACGAGGGGACGGGTAACTTTGGGTGCTTCACTTAGAAACTAGACTCTGCCTTACCTGTATTGTTTCCTAGTTTTATTAAAGTTCCTTCCCATTAAAGTCTCATGTTTTGTGTTGATGCGGCGGATGGCAGAACCCATTTAGAATAGGCAGGTTTGTGGGGTTTGGGCTGCCCCTCTCCCTGTCCTATAACAGAACCAGCGCTGCAGAGGCTGCGGGCAGCTTCGCAACCCAGCGCTCAACGGCTGCGCCACCGGGGAGGCCCTATTTCTATCCTTATTTTTATGCCTTACATGAAATTAGGAAGGTCTAATATCATTTGGGCTTCTTTTTATGTTGTTCCCCTTTCTATAATCTTTTTGTTTTGCTTCTGCTTATTTTTCGAGTTTTGCCGGCTCATATTTCCTCATTGAGTCTTGAGTTCATTCTGGAAGTATATTTTTGCTGGCACTTTCTGTATTCTGCTCCCATCAAGCTGTGCCTCCAGCTGTCTGTCTTACTATTCATTCCCCCCAGGTGACCTCTGTTGCACTTGACTCCTCAGGGCCTCTCCCGCAATCAGAGTTGCTTTTGGCTGTTCTTATGTGTATTTAGAGTCTGCAGATTATATCTGCCTCTTTGTTTTGCTGAAAATGGAGTTATTTTCCTTCTCCTTGTTGCTTTTGTATGCTGTCCAAAGTAGAAGAGGAAAATTGCCATCTTGTATCCTCACGCTCATAATCTGAGAAACCCCAGTCATCATCTCTGCTTATTTATCATTCTAATGGCTTACTCAGTGCCAAGATCTGAAACTGGTGTCTTCCAACCATTCTAGAAAATTATAAGATGTTTTCTCTTTGAAAATTGCCTCTGCTAATCTCTTTTATATTTCCTCAACTTCACTTCATCCTCTGTAAAATTTCTCACTGTTCTTCCTATTTAAAAATTTATTTTCCATATTTTTCATCTCTCTGGGCTGTGTTCTGCATAATTTATTCTAAATCTTCTAGGAGACATCTTAGGATACCATTCTATTTTTAAAAATCTTGGCCTGACCTTCCTTCCCCTTTGTTCTTCTCCATAGAATTTCCGAACATTTGCTATACTGTATTTCATCTATTTGTTTTGTCTTTTTGGCCCCCACTATTTTTTAAATTCTTTTTTTAAAAAGATTTATTTATTTATACATAGAAGAACTGGGGTGTAGGTCAGAGGTGTGGGGAGTGAGAGGATCCACCAGAGAAAGAATGGGGAGCAGAACAAGCAGATCTATTGAAATGCACTGTTGCTCCCCCTCAGCAGTGTGTTTCCGGTCAATCTGCCTTTTCTGCTCCTAACTGTCTCTGGTGAATCCTCTCACCCCCCTACTCCCCGCACCTCTGGCCTATCCCCCAGTTCTTGTATGCATAAATAAATAAATCTTAAAGAGAAAAAAAGAAAACTGCAAGTTCACTAAGATTTGCTGAAAACTCAGAGGACAGAGGTCAGCTTTGCTTCTGCTTGCCTCACAGGGTTTCTGCATTCACTTTATTTTTGGCTGCTGTGGACTTCTTCCTTTTATGCTAACTCAGCCATACATTCAGAAAAAGAATCACTTGTGTTTCATTCACCTATACCCATCCCCCTCATTTCAGTAAGGAACATTGCCAGAGAACCCAGTCCACCATGCTTGCCCCTCTCCTCTGCCCTGCAGACCCTTTGGGTTAGATGTCCGCCCACCCCAACCAAACCTCCTCACTGAACTCAGGGCCCCTTCTCCCACCTCACAGAACACCCAGAATCAACAACTTGCTTCAGGTGTGCCCCTTGTCTCAGCATCTCCCCCGAGGTTATGGGCATGCGGCTCTGGTGATACCTGCATTGCAGCTGCTTGCCTGTGTGACCTCAGGCGAACTACTGCCCATCACCCGCCTGGACTTTCCACTTGTACAAACTGGAGACTTGGAAAGGCTGGTGACACACCGAGCACGATGAAGGTGTGACAAGATCACTGAGTTTATCAAATGAACACCTGCTCAAGTGGCCCTTGGCCTGCTCGGGTAGGAGGGGTTCAGTTAGGACAACGAGCAGGTCACATCCTTTGGGAATGAAGCAGCTCAGAAAGAAGGTCTATGAGAGGAGACCGTGAAGGGAGATCTCCCAGAGCCTGTCAGACCCCCCCACCTCGCGTGTGTGTCTATGTCTCAGGAAACTTCTACCATTACGTGCCCTGGTACAACACCAAGCCTGTTGTGGCCGTGACCTCCTACTGGGAGGACGTCAGCTTCCGCATGAACTGCCTCAACCTCCTCCACATCACTCGGGATCGCCTGGTAAGCGCAAGAGGGCTGCAGGGGAGGGCCAGACCATTGGCAGAGGGGAAATGAGTCTGTCAGGAAGCTGGTCCCTCAGCTTTCTCATGCATTCCACACCAATTGAGGTGGAAATGCTGCTACACGGCCAGGCCCTGAAGACACAAAGCTGCCCCTGTCTCACCACCACTAACCAGACAGTTACTATGTGGTGCAGCTAGGGCTGAGAGAGCTGCAGGAGCTATAGGAGCCGAGCCTGGGGGTGGAGGAGCGGAGATGAAGAGAGGAGAACCAGAGGAGATCCTCGTAAAGGAAGTGACATTTGAGTAGAGTCTTGAAAAATGAGGAGTTTGCTGGGGGCAATGTAGGAACAGAGATGGTATAATGTGAAAGCCAAATTTGGGGGTGGTGGGAGTATGGAAGTGACATGGAGAAGCTGGGAAGGGTCAGATCATAAAAGATTTTAGGTGTCTATTAAGAAGGGAAAGCATCCCCTGGTGGCGCAGCGGTTGAACACTGGGCTGCGAAGCTGCCCGCAGCCTCTGCAGCGCTGGTTTGATCCCCGGCCACCAGCGAGGGTCCCACATGACGCTCAGACCTCGCCTGCCGCGCCCTCTGCTCCCCTCAGCAGTGTACTTCGGTCCTTCTGCCTGTTCTTCTCCCCGCTCTGGCTCTGGTGAATTATCTCGCCCTCCCGTGCTTCTGACTGTACCCAGTGCTTGTATAAATAAATAAATAAATCTTAAAAAAAAAAAAAAGAAGAAGAAGAAGAAGAAGGGAAAGCAACTGAACAGTTTTAGGCAGGAGAACCTCAGACATGACTTCCTTATGCCCACAGGAAGAAAGCCTGGAGTCAGGACTCTGTACAACTTCATGACCCAGGCCATCCTAACTCCCCCCATCACCCTTCTTCTATGGGGCAGTGGGAGGGTGTGTGGGGATCCTAACCTTGCAGGAACATGCTACAGCTTTGGACTAACATACCCAGATTACCCCTCAAAGGTCCCCTCGTCCTGACTGAAAGCATCTTGGGTCAGTCAGTCCTGTAACCCATCCTAGGTGAACCCCATGCTCCCTTGCCCCTTCTTTCCTGTTGCACAGAAAGCAAATCTGGACACCCTGAAATCCATGAGGAATCCCAGGGACCCAGCTCTGCTCCCCCAGTGGAAGAAACTGCTGAAGGAGCTGGCGGAGGACTGCAAGTAGGAGTGGGGCAGGCCCACTGGGGCTGGGGATGAGCTCGATCAGTGGCTGACAAGGGGAGCTTAGACCAGTGCCATTCAAAGCAGCCTTCCACCCTCCACGCCGCCACCTTCCCCCACCTCACTCTACCTCCTCAGGAAATACAAGCTCTGCCCAAATCCTTTCCATGCTTGAAACTCAAACAGAGGTGCTTCTCTTCTCCCATTCAGGCCTGACCTCCCCCACTGCCAGCATTTTCCCTGCTGTCCCCACACTCAACCTGACATTCCCACAAAGTCCTGCCTCTTTCTGTTATCCAGACAAGCCCTGCACATCAGGGTCACACACCTCCCCTCCTGCTGCTACTCTACCCATAGCACCCTCTTCAGGTGCTGCCTGTTCAGATTCATCCTAAGGCCTCTCCTAGCCCCATAGCCCTCTGAGATCCCCACCCCAACCCCCAAGGCTTGGTTGGCCCTGTCTCTTGGCTCACATCCCCTTCCAGGGGTGATTCCTGAGCGCAGGCCTGGCATGTGGTGGGGCTGGGAAGATGGGAGGGGATGGATGAGAACTCATGGGCCAGGCTGGCAGTGAGCAGGATTCCTGAAGAGGGGTGGGAAGTACACCCGTGTCAGGACATCAGAAGGTAGGCCAGGAAGGTAGGCCAGGACATCAGAAGGTAGGCTAAGAAGAGCTTTGCTCTAAGGCAGGGTGGTTGTTTGGGAAGTGGGGACAAGTCCCAGCCTCTCTCCTCCCTGGTCCTGGCCACAGGCGCCCTCTGCCCTGCATGACCCATCAGCCCAAAGCCACTGAGCTGGACAAGAAGAGGTGGCAGCTCCGCAACCACCTCCTGAAGGAACTGGCTCAAAGCGCCAAGGAAGCCAAGCGCAGGAACATGGTAGCCACCGTGGAGAGCTGGTTGTACCGCCTCAATGCTGTGCTCCCTGAGGTGGGCACTGGGCACACGGGTTGGGGAGCAGGCCTCAAAGCCAGCCATACATGCATGCCTGATGCTTTCCTGCTTTGGCAGCCCCAGGTGAGCATCCCGGACGTGATGATCTGGCTGATGGCCAATGAGCAGCCGGTGGCCTTCGCACAGGTGCCCGCCCACAGCATCTTGTTCTCCCCAGCGGGGACCCTTTATTCTGGAAGATTCTGTGGGAAGACACAGACCCTTCTCCTGCAGGTGGGAAACAGTGAGTCTCAGCTTGCCCAGTCCTCAGGGGAGGAGCAGGCCCAGACACACCCCAAATGAGAACCCCTTAAGTCTTGAGGCAATCCCCATGAGTCTCCCCAAGGACATCCCACTTCCTCCGTCCTGGGTCCTTTACCAGGTAACCTGGAGTTTAAACAGTTGTGAGGGCAAAGCAGGGGTCTGTGACCGTGAGCATGTGGCTGATGCCTGTTCACGTCCCTCGTGTTCCTTGAATTTGTCTCCCCTTTCATCCTCATGCCACACTTGGCCCAGCCCCTTGTCTTCTGTTCTGTGAACCACTATTGGGTGAAATCCAAAGTATTTCATGCCTATGAGGATTAAGCACCAGCCCAGAATATGAGATGCAGATTGCAATAAAGCTAGCTGACCACCAACATGGGCAAGCCCTCTTCTCACCAAGGCAGGTGGGGGGCACTTATCCTTTATTCCTCTCAGAGGCTCTCCTTGCTCCCCATTGCCTCCTAAAGAAGACTCAATTTCAGGTTGTCTGGGCTTCCCAAACCTACCCCAAACCTGCCTGGCTTCCCCTTCCACTGTAGTGGAAGGCCCCTCCATACATATCTGAGCCCTCGGCCTGCAAGACTGAGACCTGAATCCTGCCTCTACCACTCACTGGCTTGGCTGGACCCTGGCCAACTCCTGACTATGTCCAAGCCATAGTCTGTTCCTCTGTGAATGTCCTGGGGGTAACAGTGCCCACCCCGTGGTGGTGTGTGTGAATAGAAACAGACACTGCTCATTCAGCACTTGGGGTGGGGGCTGTTACAGAAAGGGATCACTAGCACTGTTGTCAATGCCACCATTGTCACCGGTCCTTCGTGGAGTCCTCCCTGCACTGCCCCCTTCCCCTGACCCTCACCAGCCTCTCCGATGTCCATGGGCCCAGAAGTGTAACCCTTTGCACGTCCTCTCCCACTCTGCCAGGCAGGGAATCTGTACCATTCACATTTTAGCCCTGGAACCCAGCTCAGGGTGATATCCCTGTTCTTGGGTCTCAGGGTGAAGGGGCAGATGTGTGTGCCTTTGCTCACTCATGCCCCTGCCCCTGTGGGGTTGACCTGCCTCTGGCTCAGTACCCAGAGGGTGAAGGACAGAAGGACATGCTCCCGGCCCACCTCCGAGTCTGCATGTGGCTGGGCAACGTGATGGACAGCAAGGCCCTGCAGCTGCTCCGCAGGGGCGAGATGGTGGTGTACGCGGAGACGGTGAGTGGACAGGGCAGGATCTGAGGACTGTGAGAGGGGTCTGACGGGAAGGTGGCAGAAACCAAAGCCACCTCAGACACCAGCTCAGGGACCCTGGTGGGTGAACCACAGCGAGTGATTGCAGAAGGGGCAGCCAAGTGGTTCCCTGGAGGTTTACTGGGAGTTTCCCTCAGTTATCCCAGGGCATGTGAAGTGAGCAAGGCTTCAGTTTGCAGGAGGCCTCACCCATCACCAACATGGCAGCCTGGGACGCTGCAGACGCCAGCTGGGGCCTTCGGGCCAGTCTGGTGGTTGGGGAAGAGGAGGCCTGAAATGATCAGAGGAAATGGAGATGAGGCATCTGCCACAGAATCATAAACCCAGGGTGGCATGGGGTGTAAGGGTTGAGCAGCCAGCCAGAGACTACCCCACAATCAGAAGGGAGTGGAGAGCGCTTTCTCCCTGGGGGAGAACATTGCTCAGAAGACTCTGACAGCAGAAAGAAAGTTTTGAGTTTCAAGCTGTTTACTTTACTGAATTAAAGCACATTTCTGTGATTCCTAGATGCATGTTGCGGCCAGGAATATCATAGTATGCAGTCAGCCCTTCTGTAGGACTTGGAGACTCTGGGATGGAATGGGGATGTGGGAGGAGGGCAGGGAGCAGGGACTGCAGAGGCAGGGAACATGGCTGCATGGAAGGAAAGGCTGAGAGGCAGCCAGGCCAGCACAGGCAGTGAAACAGGACTGGGTTCCCCAAGACCACCATAGGGCGGATGAGTCACATCTCGGGACACTGGGCCCTAAAATAGGCATTTGCCCGATATTGACCCGCACTGGCTAAGCAAGCTGGGGTGGAGTGGACCTCTAAGCTCAGTCTCCTCACGTATGAAATGGGAACTTGAGGCATGGACCTGACTCATGATGAGCGCTTGATGAATGCAGTCTGCCTGTGCTGAATAACAGTGTGGGGGCAGTGATGTGATCTCTGGGTTTTGGGGTAAACACCTAGATAGGGTAGAGACAGCGCAGGGGATGCATACCTAATTGCCTCAGGCAGGCCTGCCCGAGAAGTGATAACACAAGCTGCAGTCCAGAGCGCGCGCGTCATATGGCCCGTTCTTGCCTGAGATTAACATTTCTAGAGGCGCTTACAGCCTAGAGTTGGGGGTCCAGAGCAGGGCCCTACTGTGTGCTGGGTAGGCAGCAGGCACTGATGGCCTCCCCTTTCCCAGTACGAGAACGAAGCCAAGTACAAAGGCCAGTGGGGGCAGCAGGGGCTGCATCACTGCCCCAACTTCTCAGACGCCATGGGGCACAAGGCCCTCCCCAAAGAGGACTTCAAGGAACCCTATGGATGGCACTGGGAGGGGCAGTGGACAGTGGAGCCTCAGAGGAGGTAAGGCTGGTGTACAGGGTCTGGAGCCCATATGCCCTGGACATGCAGCACTGGAGTTGACTCTTCTCATCTGGGAGGGCTACTTAGTAGCCGTCCAGAGAGGCAGGCACATGGCCACTGTAGCCTCTTGCCGAGAGTTGGGGTGCACAAGACAGAGGGCCCTACCCACCCTCCTACCCTGAGTGTTAAGGTCCCACTGCTCAGCCTTGCCTAGAGCAATGGGGCTTCCAGGTAGAGTGGTCAGCCAACAGAGAACCCCTGGGGCCTGTAAATCCAGAGAGATGTGCTAGGAACTTGGGGTGTTGTTGCCCCCAGACTCCTCCTGGACGTGGACATCAACAAGAGCCAGGTGGTAGAGGAGGTGTACGAGAACCAGCATCGAGACCTCACTGGGTTCTGGGTGTCGGCAGCCATCCCGAACACTGATTTGGTGAGCAGGGGCTGAAGCCAACTCGGGGGATGTGGAGGAGCAAGCAAGGCTAGGCAGCTCCAAGGAGGCTTGGTAGGTGAGTGGACGTGTGGAAAGAGTGAAGGTGGCCTCCTGACTCAGTTGCCCTTGGCCTGCCCTCTCCACCCACAGAATGGACAGCCTGTAGAAGCCCGGGAGAACATGAAGTGCCCCCAAGGCTGGCATGTGAAGAAGAACTGGACTGTGGAGCTGAACCATGCAGTGGACAACGAGGGTCAGTCGTCTGGCTACAGACTAAGGGCAGGAGGAGCAGCCAGGACCCACACTTCCCACAGCCTCAGAACAGTCATGTTCTGGGTGGGATGTGTCTGAATTTCTAGGGGGCCTCCCCAGCCTCCAAAGAGTAGGGCCTCTGCCCTTTCCACAGATGCAGGTTTGTTTTGAGCCAGGCTGGCTGTGTGCGCCTCCTGAGCACTTGAATGCAGATCTGGTGGTCAGCTGGGTCTACCCTAGGCAGCCCAGGGACGAGAGCAGGTTGGAGGTCTGTGGACCTGCACTCAACACAAGGGCTCCGCTACTTTGGGGCTGTGTAGCTCACAGGGTGTTTCCAAACCGCAACTTCTTCTTTCGTAAGAAGGGAGTGGACCCATTTCACCCAGATAACACAATATGACCGTAAGTTCATTTCCACACCTCAGGTTCAAAGAGGCCTGGACCTGGGGGACAGCACTGCCACTTTAGCCTGCCCTTCTGGGGCCCATCTCTCAGGCTTTTCTAAGCCTCCCAGCCTGTGGGCACCTGAGCACCCAGAGGCATGGTCCTGCCTCTGCAGGCTGGGAGTATGGAGTGGGGATCCCGCCCTCGGGGCTCCCCCAGGTCTGGAACTCGGTGGAGAAGACCTACTACTCATGTCGCCGGCGGCGCTGGGCACGGGTGCGCTTCAGGGACCGTGGAAACCTGAGTTACGAACAGGAGACCCTCTCCTTTCTGCAGCTGGTGAGGGGCCGCCTGGGCAGAGAGCTAGCCAGGACTGCAGACAGGTTCCACCTCGGGTGGCAGGAGGGTGACTATGCTCCCCTCCCTGCAGCACCAGTCCAGCCCAGCAGCGGAGGAGGGCTGGGAGTATGGCAGCTTTGGCTCCAAGTTCCACCTGAACCCTCAGCCTCAAAGTCAGTTCCGTCGCCGCTGCTGGCACCGCAGGCTGGCCCCCAACAAAGAGAAGGACGTTGCACCCATATTCCTCCTGGAGGGATCGTTGGTAAAGCCTCAGTGGCCTGGAAGACTCCTCCCACCCCCCATGGCCTCACTTCTCAGAGAGCCAGGGCCTGACCTGGGTGTGGGCCACCAGCCAGAGATGCCCCAGCTTGGGGCTGTGAGAGAGGGGGGGCTTCTGGGTCTCAGATCCACATTCTTGGGCTTTGAAGGACAGAAAAGGGTGGACTGGGCCTGGGCTAAAGGAGACAGGGAAAACACCCAGACACCTGAGAAGAGATTGTCCTAGGAACACAGGTTGGAAATGGAACATCAGGCTAAGATGGAAACGCACAAGAAGCCATCTCGGAGTATCTCCAGATCATTCATGGACTCCTTGAGGTCGTACCTGGAGACCCCCCACGCACCCAACCTACCCTTCATCTACTGTGTCTTCAACAGTGAGCATGTAACTGAGAGGGTATGGGTGGCCCCAGAGGCCCAGCATTGGAGGGCAGGGCATGAGGAGGGGCAGATGGGGCTTCCGGAAGCAGGTGCTGGATGCTGCTGCTTTCTTACCCAGAGCCCCACTACTACCAGCTTTTCTGCTACATCTACCAGGCCCGGAAACAGATGTCCACCCAGATCCAGACATTCCAGGGTAGGCAGCAAACACTCCTCTTCCTACCCCCAGCAGGCCCCCTGATGTGGCCATCCAGCAGGGTTAAAATGTGACAAGGAAGGGGATAACAGATCCCCCAGCTCCCCACTCCCAGCTCATGACCCTGGTTTGGGGAAAAGACACAAAAACATGGAGTAGAAGGCAGGACTCTTGAAGTGTGTCCCCAAAGCTGTGGAATCCAGGGAAGGGAAATTGGGGAGTCTTCACCCCATAGAGGCACCACTGCACTGAGCCTTAAAAAGGGAGGAGTTTGCCTGGCAGAGGACTGATGAGATGTGAAGGCAAGAGGGAGGGTGACGGGCTTCGGAATTCCACATCCTTTGTGTTGAAGATGAGGACTGGGAAGAGGGTGGCAATCCCCGGTCCTGTGGAAGGGAACCTGCCCTTGGTCCTGGGAGAACCCACAGGTTTCAGGTGAGTCACATGCTCCCGCCCTGTCCTGTTTGTTAGTTCGTTAGTGGCGACGCTAGTAGGGGGCAGCTTGCTAGATGAAGGTCTGACCCAGGTAGTGGTGTCTGCTGAGAGCGCTGTCTGTTGGGCATCGGCACATCAGGAGATGTTCTCCAAGGACAAAGCTGCTCACTGATGCAGTGGAAATGCAGCACCCCCAAATTCTTCCAGAGGCACCCTGGGGCCTCTACCTTGTGAGGTGCAGGCTTCAGTCATGGTGTCGAGAAACAGATGCAAATGAAGCAAATCACCTTTGGCCTCTGGTTATATGCCGTTTGCTCTGAGGCTCACACTGAGGTCACCTGGGTAGCTGGCAGTAGCAGTGGCTGCTTGATCTGGGCCTCCCTGGGTACTTGATCCAGTGGCAGCAGCAGCCAGAGGAGAGATGAGCCTCACTGGACAGCTCAAAGACACAACGCTTTCCTCTCCCCCACTTCCCAGGACCCTTCGTACGGGTGATCTTCTTGAACCACAGCCAGTGCACCCAAATCCTAAGGAGCTCTGCAGCCCCAACGTGGGACCAGACAATCATCTTTCAGCATCTCCTCCTATATGAGAATCCCCAAGACACCAAAGAGAGCCCTCCACTTGTGGTGTTGGAACTGTGGCAGCGAGACTCCTGGGTAAGGCGGAGTGGGCTGGACTGAGTTGCTGAGGGGCTTTCATTTTAGAGAACACATAGGAAGTGCTTCAGTGGGGTTAACTGACAGAGCATCACGTAAACTAAATGCCAGCTCTCAGCCTAGAGTGTCAGAATCCAGGCCAGTCAGACATGGCTTCCATGTTATGTGAGCTTCCACTTCACTACAGGGCAAGGAGAGCTTATGGGGACGGAGCATGTGGCCCCCGGAGGTTTGGCTGGATGTCCAAAAGCGGATGCTGCCACCCATGAGATGGCACCCACTTATAAGAGAGTTGGGAGATGAAGACGGGGAGATCTTGGCATCCTGTGAGCTGATCCTGGAGACTGAGGTACTAGGGGAGAGGATGAGGGGTGTGGTGCTCTATGCCCCCCACATCACTCCCCTGCCACAGCTTCCATCCCCAACACCACCTCCGTAGGGAAGGCCTGGGGCCTAGGAACTGGACCACTGGCCTGGTGGCCCAGGTCACCCAACTGTCCCCAATCTCCCCTGCCAGCTTCTACCCATGTGACTCTGGAGCCTCCTGGGTTGGACCTGCTTGAGTTGGGGGCAGGGACAGCAGAACCAGCCCAAAGGGGACTCAGACTCCTTGTTCTCTCACCTCATGTCTTCAGAGTCTCAGAGAGAAGGTGCCAATCTTTAGTGTTCCTTGGAAGAATGGGTTCTACACACTCCCCAGGAGCATCCAGCCCACCCTAAGGAAAATGGCTATTGAGGTACTGATGGAATGGGCAGGGTGGGCAGGGCATAGGCATCGTCCAGAGCAGCCAGTACTGGGGAGCTCTCTTTGCTGACCCTATTGGGCCTTCATGACCGGTGATCCAAAGCTTGGACCCCAAAGTGAGATGATGGAGGGAGAGAGGAGAGAAATGAAGAGCAGAAGCTCTGAACAGTTTAAATTTTTTTAATGCAGATCTTGAGCTATCTGCTGCCCCTGTGCAGTAGTAGGGACTACATTCCAGAGAAGGAAATCAAGGCTCTGAGAAACATATATTCTCTGCAAAGTGACACAGGGACTGAGTAGTAGAGCCAGAATAGGGGCCCTGCCTGATCCCAAATGGTGATCCTGATGTCTCTCGCCTCTCTTTTGAGAGTAGCATGGAAGTCCCACGTTGGAACCTCTGCGCGTTGCCACCAATCTGGCAAGAGTAAAAGATGGTCAGGTTCCCCTTTTGCTGGTGCCTTCCCTAAGATCAGGCAATCTGGCTGGTTCCTTATCTGGTCCCCTGAAGACATCTCCCAGGGCACCCAGTGTCTGTCGGTTGTAAGATCCAGAGCGCTGGGTTCCCGAATGGCCACAGAGTTCTCTGGGATACAAGATAGCCTCAGGAATTCACTCCTGAGAACTGGTAAGGCAGCCTGCAAGGAAGGACAATACCTAAGGGGCACTGGAGGTCAGTGAAAGATACCCAAGGGCACGATATGGAGGGGGGACAGCAGCCTGCAGGCCTTGAGAAGCACAGATGCCTCACAGGACAGGCGACCTGGGCGAGCCTTCAGCCTGACTTCACCCAAACACATCCTCTAAGGCACCATCACTCCCCTCCCAGGACAACCCCTCTTGCTGGTCAGGACCCCATTACAGATGCACTGCCTGCCCCTTGTCCCCCCTCCTCCTCTGTTCTGGCAGCTCTTGGTCTGGGGTCTGCGGAACATGAAGCAGGTGCACTCCCCCCAGCTCGTGGTGGAATGCTGGGAAGAGTCCCTGCAGACAGAACCCATCAGGAACTTCCAGGCCAACCCCAACTTCACGGAATCAGTCCTCTTCCTCACGCTGGTAAGCAGTCCTCAGGCCAGGCCTAGGGCAGCCCTCCTCTCTTGGGAGGCTCACTCCGTCTCTCCTTCGGGCTGCAGTACATGCCTGTGGAGGAGACCTACGTGCTGCCCCTCGTCTTGAAGGTGGTGGATGTGCAGGACTTTGGCCAGCGGACCGTGGTGGGTCAGACCAGCATTGACTCCCTACAACCCTACTTCTGTGACCCTTGGGCTGCAAACTACATGTCCCAACGGCTTCCAAGTATGGTCTTTCTCTGTGCCCTTGCCCAGGCTTCACCCTCCCCTGGGAGTGGGCAAGGCCCTGGCTGCCCTGTGGGGTTGGTATCCCTCTTCCCCACTCGGCTCCCCTCCTGAGACTCATGATCGCTTTCTCCACACAGTGCTGACTATGAGAAAGTGCCACACGGTGAGTAAAGAGCTTGCGGCCCCATGTTCTCCCACACCATTTAAAGGGAACCACCTTTATCCCTGCAGAGGGAGGAGGTAGATGAAACACAGTTCTGCCATCTGTAACGCAATGTGAAGCCTAATCGTACACAAGTCTACAGCAGGGATTCGCAACCTAGAGTGCACATTAGAATTGCTTGAGGGTTTAAAGAATTCTGACAGCCAGGCCACTGACCAATTGTATCAGAGTACCTGGGGGAGGACCAGGCATCAGCACTTTAGTCCAAGTGCCAACCCATCCCTCCTACTCCCCCCCACCCTGCCCGCCCACTGTGATTCCAGAGTGTTTCAAGGTTCTGAACTACAGCTCCAGAGCAGCGGTTACCACACTCGCATGCACACATGCACAGGAATCCTTTGGGCATCCTGAACACAAGCAGATTCTGGTTGGGGGCAAGGGAGGGGCTTGAGGTTCTGCATTTCTGAGCCCTCCAAGAGTTCAGACTGAAACTGTGGGCAATGAGAACTAAGAATTACGCTTACTGTCCTCACCCCCAGTCTGAATTAAAGGGCCTCTGTGAAGTGCAAAGGAGTCAGGTGGTGAGTGGGCCGTGGGCTGCTAGGGCTCCCCTTGCTCACTGCGCTCATCTCTCAGCTCCTAGATCACTTCTGTGGAAAGTTCTGGTTCAAGTCCAGCAAGCATGAGGTGATGTAGATTCAGCCCCAAGAACATGGCATTCTGGTCATCCCAGGAAAGCGGGGATGGGGGTGAGGGGTAGGGGGACATGATCCTGGGCAGAAGGCCACTGTGCCTTCTTCTGATGGCCAGAATGCCCCTCTTCCCTGCCAGGATGAATATGAGCATGAGGTAGACTGGTGGAGCAAGCTGTTCTGGGCCACAGGAGACACTCCTAAGTCCCTGATATACAAGTACAAAGGCTTCTATACTCTGAAGGTTTGGAGGCCCCACGGATGGGAGGCTGCTGAGAGAGATGAAATAAAACCTGCTAGGAGAGGCCAGCAAACCTAGCCCTGGTTCCTCTGGGAAGCATAAAGGTGGGGGGGAAGGGCATTTGCCCATTGTCTCTACCAGACTTTGGGCCATACCTCCACCTGCATGCCCTGCAGCTGCCAGTGCTGACCCTAGGCCATTGACTGCACTCACCCCAGGAATTGTCCCCTCAGGTCAAGCCAGGTCTGCTCTCCCCACCAGCCTGGGCCCCACACACTCTCCCACAGGTGTATGACTGTGAGCTGGAGGCTGTGCCAGCCTTCCAAGGCCTGCAGGACTTCTGCCAGACCTTCAAACTCTACCAGGAACAGCCCAAGGTGGACAGCCCTGCAGTGGGGGAGTTCAAGGTATGCGTCTATCCTGGCTTAGCTGCCTGTCTCCTGAACCCCTAGTAAGAGCCCTGGCTCTATGTGCTCCTCATGAGGATGGGCCAGGAAAGGCTTGAAAAACAGTTGAGGAAGTAAGGAAGCAGACACCAACCCATGCAGGGATTGGGGGTGACCTCCTCTAACACAGGCAGGGTGAGGGTCTTCTCACTCCCAGTTCTGTTCTATCCTGGCCTCTCAACACCTTGAGCACCTGAGAGAACAAGTTCAAACCTGAAAGGATGGATGCTGGCAGAAGAATTCACATTGGAGGAAACTGGGAGTTCACCTAGTGACCAAGTTTCGTCTACCCAGCACCCCTCCTAAACAGTATTCCCTGCAGAGCACCCCTGCTGCTCCTGCCTCTACTGCCCTCCCCACAGCCTTCTGTCCCTGCCACTCTCAGCCTAACCCTCTCTCTCTTGAGCTTGGACTAGGGACACCTCCAGTTGGGCCAGAGCTGGGCCGGCACAGCCAAGCTGAGGTGGCAATACTTTCTCTTCCCAACATACACAGGGCCTTTTCCGTGTCTACCCCTTCCCTGAGAATCCAGAATCCCCTATACCCCCGCGCCAGTTTGTGACCGGGCCCGAGAAAGAGGACTTCCCTCAGCAGTGCGTGGTGCGGGTATACGTGGTTCGAGCAAGTAACCTGCAGCCCCAAGACTACAATGGCATGGTAACACGCAACCCCAGCTGCGGGCTTGTCTTCCTAGTCCCTCTCCCCCAGACCAGGCACCTCCCATGCTCTACCCTAAACCCCAGTGTCCTGGAGCTCCCTCCGGATGCCGACACCCAGAAGGCCAAGTCCCCACAGACGCTACCTGGGACAAGGGGCTCATTTCCGCCGGCCTCCCACCCTCCCTGACCAACCCAGACTCTCCATTTCCTGTCCTTCCCTCACTTATGTCTGACCTCCAGTGTGACGCTTATGTGATCCTGAAACTGGGACAGACAACGCTTGGCAACCGGGATGAGTACAAGGCCAATACTTTGGATCCCATCTTTGGCATGTGAGCCGCCCCCACTCACCCAGTCCTGCCTCTCCACTCCCCTTCCACACCATGCCAGGAGAATGGTCCAGATGGAAAAGAACCCTTGCCTGCCCTTCTAGCCTCCAAGTTCCTAACATAGTATCTCACACACTCTAGGTGCTCAACAGATGGAAGTTGGATGGATGGGCGGCCTAGTTCTGCCCTCCCTGTCAGAGGCTTATTAAAAGTTATTTTAAGCCATAAGTGGGGGGTGGCAACTGGCAGACAAGAGCCATCCTAGACTCAGCTCTCCATAGTCGCCATTACCCAATAAGGGGGTGGAGCATGGGTGCATGGGGCTGGGATGCCAGAGGGAGGCATGTAGGTAATATGGCCCAGTCTTTGCGCCTCCAACACCTTTCTCCCTAGGATGTTTGAACTGAACTGCACCATCCCCCTGGAGAAGGACCTAGAGATCCAGTTATATGACTTTGACCTATTGTCACCTGATGATAAGATTGGAACCACAGTCATCGATCTTGAAAACCGACTCCTATCTAGCTTTGGAGCTCGTTGTGGGCTCTCCAAATCCTATTGCATGTAAGAGTGGACTGGAACCAGGGCAAGGGAGCAGGGGAGGAGGGAGGAGTGAGCCCACAGCCTCCTTCTGAAATGCTTGCATCCTGGGGTAGGGTATCAGGACCTGAACCTGCCTCCACTCATGATTTCACCATTGGTCATCCTGTAGCTCAAAGAAAAGTGTTCTCCAGGACCCAAGCCTCTTTCCCTTTCCTCTCACATATCCCCAGATCAGGGCCCTTCAGGTGGCGGGATCAGATGCCCCCAAGCGTCCTCTTGGAAGACCACGCCAAGCGGAAAGCGCTGCCTGCCCCTCAGTTCAGCCCTGAGGAAGACTCTGTTTATTACAACGGGAGAAACTTCAAACTGCAAAGCTTTGGTGAGAAGGACAACACATTGCCAGAAAGCATAGATCTAGGCCTCTGAAGCCAGTAGAAGCCCCTCTGAAGGCCCTCTCCCCTTAAAGAAGTTACCTAACACCACTGTCTAGGCTAGGATCAGGGAATGGGGTGGGAGGGGAGCTACCTGGGAAATGGAAGGACTAATGACCTTGTGATCCCTTCCTCCCAATCCTCTCCAATTTAGAGCCCCAGGGCCCTAAAGCTCCTTTTCTGGGACCTCAGAAAGAACGCCTTGCACTGTACGTCCTGCACACCCAGGGACTGGTACCTGAGCATGTGGAGACCCGCACACTGTACAACGACAGCCAGCCAGGTATCGACCAGGTATGAGACTGGAGGGGCTGGATCAGGAGACAGGGGAGTCCCTCTATTCAGCACACAGGCCAAGACGACAGGGGAAGGAGAGGCCAAGCACTCACAGATGCACATGGACAGAAGACAAACATGTTCTACATGTGCTAGGGAATAAGGAGTTGCATTTAGAATGGAGAACTTCAGAACCATAGAAGTCAGCCACAAGAAACCCAGGCCACTTATCAGCTGTGGAAAGTGCCAAGGCAGCCTACCAGCCAACGCCAGCACCACTGTAATCTCTCCTGAGGAAGCGTGGGGAGGTGGCACCTGAGGTCAGATGCACAGACATTACAACTCTGGTTTGGCTTTTAATTGCAGGCTGTTTTCTCTTCCTGGCAAGGAACCCCAAACAGATGGGGGGAAAAAATCCCCACAGGCACCCTAATTATCATCTACCCTCCAGTCACCAAAATGGCTCATCTCATTCTCCAAATTTTTCTAACTCATACCACATTCTGGATATAAAGTCCTCTAAGGCGTATTTTAAAATCCATTCTCATTAAACTTCTTTTCTCAAATGGGGTCAGTTTCAAAAGAATAAAAGAATAATCTTAGGTCAGATCGCTTGAAATAATATACAGTAACTCTGCCATCCTTTCACTTTCACTTCATACCATTTTTTCTTCTTGCTTTGATTTCTGTGCTTTGTGGATAGCTTGGTATCTTTAGGACGTAGTTATACAACATAAACTGACTTGGAAATCTGATCACTTGGTTTACTCTAAGTTAGGGCCCCTGGACTATTTAGTGAATGAAGGCCCAATCCCATTCTGGAGCCCTGCTCAAACTGGCCATCTAGCATGACCTGCTGGGTGGCATTAATCCCACAGACTCATCGCAAGTGCAATCCCAGCACCACCGCTGTCAGGTTCAAGGCTGCCATACCCCACCCACCTCACTGCACTCTTCTCCCAGTCAGAATGAAAAAAGGGGAAACTGATGGATGTTTGCTTGACTTTCTGTCTGGAGTCCATTCCACCTATAGATACCTCTATACCCCACTCCTCAGTGCTGGGAACACAGTCTCAAGACATCTTTGACTCTCAGCCGGGGTTCCCAAGCCTGTGGAGAACAGAGGTCAGCACTTAATTCATCTCCACTCTAGGGGAAGGTGCAAATGTGGGTGGACATCTTCCCCAAGAAGCTTGGGCCTCCTGGTCCCCCAGTCAACATCAGACCCAGAAAGCCTAGAAGGTAAGTGATGGCCCATTCCAACCACTGCACTGGACAGAGTAGCCTACTCATGGTGCAGAGCATCAGAGTTCTCCAACACTGAGCTGCAGTCATTCTTTTTCCTCTCCTGGGAACCCTGGGTTTCTTTTCTTGGGTTCCCCCAATGCATCAAGACTGGTGTGGGCATGGAGGGCGGCCTTCTAGGCCACTGTTGCCTCATCAAGGCTGCAGCCCGGGAGCTATTCCCCAGCAAAGCCTCAGAGCACCATGACTACAGGTATGAGCTGCGCTGTATTATCTGGAAAACTGCCAATGTGGACCTGAGTGACATCAGCTTAAGTACTGAGAGGATGAGTGACATCTACATCAAAGGGTGAGGAAGAGGAGCAGGGCTCCAGCAGTGTTCCCCCAGAGTTCCCTAGTTCTGTCATTCCTATGGGTCCTCCTAATCCCAAGGGTGACATCTCTCTGCTTCCACCTGTGCCTGGTGTCTGCTGGGCAGCCCTCCAAACAAGACTCCAGCTGGGGCATGGGGACCACACACATGACCCCCAGGTGAAAGGAATTTGGCCCCAGGTGGTTATTCGGGCTAGAGAAGGACATGCAGAAGACAGATATCCACTACCGCTCCCTGACTGGGGATGCCGACTTCAACTGGAGGTTCATCTTCACCTTGGACTACCTGGCAGCTGAGCGTGTGTGCGTCCTGAGTCAGAAGGTAACAGGTCTTCGGGTGGGGTGTAGTGTCCCTCCCACTCCTCCATTGGAGATCTGTAAACTACGTACCATAACACTTGGCATGTGAGCTCGGGTGAAAATCCTTTCTAGACATTCCATCATTGCTGGACTACCAAGGTGACCCGGGGAAATGGCAAGGGAGACAGGCTGATAATGTGCCCTTCTGCCATCCTCTAGGATTACGTCTGGAGCCTGGACCCCACGGTGATGAAGTTCCCGGCTCGGCTCATCATCCAGGTCTGGGACAACGACGTATTCTCCCCTGATGATTTCCTAGGTGAGATCCTGGCATGGGGCCTGTAACCATAAGGCAAGGAGCTCACTCTTGCTGACGGTATTTCTCTGGGCTCAGGGGTCCTGGAGTTGGATTTGTCTGACATGCCCCTCCCAGCCAAGCACGCCAAACTGTGCTCCACCAGGATGATGGATGTCGACGCGAACTTGCCCCAATTCCTCCAAAACCATTACTTCTCCCTCTTTAAGAAGAAGACTGTAACTGGCTGGTGGCCTTGCCAGGTCCTCGATAATGGCAAATGGCGCATGTCGGTAAGAGCTGGGAATGGGTAGGACTGCTGTGCCATGTAACTTGACTCTACAGATTTCTGGGGCACTTAGCTAAATCCCTTTTCTTTTCTGGACACTGGGAAGAGGCATTAAAACTATTTTTGCTTTGCTGTCTGTCCTCAGCCTCCTACCACTAATGGTGTTTGTAGGGTAAAGTGAAGATGACCCTGGAGATTCTGTCAGAGAAGGATGCTTTAATCAAGCCAGCAGGACGAGGCCAATCAGAACCCAACCAATACCCTACACTTTATCCTCCCCTGTAAGGGTCGTGTAAGGCAAGGGCAAGGAATCCCCCTCACCCCTTCAAAAAGCTGAACTGCTGGGCCCAGCAGTTTGACTGCTGACTGGTGGGCCTACACGTGGAGAGACGGAATTGCTTCCCTCTGCTCCAGATCAGTGTTGCTATTATCAGGAGCAAAAAGACAGACTGGGGTGGAGGCTGGGGGGAGGTAGCAAGCAGAAGCTACTTAATAAAAAGCAAGCTCTCTGCTCTGGATGACTTGACCTGAAGGTTCTGCCCTCCACTCTCTGACATCTCTTCTGCTCATGGACAGACGCATCAACAGCTTTTCCATGTGGCTGCATTCACCTATTCAAACTTTCTGCCATGTTTTCTGGAAGCGCTATCGCTATAAGATCATTTTCGTCGTAATCATGCTGGTTATAGTGCTTGTACTGTTCAACTTCATCTATTCAACTCCGGTGAGTGCCAAGCATGGGGACAGACAAAGGTACTGGTTGCTCTTGGGAAGACTCAGGAGAGAGCCATCAAGCTGCTACTTTAAGCTAACTGTTGCCTATTCTCTCTAGAACTACTTGGCCATGAACTGGGTCAAACCTGAACTTCGGCTGACTGCTCCCATGAAAATACTCAGCAATATCTTTGGTTTTGGCAATTCCAATACTTCCAAGGCCACCACCCAGAAGTGAACCCAGAGCCTACAATAGACCATGAGTTGAAATTCCTCCAGGAACCCATGAATCACCTGAGAGATATTTTTCCAGAACCTCCAGCCCCACAAAACTAGTTCTCGCATGTTTGCCTGGCATTTCTCCTACCCACTATCAGCTCTACCCTTGGGCTTTCCACCAGTTACTTGTTTCTATCTTCTAGAATATATGCAAGGGACTAGGGATAATCTGGCCATTTTGCTTAGAAACCACTTCCAACGGGAAGGGCAGGGTTGCAATTTTTCATGAAAATAAATAAGTTTTGTAACAAAGAACTACCTTGTAATTTGAGAATGAGTGAAAGAGGGCTGGAAACAAAATCAAAGTCTGAAAACGCTAGCCTTTCAGACAGACTCGCAAGGGGAGAGGGAGTAACACCACTTCTAGTCCTCAGGGTCTCTTCCACGCTAAGATGCTCTGAAGTCAGTGGGAAATGAGGACTGTGAGGAAGAGAAATGAATCACGTGGGGTGTGCAGCTTGCCCAGGCCTGCTCACACCTCTAGTGCATGTGCACAAAAGAGCCATACCATGGACCAGGCATCTCCCTCCTCTAGGATATACCTGGGATCACAGTTTCCAGAACAATATTCAGTCCCATTCACAATGGGAACTGTTTGTTTCTAGAACAAAAAGCAAAAACTGGGGCAGAACAAGCAATGCAAGGTCAGACAATTTCCTTGCCCCACACAATTTAAAGGCAGTTTTAGGCTGGGCGGGAATACATTTCATTTTTTTCCTTGTACTCTTTCAAAAACCTCAAGGAGGGCCTCCCTGGTGGTGCAAGGGATTAAGCACCACACTATGAAGCAATCCACGGCCTCTGTATCATGAGTTCGATCCCCGGCCGGCCAGGGAGCAACCCACATGGTGAGGCAGACCTCTCCGGTCTCGCCTGCTACTCCCCTCAGCAGTGTATTTCAGTTAGTCTGCCTGTTCTGCTCCCCACTGTCTCTGGTGGATCCTCTCACCTCCTGTAACCCCCGCATCTCTGGCCTGTACCCCAGCTCTTCTATGCATAAATAAATAAGTCTTTTAAAAAAAAAAGACCTCAAGGAGCACACATAAGGTACTCATACAAAACTCAAGTTCAACCTCTCACACACACACCCGCTCCATGACAAAAATCCCCTCTTCCTGTACCATTTCCTGGCCCATCTCAGAAGTCCACCTGGGTCCTCCTATCACTGGCATCTATCCAATCTCCCCTTGAACTCAAAATGGAACAGCTAGGTTTTGTTTGTGTTTTTTTTAGTTCTACTTGGTTTTAAGGCCAAAATCAAGGTTACAGTTTGTTCTGGCATTCTGGGGCTGATCTGTAGTGGTGAAGAAGGTGGTAGGAGGATCACACTTTAATTCCATCCGGATACAGCTACAGCCTGTGATGCACACGGGAAAGATAAGCCCAAGAAGATGCAAACCATACAAGCCAAGGTCACTTCCTTCCCTTCTGAGCTTACTGGCGGGTTTTCCCCATCCAGGAGAAGCAGGACAAGGCACGCGGGATTTCAGGATCAGGAAAAAGGCCTGGACCTTCCCCCAAACCCACCCCTAGAAGAAAGGACACTGAGTCAGAAGCTCATGTTTGGTTTCCATCAGCCATTTTAAGAATTTCCCTTAGCTACAGAAAAGTACACAGTTAGAGAGCTCAGAGTTCCAGGCCCTCCAGGGAGATTCCAGCCTGTTAGCCAATTTAATCACAGGCAGATAGGTGAGCAGCATGTGACCCCTCATCAGATAAGGCAGTGGAATATGGGCTGATCCACAGAGGATGACACTCAGGCTCTGCTGCTCAGTGACAACGAACTCTTCCAGGCACAGATGATGAGGGTCTCCCAGATTTGGGACAGGAGAACAGCAGCTATTTCTTATCCATCAAGAAAAAGCCAAATTTCCTCTTTGGGGAGTTTCCAAGCCCAGGCTATAAGAAGAAAGCATCTTTTACATTTTGAGGGATTTCAAAATTCATGATAAACACAAGACATGCAGCTAAGCAGGCTCCAAGTCCAGAAACACCCCCACGTGGTCAGTTCACAGAGCAAATGTTGCTTTAGGTGTCAAACGTGGAGCTGGTCAGTTTCACAGTTAATTCCATGGCATCCATGAGATCTTCCAAACATCTCTTGATTTGCATACCAACTTTCAGCCAAACTTGACTAAGGACCTACAGGGACCTACTTGGGAAGACCACGAACACATCAATAGAACCAAGAACCATGCTAAAAAAAAACAAGGGTTAGAAAAGAAAACCAGTCCTCTGGTGAGAGAAAACCAGTGAGAAAGTCCCCTCACTCACGGCCACCTAATAGTGTCAATAAAACTTTTTTGTTCGGCAGTCCCAAATCCTGCCCGAGAGGCATCCAGACATCTCTTCCAGCTCAGCTTGCATTTGGAGAAGACAAAGAATGGAGAGGAAGGAAGGCAAGGAAGGGAAATTTCTACCCAGAATTCCAAGGAAAACTCAGTGAACAGACGCTTGGACAAAAAGCAAAAACCAATGACTGAGTGGCTAAAATATATGAGGAGTTATCAGTGTTTTGTTCTCTGTAGATTTAAAAATGAGTGAAAGGGCCCTCTGAGTCCAACAAGGCCACAGCCTGGGCTATGAAATTCTTCTCTGTGATTTTGGCATCATAATAGCATGTAGTCTCTCCATCCTTCTTACCTCCTAAGGGGAAAGACTGCAGGGAAAGGCACGTCACAGCAGCATTGCCCTGGGGTGGGTGGGCATCCTGAACCAGAGTTAGATGTTGCCATGGATGACCATGGGAATGCAGTGTCCCTGCATTCAAAGCTCCAGTGACAGAACCAAGTCCTCGACCAGCTATTTTGTAGACTGGAAAAGACCCGCTGGGCTGTGTGCTTAGGCCGGTGCCTGCTCCTCCCACACTTCATGGGTGACAGTCAGAAATGGTGGCATCAGAAGAGTTCAGTAGAAACGCTTTCGGCTTTGGTCCTGCCATTTGTTGTAGAGTATGATACCAATGACAATGGCAAACACAGAAAATACCAGCGAAAAAAAGACGATGAGGAAGAGGGCCAGGCCACTCAGGGGTGGCAGGGGGGCTGTCACTGAGAAACAAGACAGAAGCAAGTCAGAATCTGGGAGATCACCCAGTCGGGAAGGAACAACCAACAAACTACCACGTCCCCATTTCTGACACCGATGTCAGGGAGCCAGAGCTTAGACTCTCCTTTTCCAGATGCCTCAGTTACAAACCTTCCTGCTGCTCATCTGTAACACGGAGACAGGGGAAAAGCAGGAGCACATGATCCATGTTCTTAGAGGAAGAACACAGAAAGGAGACAGCCCTACAAGCTGGAAGAGCAAGTCACCACAGACCTCCCCCCAGCACTGTGACCACCCTGACCATGGGGCCATTTCCCAGGATCCCCTGTGCTCACTCTCAGGCAGCTTCATGTTGTCCACTGAGGGCAAGAACACATCTCGATGCAGCTTCTCCTCTTCTGGGGTTCTCTCCACTGTCAGTTCAAACAACTTCAGGGAAATGATATCATGGTTATCTAGAGGATAAAAAGAATAAGGGTTACTCAATCCACCTCAAAGAGAAGTACTGGAGTATTTTGTTTCAAGACTCTTATGCACAACTAGTCACAACTTTGAAAAAATAATTGAAACCTATTTTCTCATCAAACATAAGAATAGGGAATATGGAATAGCCTATATTATCCCATATTTCAGGGTTTTTTTTTTTTTCTGTCTCCACAAGGTCTTTATTATTTACTTATTATTTGTTTTATTTTTATTTATTTATTTATTTTGTACATCATTGTTCATTTTTAAACAATATTTGCTTCCCCCCACCCCTCAGGTGTAGTCCCCATAGAGTTTCCTTCACCAATGCACCCATGCACCATCACCTCAGTCCCCTGTGCTCCTCCCTCCCTCCCTCTGATCCCTCTCCCTCCACCTCTCCTGCAGTATGCCTCTGATTTATAATTGTCTGTTTTTGCTTTGTTGTGTTTTGTACTGTTATTATTTTTTTAAAGCATGCATTATCTATATAACTAAAAAATTTAGAGATAATAAATCTTATACCGTGTGTTAAATCACCTAGCACAGTGAGAAGAGACAAAACTTTCCTTTACTGGGCAGGACACACATAAGCAAGATGGGAATGGGTCTCACAACAGCTGTTTAGTGGACCCTGAACAGGTGTAACTATTGGCATGGAATGCAATTCCCTTCTGGAGAATGCCTAAGTCTTTGCAGTTCCTTGTAACTGGGACTTTGAATCTCACTAAAAATAATCAGAGGCAGGATCAAGGAATTAGGAACTGGAATTTTTTTTCTATCGCTTAAAAATATTATTGTAAAAAGTTCATAGATTCAAATACATTTGATTCAATACACTAAAGCTGCACCTCTTACTGATGTTCAAATCGACCCACTCTTATCAGTGGGAGCCTATTCAGGTTGGCTGCTGAGTCATTTTACATGAATCCAGAAATTTTTTATTATCTTCCTTGCTTCTCTGGGAAGTTTCAGGCTTATACATTTCCTGCCTCAGCTCTCCCATCAGTCTTCTCTGCAAGAAGCTCTCCTTCCTTTTAGTTAGAATTGATATTAAGAGACCACAAAACTGAGTACTAGGGCTGCTCATTGCTACTAGGTATTGGGGACTGGATTTCTTACCGTATTTCTATTATTATTTTTTTTTAAGATTTATTTATGTATTTATACAAGCACTGGGTACAGTCAGAAGCGTGGGAGGGTGAGAGAATTCACCAGAGCCAGAGCGGGGAGCAGAGCAGGCAGAAGGACCGAAGTACACTGCTGAGGGGAGGAGCGGGCGGCAGGAGAGGTCTGCGCGCCATGTGGGGACCCTCCTCCGGTGGCCGGGAAGCAGCTGGGGAACGAACCGGCGCTGCAGCAGCGGGCAGCTTCGCAACCCAGCGCTCAACCGCTGCGCCACCGGGGAGGCCACCATATTTCTATTATTAAGTTGGTATTAACAGTTGCTTGCATGGCCAGCATATTTACTAGACCCCTAGACAGGAAAATAAACTGAATATGACTTCAATTAGAGATGTTTTTCGGGTCTCCCCAGTGGTGCAGCAGTTGAGCGCTGGGTTGCGAAGCTGCCCACAGCCTCTGCAACGCCGGTTCAATCCCCGGCTGCCGGACAAGGGTCCCACATGGCACGCAGACCTTTCCTGCCGCCTGCTGCTCCCCTGAGCAGTGTACTTCGTCACTCTGCCTGTTCTACTCTCCGCTCTGGCTCTGGTGAATTCTCTCATCCTCCTGCACCTCTGACTGTACCCAGTGCTTGTATAAATAAATAAATCTTAAAAAAAAAAAAAAATGTTTTTCACTGTCAGGACTGAGTTTACACCATGGGACAGGCTAAAAATCCAGGACAGGGCCTCCCTGGTGGCCTAGGGGTTAAATCTCAGCGCTATCACCTCTATGGCCTGAGTTTGATCCCTGCTGGCCCAGGAGCTAGCTCACCTATGGTGCAGCAGACCTCTCCTGTCTCGACTGCTGCTCCCCTTAGTGTATTTCAGTAAATTAACCTGTTCTGCTCCTCACTCTGTTTCTTGTGGCTTCTCACTGTGCTTCCCCACCCCACACCTCTGGCCTACACCTCAGTTGTTCTAGTCAATAAATAAATAAATAAATAAATCAAGGACAATGCTCCTCACAAAGTAGGAGTATCAGAGGCTGGGATGCTGGGATATGTCCTAATTTTCTTAGCAGTTTTCAACAATCTCTTGTATAACAAGTAAGATGTCAACAAATAAGACCTTAAGAATAAGACAAGATTTATATTTCGGATTGTCCTATGGACAGAGAAAACAAATACTAAAGTGGGTATTATCACTAAAAACCTGGAGAAAGGACTCCTTTGGATAAACAAAAATAGTATTCTTCTTGGACATTCTAACAGTGAATAACAGCCTCCCATCAGGTTAACTGAGCAGGTCCTAGAACCTGTAAACTCAAAGGAAAAGATGTAGACAAAGAAACCTTTTTCAACTTGAGTCATATGAAGAGATTATATAGCAAAGATCTCAAGCCTGTACCTCCCACCCTGTGCCAAAGCAAGCTCTCTCCCGCAGTTCTAGCCTGTCTGCATGGCGTTTAGAACATAGCTGCCAGAGCCTGTCTCTCCTGTGACATCTCATTAGTGACACAAAGCAGAACAATGGAGTCAGGGTAGGAGAGGAATACTGCAAAGGGACAGCGAGATTTGTTTGCAGTGGTGGAAAACATTCCAAACATCCTTTGACTGTGATGGTGGTTACATAGGTTTAAGTATTTATCAAAATTCATCAAACTATACTTTTTTTTAAAAAAAGATTTATTTATGGGCCTCTCTGGTGGCGCAGTGGTTGAGCTCTGGGCTGCGAAGCTGCCCGCAGCCTCTGCTGCACCGGTTCGATCCCCGGCTGCTCCCTGGCCACCGGAGGAGGGTCCCGCATGGCGTGCAGACCTCTCCTGCCGCCTGTTGCTCCCCTCAGCAGTGTACTTTGGTCCTTCTGCCTGCTCTGCTCCCTGCTCTGGCTCTGGTGAATTCTCTCACCCTCCTGCGCTTCTGACTATACCCAGTGCTTGTATAAATAAATAAATAAATAAATAAATAAATAAATAAATAAATCTTAAAAAAAAAAAAGGATTTATTTATGCATTGAAGAGCTGGGATGCAGGCCAGAGATGCAGTGGGTAAGAGGACTCACCAGAGACAGAGTAGGGAGCAGAACAGGCAGACTGACTGAAATACACTGATGAGGGGAGCAGTAGGTGAGGCAGGAGAGATGACCCATATGCTGTGCCATATGGATCACCTCCCTGGCTGGGGGCTGAATTCATGCTGCAGTGGCTGCGGATAGCTTCATAGTGCTGTGTCTTAACCCCTTGTGTCACCAGGGAGGCCCCCTCAAACTGTACTGTTGTACAGAAAGCACACATCCACCAACAAAGCTGATTTTTAAAAAATCAGCTGTTGATATTTTAAAAAATCAGATTTCATTTTGAAAATTAAGATTTCCACTTCCCTTAAAATTGGAAGGCATGGTCTCATTGAGCCCACATTTTCTCTTTCCAACCATGCTGGAACTGCATAGCTGCTACCTGTTTCATCTGTGTATTTGCTTTTCCTTTTTGTCATATAAAAGCTCTACAGTAGTGTATTAGCTTTATTCATAAGTTACAGCAATCAAAAAACCCAAAAGCTTTCCTTACCTTTTCTCAAAAGATGTTATGATTGGGGCTAAAATCAAGGGAGATAATAAGCACATAAAGAGGAGCTACAAATGAGGAACGAACAGGAAGATAAGTCAGAGGAGATAGGAAAGTGAAAGAACTGGATACTGTTGGTGCCACTTAAGCCAACAAAAGCAAGAGTGAAATTACCTCATCAAACAAGCAAAAGATAGAACAAAGAACAAGGCTAAAATAAACTACTACATGTGGCAAGGAAACAAGTAACTTTTATGAGAATAGCGCTAACAGCATGATAGGGTCTACAAGTCCAAGTGCAGCGTGGTAAAGAGGCGGACAGCTAGGAAACAGAAGCATGACACATTCAGAAGTCTGAGCACAAAGGAGAGTCTGGGGGTGACAAGAAGGATGGCAGAGTTCTAGGTAAGTTTTGTTAAGAGAATGGGAACTAAGCACACTAGGAAGTGGAAGGAGAGGAGTCTGACTATAGAAAAGGGAACCAGAGGGCCTCCCCGGTGGCGCAGCGGTTGAGCGCTGGGTTGCGAAGCTGCCCGCAGCCTCTGCAGCGCCGGTTCGATCCCCGGCTGATCCCCGGCTGCTCCCCGGCCACCGGAGGAGGGTCCCACATGGCGCGCAGACCTCTCCTGCCGCCCGCTGCTCCCCTCAGCAGTGTACTTCGGTCCTTCTGCCTGCTCTGCTCCCCGCTCTGGCTCTGGTGAATTCTCTCACCCTCCCGCGCTTCTGACTGTACCCAGTGCTTGTATAAATACAAAAATAAATAATAAATAAATAAATAAACAAAAACACAGAACTTATTAAAAAAACGTTTAAAAAAAAAAAAAAAAGAAAAGGGAACCAGAAATAAGGCAAGAACTCAAAACAGACTGGAAGAGCCGGCTTGATGAAGAGGCAAATGTGCTTTCCGTTAACACCAACTACTCCTGGAGACCACTGGACTAGGGCACCCTAGGACTGGGATCTGTGTACTGGAATGCAGGAAGATAAGCACTCCCGGGATACTTGCTTCCAGAGGCTCCCCTGTGACGTCTCATCAGGGGCTGGCTATTAAGATGTGACCTCAGTCTCAGCAAATAAAAAGCACATGTGACAGTACCGGAGAGATCCCCAGTGATGGAGGAGGCACCAAAGTAGTAGCCCCGGGGCAGACGGACCCCAGGCACCTCAATGCAGTCCCTCCACTCATGCTTGCCATCGATGTCCATCATTACCTAGAATAAAAAGAAGAGTTAAATCAGGGCTAGGCCACCAGGGCAGGAGCAAGACAGCCCACACCTTCCAACTGATCTAGGTCAGGGACTCACCGTCAAATGCCTCTTGACATATCGAATCACAAGGAAGGTGTCATAATGGAGATTGCGGACAATTGCTGTACAGCCCCCTAGTTCTGTAGGACGCCCATCCCGCTCATGATCATAGCTGAGGGAGCCATTGTTCACCATGGCTGAGATGTAGGGGAACACCCGCTGGGAAAGCATGGATGGAAAAGCAGGGAGAACTGTAAGGAAGTGCTCAAAGACTGCCTGCACAAACAGCAACAGGAATTTTAAACATATAAGATGAGCCGCTTACAGCAAACCAGCAGCAGCAATCACTCTGTCTCATCATTAGTAGCTCCCAGGAACTCAAGGGATAATGGTCTAAGAAGCAACTGAACAATTTGCCTTCAGGAATTCTCCTTGCTACGGGTCTGGTGTGGGCTCAGAATAACTGCTTTGAACCTCTGGATTCGGACTGAAACCCCCCTACCCCTACCCCCACATCACTTGAGCACTTACATACTGCCCAAGGCTGATGCTTTTCTTTTTATGTATATATTCCTACCTCCCCAACTGCCAAGTAAACTTCTTGAAGAAAAAAAATCATTTATTATGCATCCTGGCATATTTCCACCTTAGTTCCACCCCTCCCCTGCCAGGGCAAGTGCTTTGTACACAGCAGGTATTCTGAAATCTGTTTCACCAGGGGAGCTTTTCCATTGAGGAGAGCTCCTTCCTAATTTTAAAATCCTGTAGGCATCTGACCCTAAATGGAGTAGGTCTCTAAAGGGCACTGGCAGACTGGGCTTAGACAGACAGTATTCTCCCACCATGATGACTGTTCTTAGTCACAGGCCTTCCGGCCCACTTCAGTTTTAGCCATATATCACTTCTCCCAATAATACTCAGGACAAGGTTTTCCCATTGAAAGTTTCCCCATACCCTAGTCCTTTTAATATAAATCCCTAGCCCAATCTAAATCCCCAAAACAGAATTTTAGGGTACATGGAGGTCATATATCAAGTTCTTAAATTACATCTACTTTAGAGTCCCTTTCTCTCCAGTAGTTATAAGGGCCAAACCGTTCATAGCAACAGTGAACTAACCATTCCAAACAAGTCCATGGTTAAGGCAGTGTAGACAGGGAGGGTGATGAAGGGGGGAAAACATGAAACATGCCACTTTAGTGAGCTCTTCATTGTCCTAAACAGTCAACATGCAAGGTGACGATGCAGCCGAAATCAGTGACCAGTGACTCTTGAGACAACAGCCACATGGATTCTAAACAGCAGCAAATGTAGGTTGGACACACAGGGAATAGGGATGGCCATGGTGAGTCAAGAACTGAGTACCTGGACTCCTGGAGAATATCGCCTCTTCTGGGCCTGAGAGGGTCCAGCAGGTTATTATAAAAATAAGAGGGGGCAGGAGACAGGAGACAGAAGACAGGAGACTAAGTCAGAAAGAAACAGGCATGGGAGAGCTATGACCCAGCTTTGATGGATGAACAAATCAATCTAAATCCCGAAAACAGAATTTTAGGGCAAATGGAAGTCATTCAGCAAAATCTTAAATTACAGGTAAAACTGCACGATGCTTGTCCATTTTTTAAGGAGATTTTCAAAGGAGTCCACAAGAAGACCTCTCTAACCCACAGAGGGTCCTGAAGCTTCAGAAGCTTCATAAACCATAGTGTTTAAAAACATAGTGTCATACTGTCCAAGCAGAGCACATCACTCTTGGTCTCTTGAAAGTCAGGTCAGGCCACAGGTTTGCCTGTGCCCAGACTACAGTATTTCTGTAGCAAGAGAAGACAGGAGCAGCAAAAAGGGCTGAATTCTCCCAAATTCAAGATGTCCTTTAATGCCCGGGTCAAAGAATACAGTTCTTGCCCAGAAGACAAAAATTCTACCACTTGAGAGACCATGACATATATTTCCAAATAACTGCTGTCATTCTAACCCACAACATGTGGGCAAGGAAAAAGCTCTAGGGAAGTGTTACAATATGACAGATTTAGAAAAATCCTGAGCCTCAAGTATACTTAGCTTTGTCCAGAAAACTATAGTTCTAAGCTTCTGGCAATAAGAGATATGGACACAGCTCAGTGGTGTCCTGCCCTATAGGAAGGGTGAGCAAGAGTGCAGAGTCCAAAAAGCCTCCTTCCTTTAATGTGTACCCCGTAGTCTAGCACTGCCTCAGATATTGGGAGTTCGATGGGAAACAAGATAGACAGGTACCTGCTCTTGTATTGCTAACATTAAAATGGAAAAGACAAATAATAAAATTATTTCAGATGGTGATAAATGCTATGATAAAAATAAAATAGGTGATATGGCACAGATGATGGAACATCTCTCTGAGAAGGGCTGAGACCCAAGTAGTTAGAGGCACTTCACCAAAAGATCTGGGTGCATAAGAAACACAAAGCCAGCATAGTCAAGGTACTAGAAGAAAATAGGAATGTCTGAAACACAGCAAGTGAGGAAGATATTGGTGTGAGCTGAGACAGGAGGCAGATTACACCGGGTCTTATAGGCCACCGCAAGGAGTTAAGGACTGGCCACACAGCACCCCCCGACCTGCCATGGTTCTCTTATGTCACTGTGGAATATGTACAGGAGTATGAAATGAACCTGGACGATTAAATTGCCATAAGACTACTCTTCTACAAATATCTTTCAGAACAAGGGAAAGGGAACTGTATGTTATCAAGCATTTACAAAAATGGGCTTTTGACAAGAAAGCTCATAACTTCAGTGAACAATTAAGGATAACAGGGATTAAAAATGTGCTGGGGAGCTCTTATGATCCCTTCTCTTGCTTCATTTACCATTCCCAATACCCATGATCACAAGTGCAAGTTGCAAATTTCAAGAGTGTCCAGGACAACTATCCCTAACGTAAAGATGCCTAACTCTTCCCCAGGCTGGTGAGGAGGCATCTGATTATCTGGCCACAGTTAGAAGCAAGCTGGGCATCAGGGTCACGTGGGCAAGCTTTTCAACTGCATGTACTTGTGGGTTTCTCAATCAAAGGGTCTCATTCAGTAGGTCAACAGCAGGGTACAGATTATGTGTTTTTATAGACCATTGTGATGCACGGCTAAATTTAAGAAACGCTGCACTAGCCCCAGAGGCCAGCTTTGGAATTTCCACTTCTGCGACGTGTGACTTGGTCTTCAACTTTTACCTCACATTAGTAGTAAGTCTTTAAATGCCATCTTATTTTCTATGCCCAGTCAGGAGTTACTGAAGTGTTTCTTGGGTAGCCACTAATTTCACATGGATGCAAATTTTCTTTCCTTGGAAAGCAGTCAATATATAGCTAGAATCAAAGGCTGAAAAATCACACTGAATCAAGCAAGGTGGTAGTTTCATTCCTTATTTAAGAGTCATCAAAAATTAGGAACTCCTGCTTATTGTCCAAATGACTGTTGTCTGTAAGGTGGAGAAATGTTTTCAAATTTTTGTATGATAGGGCTACTTAAAAAGAAAAAGAGTCCATCATAATTGTACCTTCAGCATATCTTGATTGAAAAAAGATCCATGAAGCTATGGATTTATGGATCCTGTGCCAAAACACCACAGGTCCAAAGCACAGGAGTTGAGAATAACTAGATAGAAAAAAGAGTGCACATGACCTCTGCAAACAGGGAGACCTGGGTGGTAACCACAGGCAAGCCATTCACAGCTGCATAACCTTGGGAGGATTACACCATCTCTCTGAGATTCTATTTCCTAAATGTAAGCAAGGAAAATAATATACACCTCACGGTTAATGATGAATGAAATAAGATATGTAAAGTACTTAGTACAGTGTCTGGCATTCAGGAGGAAGTAAATAAATGTTCATTCATTCAATGACTAATGAGTAACTAGATACAGATATTGTTCCTAATGTACTCAGAGGAAAGCACAAAGTGAAACAGGTTTCAGGGCCTAGGTCCTAAACCACTGGCTCTCATGGGCAGTAAGTCTCCAAAAATATTTGGGGAATTAGTAGGTTTATCTTTTTATTTTTGACCTACTAACCCATAATAACAGAATAACCACCTATAGAAAACATCATTTTTTAAAATAGAACATTTTAACACCAAAAAAGAACCATGTCATTTCATAAGAAATGACATGAGCATTGAGCATTTAAGAAAAGTCACTTCGGGCCTCCCTGGTGGCACAGCGGTTGAGTGCTGGGTTGCGAAGCTGCCCGCAGCCTCTGCAGCGCCAGTTCGATCCCCGGCTGCTCCCCGGCCACCAGAGGAGGGTCCCACATGGCGCGCAGACCTCTCCTGCCGCCTGCTGCTCCCCTCAGCAGTGTACTTCAGTCCTTCTGCCTGCTCTGTTCCCCACTCTAGCTCTGGTGAATTCTCTCACCCTCCCACGCTTCTGACTGTACCCAGTGCTTGTATAAATAAATAAAATAAATAAAAAAAAAATAAATCTTTAAAAAAAAAAAAAAAGAAAAGTCACTTCGCTGTTCCTTTTCTTTGACCCGTAAGACTGTTACCAATACAAGTTCATGAACCAGCATTTGCAAACCACTCCTTGGGAGTAGTGTTGTCCAACCTAAACCACACCGCAGGCAAGTAAACCGGCCAAGTCTGTTCTCTGGAACCTAGATATGAAGAAAAGGAGGTTGACAAGAAGAGGGAGAAAACAGAACTACAATTGTTGCCAGATGTCTTCACAATGGACCCTCGGGAATGTCATTCGGTGCTATGAATAAGAACAGTGAGCATCTACTGAGTGCTTCTACTCAATGTGGGCACTATACTCAGTAACAAACACATATATGTTCATTTAATTATCACAATCCTAAGAGAAAGTATTAGTATCCACATTTCATAGAAAATGTGTTCAAGATAACATAGGTGTTAACTAATGAAATCAGGTAGTCTGGCCCTAGAGTCCTCACTGAATCACTATGCCACACTGCTCTCAATGAAGTTCAGTCTTAATACGTAATCACATCTAGAGAGCTTACCAATACTTGGACCCATTTTCCAGTCTCTGGGAACACACTGCTTCCCCTACAATTCAAAAGTCACATCCATATTGGATAACAAGGGGATTTAAAACATTATGGAGGGCTTCCCTGGTAGCACAAGGGGTTAAGTCTCAAACACTATGAAGCAATCCACAGCCACTGCAGCACGAGTTCGATCCCCAGCCCTCCAGCTAACCCACATGGCACAGCAGACCTCT